ATCAGTCGTGCTGCCTACGTCGCTGCACTGGTCGAGATATGCTGGCACGCACCGGCATCTCAACGGCTGCCTGGCGTGCGGCGGGCTCGCGGGCTGCTTGTTCCTTTTGCTGGCTGGCAGCTCGGCCGACCGCGACTCGCTCTACTACTGCTGTCAATATCATCTACTATTGACTATCTACTATTCTACTGCCTGCTCCGGCCAGTCGCTGACGTTCACTCGGCCGTCGCTCTGCATCGCAATATAGGGCTGTATCCCGATCCCTACCCTTGTCAGCCGCTAGCTTGCTGCGAGACTAAGTTAGTGACCGGACTCCTGGGCCCTCGCACATTATTATCCTTTGCTGTTAAGGTATTATTAGGCAGGTAGTAGTAGAAGATAGTGCTAGTAGACAGCGCAGACTCGCCGGCTTCAGAGAGTTTATTGTTCTCGGACCACTCTCGGCTATAGGGATGTAACCAGTCGGTCTTGCTAGTGGCTAGAAGTTAGTGGTCACCGGCGATGCTCTAGCCACGATGTAACTATATAACCCCGACGACGGCCAGCGACATGGAAGTCGATGCCATCGTGGAGTTGCAGTTGGCTCCAGCCAACTATCACTCTACCTGCTGTTGCTGGGGCGTCTACTCCATAGTTGAACATTCACCTTCTCTCCATATTCTCTCTTTTCTTCTGCTTCTTCTGCTTCTTCTGCTTCTTCAACTACGTCACAAGATCTAGTGCACCAGTCACGTGATGGTGATGCTTCGACGTCAACTTCAATCAAGACGAAAAGAAGCGGAAGTAGAAGAAGACGACGACGACAGCTCAAGTTGCATGGACGATGAATACTACCATATAAGACCCTGCTGGTACTCTCGCAGCCGTCGACGATCTGTCTGTACCAGTAACTACCTAGCTATCAAGGTGCGTTCCTCTGGCTAGCTCCCACCAGACACCTCCTTGTGACCTCCCAGAAGCCCATGGCTAGGCAGAGAAACACCGCCCACGGGATAAAGCGTTTGCTCTTTTACACTTATTTAATACTGACGGCTAACCCATCTTGATCTTCTCTGCAGTGTCAGCTATCAGCTATAGCTACAGAACATGAGTTCGGCCAGTGGTGATATGCGAAGCTGTATCCTAGCTACTCCGTGACGTCAAAAGCACCAACCATGAACCGCTTCATGCCCATAAACACCAGCACTGGCCCGTCCATCTACGAGACTCTGCGCCAATACGACAACGACGGCAACTCTGATGGCTCCGACGTCGAGAACCGCGCCGGCATGGCGGTCGACGAAGAGAACCTGGTCGGACACCAGTACACCGACTACGAGCTGGAAGACGCCCTTGCGCAGGCCTCGGATAGCCAGTCCAGACAGAGCAGTCCCTTTTCGCGTCGGTCAGCGCCTAGAAATAATGTAAAAGTAGCCTCGGCCTTTCATGCTGGTGGTGCTCGCGCTGGTTCTCGTGCTGGTTCTCATGCTGGCGCTGGTGTTGGTGCTGGTACTAGTAATGCTGGGGGAGCAGAAGATACTGAGGCTGACGATGAAGTGCCCGCCTCGTTGCTGGTGGAAGGACATGCGCTGCCGAGCTCCCCCTTGCCTCCTCCACCTATGCATCCGCTACGGTCGAGTGGGATAGGCGAACATTCGCTGCATCTACGTGGACCATCCACTACTTCCTTCCCCGACCAGGCCCGGAACAGATGGGAGACCACAGCCCGGGGCATACCTGAGCAGGATGGCCCGCCTCGTGTCTGGGGAGTGAAGCAGAATGCTGCCCTGCGTCTGGCTGATCCCAGAGAGAAGGCCCTGTGGAGGTGGGCGAACGTCGAGAATCTGGATAACTTCTTGCAGGAAGTGTATGATTATTTCCTTGGGAACGGCATCTGGAGCATCATGCTAAGCAGAGCCCTCAACTTGATGTAAGTCACCTCACGGACTTCTTTATATATATCACCCTATTATATATATATCCATGGCAGACACATATTAACTGCTGTAGAACCCTGGCGTTTGTAGTCGGGTTTACTACCTTTCTCTCCAGCTGCATCGACTACAGAAGAGTGCCGCATAGCAAAACCATGTCCCAGATTCTCATACCCGGGTGCGTCCGCAAGATGTCTGCCTTTTCTACCTTCTTGCTCTGGCTCTTCACCATATTCTGGATCGGCAAGGTATTCCAGTACGCCGTCGACTTCCGCCGTCTTCGACACATGCAAGACTTCTATCAGTACCTTCTCGGCATCCCGGATGCGGATGTCCAAACAGTCTCCTGGCAGCAAGTCGTCAGCCGTCTCATGGCACTCAGAGACTCCAACCCTTCCACCGCCGCCGCCGTGTCTCCCAAACACCGCAAGTTCCTAGGCAGCCAGTCCAAACAGCGCATGGATGCACACGACATCGCCAACCGCCTCATGAGACGGGAAAACTACCTCATCGCCCTCTTCAACAAAGATATCCTCGACCTCACCTTACCAGTCCCCTTTCTCCGCAAACGCCAGCTCTTCTCCCGTACTCTAGAATGGAACCTCAACCTCTGCGTGCTAGACTACGCATTTAACCAGCAGGGCCAGCTCAGACCCCTTTTCCTCAAGGATACCCACCGCAGAGCTCTGAGCGACGGCCTTCGACGCCGCTTCATCCTCGCAGGATTCATGAACATCTTCATGGCCCCCTTTATCGTCACTTACTTCCTCATGCACTACTTCTTCCGCTACTTCAGCGAATACCAGAAGAACCCGTCCCAGATCGGGTCTCGACAGTACACCCCGCTCGCCGAGTGGAAGTTCCGCGAGTTCAACGAACTCTGGCATCTCTTCGAACGCCGCACCAACATGTCCCGTCTCGCTGCGGACGAGTATATCGCCCAATTCCCCAAGGACAAAACAGTCCAGTTCGCTCGCTTTGTGGCCTTCATAGCCAGCGCACTTGCCTCTGTCCTTGCACTCGCAACTATCATCGATCCAGAGCTTTTTCTCGGATTCGAAATCACACACGATAGAACGGCGCTGTTCTATCTCGGTATCTTTGGCTCCGTCTGGGCCGTAGCTCAGGGCGTCATACCGGCGGAAAACCTGGTGTTCGATCCCGAACTTGCCATCCGCAGAGTCATTGAATATACGCATTACCAGCCTAGCCATTGGCAAGGTAGGCTGCATAGCGACGAGATCAAAAAGGAATTCTCGCTTCTCTACCAGATGAAGCTGGTTATCTTCCTCGAGGAAATACTCAGCATGATCTTCACACCCTTTGTCCTCTGGTTCAGCCTGCCGAAGTGTAGTGATCGCCTAATTGACTTCTTCCGAGAATTCACCGTCCATGTCGACGGGCTAGGATACGTTTGTTCCTTTGCTGTTTTCGACTTCAAGAAGGGCAACAATGTCATTCCACAGGGCCGCGATGCTAGCGGTGCTACCATGCCTGTCACGGGCGCCGCTGGCCCTAGTTCTGGCGGTGGTGCTCCTGTCGGACGGAACGACTATTACTCTACCCAGGACGGCAAAATGCTAGCATCCTACTACGGCTTCCTAGACCATTATTCAACCAATCCTACAGCTGGCGGGACACACGCGTACATGATGCATCGACGGCAGAACCCGCAGTCCAAGATGACTAGCGGAGATACAGGCACGAACCCGTATGACCGCGGGCCACAGCGCTCAATCCATCACAACCTGGGCATGGCCAGCCTTCAGTCTCCTCACCACGACCCAGTCATGACACGACCGATCTCACCATTAGCGTCAGTTCTCCTAGACTCTCACCACCAGCCGCCACCGCCCATCTCAGGATTCAGGAACGTACACCGTTTTCCAGGTCCCTCTCCGCGAACCAGACCTACTCGCCAGCTAAACGTCATGAGAGGCGCCATCCCAGAGCCCATTGAGTCCCAGATCCGGTCCCAGTCCCAGTCTCAGGTAGCGACTCCCCGCCTAACCGCCCGCGGATCCAGCAAGACTGCCTCAAGCTCCAGGCTGGCAGTAGACGACAGCCACTTCGAGGAATCATGGCGTATGAACCAGGCCGCCGAAGTCGAAGGTGAGGACAAGGAGGAAGACGAAGAAGATATCAACGAGGTTGTCGAGGGCGCCGGCGTGTTAGGTCTGATCCAGCAGTTCCAGATGACAGGAAACGAAGGCCGGAGGACAGTAGGAATGTGAAGGAGTCTTGCCGCTCACTTGTGTATATTTTCATTGCATATACGGCTTCCCATGGAGTTGGAGTTGGAGTTGTCTGTCTTTCTATCCGGTATGTAGACTTCTAGATGTTAGCAGTCAAGTCAATAGCTAGTTATACCCCCCGGCGTCCCAGGGGTTGGTCGGTCTCTTCAAGACATCCACGAAACAGTATCCGCACAATACTCATCTGACTTATATATATCCCTCTCCTGCCGTCTCTCCGGGCCAGCTCATCAGTCTGATAGTCAATAATACAGCATTGATATCAAATTCTCTTCATAACGCTGGCCGTTCCAGCGCTCGAATCCACTTTAGCGCAGCCACCAACGAGACTAACAGGGCTATTTTTACGCTTATTTCTTCTTCCTCCTGCATGAATCTCCAATATTTTTACTCTCCTGCTTCTCCACGACGCTCAGCGAGAGACCCAGCAGGCCGTCCAGGGTTGAAATTGTTCGTGTGATGATGTAGGGATTCTCTTCATCCAGCCCATCGTCCTCAGCAAACCACGCCGTATCAAAGACTTCGCTCATTGAACCGTCTCCCAGGCCGCGGGACAGACAGCGCTCGTAACCAGTGCCTCGGTCGAGCAGATCCCTCCCTCGCGGACGGGACAAGAATCCAGCACCATGTTTCGCTTCCGCCGGTATCGAGTCTACTTGATCTTCTCTATCATCTCAATTCTTGCCGTCATCCACTTCTCCGGCTTTGGCGGCCTCTCGACCTCTTCGTATGCGCCGCCCGTCCCTGTCCTGAGGCCTGATAGCCCCAAGCAACAGCAACCACAACAACCACAACCGCAGCCTCCAGTCAAGGACGAGAACAAGCAGAAACCAATACCGCCTCCTGCTCCGCCGGTGCCTGAAAAGGGCCAGCAGGGCCAGCAAGATGGCGGTGGTGTCAAGCCGCCTCCTGTAAAAGAAACGCCGCCGCCCTCGCCGCCGCCGCCAGCCGTACCCGCACCTCCAGCCAACATACCGAGCAACAACGGGCATGATCTACCAGGTGGGAAAGGCAGACAAGGAGACGAAGACGGAGATGGCTCGGAGACAAGCTTGCCTCACTGGAAGAAGCAGCCTGAACACTTCCCCGTTGCGTCGGAGAATGTCATCCCCTTACCAAAGGGGACGCCCAAGAACCTGCCCAAAGTCCAGTTCAAGTTCTCCCCTGAATCTGCCCGAGCGAAAGACGAACGCGAACAGAAACTCGCCCGGATCAAGAACTCGTTGAAACATGCCTGGGACGGATACAGACAACGTGCCTGGATGCATGATGAAGTGCGGCCTCAATCGGGCGGATACAGAGACCCCTTTATGGGCTGGGGTGCTACGCTGGTTGATTCTCTGGACACGCTCTGGATAGCTGGGATGAAGGAGGAGTTTGAAGAGGCCGTGCGAGCCGTTGGCAAGATCGACTTCAAGGTCAGCAGGAGGAAGGATATCCCCTTGTTCGAAACCGTCATTCGCTATCTCGGTGGTCTCATCGGTGCATATGACATCTCAGACGGCCAGTACGGGACTCTGCTTGACAAGGCCATCGAGCTTGCGGAGATCCTGATGGGTGCGTTTGACACCCCAAACAGGATGCCAGTCACCTACTACATGTGGTCTCCGTGAGTTTGGCTCTGTTTATACATGTGTCTGTTTCTGCTATGCAACTAACTTGGCTGCTTTTTCTTTGCAACTAGGAAATTTGCATCCAAGCGTCACCGCTCGGGCAAGAGGGTTGTCCTGGCTGAGCTCGGCTCGATGTCGATAGAATTCACTAGACTGGCTCAGATCACTGAGAACAACCGCTACTATGATGCGATAGCGCGTATCACAAATGCCCTTGAGAAATGGCAGCCTGAGACAAGCGTCCCTGGCCTCTGGCCTTCGTTCCTGGATGCTTCCGGATGTAAACCCCTTCCAAAAAAGCAGAGACCGCAACAGCATATTCCAGACTTTCCACCGTCCAACCCCGGTGCTCCTGGGTCCTCGTCGCAGCAACAAAGACCACAGCAAGACAACGCCGGACTTGGGAAGCGAGATGGAGACACTTTGCTTCCAGGAGAGGAGCCTGCGAATTACGGAGGTACGGTGGCCTCGTTGCCCAAAGTCGATACAGCTCCCCCTCTCAAGCTGGATATACCCGAGGACAAGCCCTGGCAGCGACCTGAGACCGAATTTGAAGAGAATTGCGAAGAGCAGGGCCTCGCATACCCACCTGGTGTAGTCAGTGCAACATACACCTTGGCTGCCCTCGCGGACTCGGTCTATGAGTATCTTCCAAAGACGTATGCTCTCCTGGGTGGTCTAAACAACCAGTATCAAAACATGTACAAGCTAGCCAGGGATGCAACTATGAAGCACATTGCTTTCAGGCCCATGCTTCCAGACTCCAGGGACATCCTCTTTATCGCAGATACCACCACATCCACCACGGCGGGAGACGGGAAGGGTTTCGACTACAAATACCATCCCTCACATCTTGGCTGCTTCGTCGGGGGTATGTTTGGACTTGGATCCAAGCTCTTTGGCCTCGAGCAAGACCTTGAAATTGCGAAAAAGATGACCGACGGCTGCGTCTGGGCATACAATGTTACCACGTCCCAAATCATGCCCGAGGCCTTTGCAGTGCTTCCGTGCAAGGATATGCAAAGTTGCAAATGGAATCAGACTGCATACAACGACGCTGTCTACCCGTATAATCATATGCAGCAACACAGCCCAGACTCCCTTATTGGCATGAGGAATGCAGGCGACACAGCCATTAATAAAGCCGATGCTGGGACAACGACAACGCCACTATTCCCCAAGAACCAAGGCCTGGGCCGTCCTCAGCAGACTCAATATCCCACTGCTGGAGGCAAGTTTGCCAAACGGGGAGATACACGCGAAACGCCTATCCCTGACCGCATCATCGGGGATCCGTCCAGACCGGTTCCGGGTGGAGCGGCAGAACCTACATCCACCTCCATGTCGCACGCACAGCTTGTTGATAAGCATATCAGGGACGAGCGCATCCCTCCAGGTATGACGAAAGTCAACTCGGCAAAGTATATCCTTCGCCCCGAAGCGATCGAGTCGGTCTTTATCATGTATCGCATTACCGGCGACGAAGCCTGGCGGGAAAAGGGCTGGGAGATGTTCATGGCCATTGAGCGCGCCACACGGGTTGACTACGGACACTCCGCCATTCAAGATGTCACGAGCAAAGAACCTGTTTTCCAGGACGAAATGGAATCCTTTTGGATAGGCGAGACGCTCAAATATTTCTACTTGCTCTTCAGCGACCCAGATGTCGTTAACTTAGACGACTACGTTCTGTAAGTCCATCATTACCCCTTATACCACCCTGGAAGAACTCCGCATACTCTGTCCGCGTACACTGCCAGTAAAAAGATAGCTAACTTAGTACTTCTGTACAGCAACACGGAAGCACATCCGCACAAGCGCCCCTCTTTGGCGTACTGATAGAGTGCTCATATATATATACTTGCCCTACTATTTAGTAGGAACCCGCTGCGGAATTATGTTGCTTACGCATGTACTCCGTACGGAGTATGTTCATCGAAAATACCCGCACCTTATTCCAGCTATAGTAAGCCACCTCTCTGGCCCCTATGACGATATCAGATTCGTCCAGTATGGGGAATTCCATTATTTGCGTGCTCTTGTGTATATAGATATATACTTCCCGCCTGTCTCCCTCCTTTTCCATAGACAATCCACGTTACCATTACATGGCGAATGTCAATTAATAAATGAAACGCAATTTGCTCGCCTCCTATCCGCTTGTCTAGAGTCTATATTATATTGTTTTAGCGAGAGCTAGTCTCTTGGTGTCTTTGCTGCGTTGCAGCGGGTGTCCTGTAACTGTTTGAGACTTGTAGCACATCTCCAACCTCCAGCCTCCAGCCTCCAGCCTCCAGTCTCCGTATGCTCGCCCGCTCTGAAATCCCCCAGCATGCACCTCATTGCCCTGTCTCTACCGTGTTCTTTAAAGTTAACCTCGCATCTCTGCACTTGTTCCGTCTCCCTTGACCCGTCTGAAGCCCCACGCTCGTCAGGTTGCGATACAGCCCCTGACTAGCGCAACCGAACAACCCCTGAAAGTAGGCCCCGAAACGACGGGTGTGAGGATGCGCAACCCCGTCTATACCCCGTCGGCCCTGTCAGTAACAAGTCAGTGCCTTGACAAGTTTCCAAGACACCTGCTGGTCCTTGTTATTTTGCCTTGTCTTCGGGAATCTACCCTGAAAAGTAGAGATACATGTTCTCCGTACACCTACATACTCCCCCCCAGACGGCTGCGCAGGCCAACTCTAACGCAAAGATCCATAACTTCGATCAGCGGAATTCAGCGAGAAATTGCCTAATCTCGTTTGGAACCCCTGAAGAATACCCGTATAGACATAATATCCACGCTGAAGGGAGCGTGTCGTGCACTCTACGTACTCCGTATATACGTGTTTATATATTGCCTTCGGAGCCCCGTTGAGCCTAATGTTGGTAGCCACAGTTGTTTTATTCCACAGGACGTTGATATAGTTGATCTATTTCTCCCTTGAATAAACAGCTTCTATCTTCTTCTTTTCCTTCTTCTTCTTCTTCCTTACCTTCAGGGCTCTCCACGTTCCTTATTTCAACCCGCACCCTGAGCCAGATAACTGTCGTTTACATTCCTTTTTAATTTGTCATACATACCGTCTCAGCCAAAAGGGGCATCCTCTCTCTATACATACTACATAATAAGAGCCGGCTCTTACAACCAGCACAGTCACGATGGGTCTCAAGGACAAGATTGAAGAAAGTGCGTTAACTATCTATCAACCGCATCCATCAATCAAGCAAGCTACCTCAACGGCCAGCTAATGCATATACGCAGTCATGGAGTTCCGCCGTCTGGAAAACAGATATGCTCGCCGCAAGAACCGACACACTCTTACCTATGGTGCCCAGTATGTCGACGGAGAATACGTCTACGGCCCCGGCAGCCCAGCTGTCTCTCCAACCCCATCCGCCACCACTGTGCGGAAGCAGTCCGCCGGCGGCAAGTCCTCCAAATGGGGAGGAAAGTAAGGGGAGATGGCTCGTTGAGGGCCACACGCAATGCAAGAAGTGGCCTGGAGCCGATATAATTTTAATGACTTGAAACGGCCGCCAGGTTTTGGGAAGACAGCAAAGCCGTCTGCTATGGCCTTTGGGCTGCTTCCAGGGAGGACACGACTGGGGAGGCTTCGAGGTCAAGATAGTGATGGAAGGTGTTTCTTTTCAGAAAGCTATGCATGTTTTGTCACCCCGTGATAGACGGAAATGCATTTATATCTTGAGTTAGTAGAGAAAATACCTCGTTTCCGCTGGCGCCGTCAAGGAGCAGAATATCCAGATCCCTTATTCGCAATATATTGCATGGCATGTTAATAGCCAGTAACTAACTACCCGAGTGGCTACACACGTAACTAGATAACTAGTTACATAACTATTGCTCACGCTGCGAAATTCCGACATCAATCATATTTTTCGCAACATATAGCTACTCGTGGCTCTACTCTTCACTATCGACCGTCTCTATACTTCAGCGGAGTCTTAGGTATGACTCGCTGGTCGAAGGGGAGATTGCGGGTGTTTCTTCGGATATTTGTGTATATTTTGTCACTTTATCATACAGAACAAGAGATATTATATCTATCAAAAGTGAGCCGGCTACAGCTATACCCAGTTATCAAATATTGAAGAGAAGCTTGTCCATATAGTTCATCATGTCAATATCACAGCTAGCCTTCAGGGCGTCACATCTCACAGCTTCGCCCTTCAAGGTCGCCAAAGAACTTTGCGAGATTTTCTTCGTTTGTTTCCTGGTTGGTATCGATATCAATGGCTGCAATCACTCTGTGCGAGTCCTCGTTGGCAACTTTTCTCAGAGTTGGGTCGTCCACCCTTCCCCCTTAGTTATCGAAACGAAGTCCGATGCGATGCTCTTTTCAAGACGTGAGTCTGCTCAGGCCTTGCTCACAAGCCGACCAACTAAATAGCTCGCTTTTCTACCCCTGACATCGGAAATTGTGACTGTTTGTTGTTGCTCTTTGGGTCTTTATGCAAAACACATTTAGTTACCAGCCCCTGGCTGATGAGTTTTAACCAGCAGAGCAGCAGAGCAGGATTCAAAACACACGCGCGCACAGAAGGGAAGAGAGAAAGAGAGGGAGAGGGAGAGGAGGCCTCAGCCAGTTTTTTTATTTCTTATTGCATTCATATGATATGGGGCTGTTTCGTCTCCTTTCTCGGTACCGTACCAGAATTTCTCAGTCGTGCCATCCGTACTATTCAGAAAACCGCCCCGGTACCCATTGTTGGCCCAGAGCGATATCCATGCCTCAACCTCAAAATGGTATGTTCTGATAGCATGTACATGTAGGTAATAGCTAATTAACCAATGGTTGTCTAGCTTCAAATTGGGACGACGAGAGCTTCTATCGCTATACTGGCGGGCGCTGGCTGTATAATGAAGACAAACAGATGGCAGATCGGTCCGTCAGATTCAACATGACAGAACTGGTTCGAGCCGCTGCTATATCCCAAGGCTGCGATATATCTGCTTGCATCAAAGTGGAAAAACTACCTGAAGGAGACTACAACAAGGTCTCTCTAATCAGCCTGCATGGTGGACACCAAGTGGTTGCGAAAGTGCCTAACAAAAATGCTGGATTACCTTTCTATACTACAGCTAGCGAGGTTGCCACCATGAACTTCGTGGGTTTATCTTCTTCTATTCGTTCTGAGGATCGGGTTTATTAATATAATTTCTAGGGAAGAAACGTTGCTGGGCTTCCAATACCAAAGGTGTACGCCTGGAATCCACATACATCTGGTAACGATGTCGGTGCAGAGTACATCATTATGGAAAAGGCGAAAGGTGTCCTGCTGAGCTCCACATGGCCATCCATGAAATAAGACCAAAAAATCAACTTGATAAATAGCGTTATTTCACTTGAAAAATCCCTTCTGACCCATTACTTCCAACATATCGGAAGTTTATACCATAAATCCGACCTTGATGGAGTGCAGGATCGCAACTAATTTTTTGATACAAGTTACCAAGATATTGTTGTTGGACCCAGCACAGAAAGAAAGTTTGTACATGATGGGAAAAGGGCTGTGAATATAGAAAAAGGCCCTTGTAAGTCACTGTAACTATCCTTTTACTCTATCTATTGCTAACCACTGTAATACGTGGCAGGGAATTCTGCGTTAGGATATATTCTGGCCTCCTCCACACGGGAAAGAGAATGTATTGTTCGAGGACTTAGGTTTCCGCGGCCGGAGGGAATATTTGGTGGCCCCGGAGGCTATAAGCCTACAGCAAAGAGCAAACTCGATGTGCTAGATGACTTTGAGAAGGTTGCAGCATATCTTCTTCCCAAAGACGCATCTGTACATATTCCAGTTTTGTGGCACGGTGATCTCCATGACAATAATATCTTTGTCGACCCGGATGATCCATCGAAAGTCCTCACCATCATCGATTGGCAAACTACTCATATCGCACCACTCTTCCAACAGGCTCGGACTCCAGGATTTCTCGACTTCATCGGCCCTCATCCGTCCCTTGGCCTTATACCCATGCCTCCGCTACCAGACAATTTCGATTCCTTGAGTGCAGCCGAGAAGGAAGAAGCCGAGAAGTTGCATTCAAAGCAATCGCTGTTTAAGATCTACGAAATACAGTCTGGCCGCAACAACATGCCTGTCTTTAAGGCACTGCAGCATTCACAGACTCTGGGCATCCAAATCATTTCACTCATCTTCCAAGTGTTCAACGATGGAGAACCTATCATAAAAGGGCAACTAATAAAACTCGCACTTGACTGGGAAAAAGTTGTGGGCCCAAACGGTCCCCCCTGCCCGCTTCAATTCACCGAAGCTGATATTGCAGCGCAAAGGGTGGATCAGCAAAGGTGGGAAGAAGGAGTACAAATGAAAGGGGATGTATTGGAGGCTCTTGGAGGTGCAGCACATGGCTGGGCGGGCTGGTCCAGCCATGAGGATTACGATGTGCTCACGAAGAAACTTGAAATAGTCAAGGAGCAATTTCTAGAATACATGGCTAACAATGAAGCTGAGAAGACAGCGTGGGAAAATGTATGGCCATATAGGGATGATTAATTTACGGACTCCAGAGCTCTCGGAATATTCTAGCATTCCCTGGAGGAGCAATGCAAATATGGTTTAACCCATGCATATACTTGATGCTCACCCCTTTTTTACTTCCTAGCAAGCCACTATACTTGGAAGCGGTATGTGTTTGTACCCCATTGCATGGAGAAGAGTACCAGGTATAAACGTACGAGCTTTCTGCTCCTTCATACTTCCCCCTGTACTGAGCTCAGCTGCGGCTGTCCATGGACCTGCCCGTCCGAAGACGAGGGGCCCGTGTTGTCCTTCTGCTGACCCTCAAAAGCGACATGGGATAGAGGTTTCAAGCGGATATATGAGCGGCATGTACTTCCTTCATGCCAATGCACAATTTGAATCGGCCAAGGGAGTAGTGGTTATCTACAGCTCCAGGTAAACAAGGGAAGCGGGTAATTAGCAGGGAAGCAAATAGGCTACTATGTGGCAATTCACCAAAGACACAAGGAGATCACATTATTATTAATTTTACGGTTGCTACTATCTATATCTACGCTGGGATTCTGGAAAATTTCCTTTGGTGACCATATCCCTTGTAGGATTCACGGCGATTCACGGAATAAGATGAAACATGCTCGGCGCGCAGAAATCTCGGAAGGTGATCATTCATTTGTGAGACGGCTGGTTATTAGTGTTAACAGGGTTCATTAAAAGAGTATGTAAACTGTAAACGTCGGCCAACTATGAAAGACCGTGTGTCGTCTCTGAGTAGTAGTTACGTGTCTATCTTCCATCACTTCTTTGATTTCCTTTGCCCAATTCCGCTTAACCGACCAAATGTCCCAAGAGGCGTCTTTGATTTCGCCGTCGATCCGCCCTTTTGGGCTCCTAGAGAATCGCCCTGAGCTCCCGGACGCCGGGCACCATTTCCGATTCCGAGAGCGCCGACCGGGATGTCGGAAAGCGTCCTGTCGATACCACTGCTATTTGGCTCATACAGTGGAAGCGATGAGGTGGCCATAGCTGAAGTTGATATCCCGTTCCTGTCTAATTCAAGATCTCTCTGGGATCTACGTTGAGATCTTCTCGATCGTTCCTGGACGCTCTTAAATTTTTCGAGCAGATCAGCCCATCGGATGACGCTCTCCTCGCGGGACTTAAGTCGTCCGGACCGTTCATAAGGCCCAGTGCTTGTCGATCCAGTCAAAGTTGGCCTATGTACTGATTAGCCTGGAGTTGAGATGGGCCTGCTAATGTGGATCTACTTACGGTCGCATGCCAGCATACAGTAATCCGATATTACTGACACTGTTGAGGCGATTCTTCAATGCTGCAAATGCGGAGCTCTGTGGGAGCAGCATTAAAAGGCCGTAAAGGCATTTATATAAATATGGATATTTATCAGGCTCGAGAAGTTGCAGACGAAGGTCTTTCACAGAGTTAGTGGCGGCTTCTACCTCTGGAGCTCCGGGGATACTCTTACAGGTAAACACGGGTGATTCAAGTAGTTGAACCAGTTTGTCTATTTGAATTAACATGTTGACCGTCATTTCTAACTCAGCACTGGAAGGTAAAAAGGGGTTAGTATGAGCCATCACAAAATGAGAAGCTTGAAGACTCACAATATCTGCAAAAGATTATACGCTTGTTCATAAGCTTGAGCAAGTAAACACAAGGAGAATGTTGCTACAGAGTTGTGACACCATGACCTAAAGAGCGCAACGAAAAACATTTGACCATCCTAAAAGGGTGTGTTAGAAGGAGTGATACCAAATTATAAGCTAAACATGGCTTACTTTGGTTTCTAGATTTCTTAGCCGTTTCCTGAGGTCGGCAAGTTCGGGAGCGGTTATGAGGTTGTTATTGAGATTCTGGATCATAATACTGGCAAACTCGATATCCTAGAGAGAGGAACGTTAGCATATACTATATTTTATACTGAATGGAGAAAATGAAGGCCTTACCTCTTCCTTCTCGAGGCAGTCTGCCAGTGTTCGGTATATTCTTTCTGGACTCAGGTTCATACAAAGCTGCCTGATGATGAGATTACCACGACCCTCAAGAAGTTTTCTATCAGTCGAGAATAATTGGAGGAGATCCACCATGAAAGATGCGAAATAACTGTCTTCACTATTCCGAGATATCTGAGATAGAAGCTGCAAGTCCCTAGTGACAACAGCTTCTGCCGGGTCTGATAGTGTTTTCAGGAGTGCAGGGAAAGTTCCGTCGTGGAAAGCAAGGACTTTCCGGGGAGCTTTTCTGTGAAGCATTATGAGCCATGCTAAAGCAGCAACTCTTGTGGCTTCATTTTCATTCAGAAACTGAAGAGTTAGAGCATTAACTGCTGCAGCATAGTCTAGGTCTGATGTTTGCTCTGAGGTTTGCTCCGATGGCTGAGATGCCAGTGCAGGAGCTGGCTCCGTCCTGGACGCCGGCCGTGATGTTGGTTTGCGCGTATCGCTGGACGCTATCGATGCCTGCCTTGTAACGGGAGTAGGTGTTCGGCGGCCCTCCCCTTCCTTACCGCTAGCCTGGACAGCTGCAAGAGGAGGGGATGTCTTGGGTGGCTCATTTTGAGGAGCATCTTCGGTCAGAGAGACAATATGCTGCATAAGAGAGTTATTGACACGATTGGCTGCCTGCCGTACTTCATCTGAGCCGCTTGACAGAGTTGGAAGTACTTGTGACAAAAGCCTTGGAACAAATTGCAGCATGTCTGCAGGACTGATTTCGAAGAAGCTATCAATCCAACGAAGGGCGGTTAATTGGATTTCATCCTCTGTAGCGCCCGCAAAGACACTGTAAGTAGCTGGATAAAACATAATATAAGGATAAACAGGGGTACTCACCAGAGTTTGTATCGACAAAATTGACTAAAATTTCCAGTATCCTCGAGTGGTCAACATGAACATCTTGACCGGGGACCCAGTCACCATATGGGTTGTTAAGATGGTCGTCATTCGCAGTAGCAGACTCGGAGTCCGCAATGGCATTGTCACTCACAGCATGCGAAATGCTCAACTCGGAGTCAACACTCTTACTATCACTGGCTGATATCTTCGAGTGTCCGCTCTCATGGTCACGACGACTCTCGGCAATACCTTTTTTAACTCTTGCTATTCGTTTTATCTCACTGAGAAACCTTTCCAGAAGCCCTTGGGTAGCAGTATGCACATCCCGATTTGTATCACTTAGAAATTTGAACAAGCCCCCTAAGAATGCTGGCAGGTAGGTAACAAGCTCGAGATCGGGTATTGTGTCCAATAAGGTAAGCCAGGAGACTAAGAAGTTCCGAGCAAAAGGGTTTTGAACGTATATCCTGTCTTGAAGCAGGGGAATAAACTTTGCAAGTGAAAATGCCGTGGGTATGTCCTCAAGCTCATCCACGTCTTTTCCATCCTCTTCGTATGATATGTCCGGGCGTGAGGCCTCTAACGCAGAAACGTAGGAGGCCGCAGATTCAGCAACGATATCTTTTATCAATCGATCGAGAAGCTCTGCGCCATTCTTTACCGACAGTTCCGAATCCGATGCTAGCTGTATGATCAAGGAGTTAGCATGCCGTCAACACCGTGATGACAGGTAACCTCCTGGGTAATTGTCGGTACTAACCTTGCACAGAGCATCGAATATATCGTTGAAGTAGAGTAGTATCTCCCCCTTGGCCACTTTTGCAATATTATACATGCTTTCACAGGCATAATATCTGACTCGGGCATCCTGACCCGTGAAGCAAGCTAATACCGGCGGCACAATATCCTTCAAAAAGGGTGCAACTTCATCCTAACCCACAGTTAACCGCTATTGTCTTTACCATTTGTACACCCACCCGCACTGGAGTCACTCACAGATCCCAAGGCAATAGCTGCTGCTGCTAGGCCTATTAGGCCTCCATTTCTCGCATGCGGCTGGTGCACGGCATAGGCGTATTCATGACATAGCTGATCAATTATCCCTTTTATTTTTGTACTGTCGCCTCTTGCGATAGATTCTCTGATCGTCTTCTCGAGTCTGCACGAAGGGTAAAGTATTCCGTTAGCTCATCACTCTGCTCTCTTTTGTCGATGACGGGGGGTTCGGTCAAGAAGCCTACTCCAAAGCACCCTGTTTCCTCTTATCGTAAAGCTTATCGTTCAGCAACCGCTGGATGGACGGGTCCATGTATATCGTCGCCATGGCCGTGCGTATAGGAGATAAGTCGGCTAAGAATATCTAAAGGAAGACGCTGTTCGCATGCTGCTATCGATTCATGACGGATTGGTGCTGGTATCGATGGAAGTTCAATGGCGGCGGGAGAGCAGCCAATTGCTGTGATGCTCCGGAACTTGGCTGCGGCGGTGAATAACTAACAACGAACGGGCGATGGAGACTGCCGCTTATCAATGCAGGTGGATACAGGCTGTAGACTGTTACTGCTACTGAGCAGGCTGGCCGGGTTTTGGAGCAGAAGGCGAAGCTCTAGAACCCGCTGGCATCTAACTAGCGTCTCCTGACAGTTTGTGTAGCAGAGAATCTGAGGCGTAGCAGAACGTCGTCGTTATAACCAAGACACTAATGGAGTTAATGACGACATCCCAGGCATTAGCTCACGGCGCATAGCTATAAGAGCAAACTTGTTGAATAAATGAGTTTGATATATTCTAGACCTCGTTTCTGGATATTACATCAATCATGTGGCATATAAAAGAATCATCTCAAGCCTTCGCTCCAGCTATACCTAAACGCTGACCCCTATCGAAATGGAAAATAATACTCCAATTAATGGCTGATATACTGGAAAACTGCGCTGACTGCTTGCTCGGTCGTTTCCTGTCGTAACAATAGATCCTGGATCCTGTTCATAGGGCCCTTCTCGCCTGTGTTGACAAAATGGTTCCAAGAACTCGTGTCGCCGTACAGCATTGCAGGTGCCTTGATATGCTGTGTCCCATCCGGCCTGCAGCGTTTACACTTGAAGGTATCATGTGTGTCACTGGTCGTGCCTGGCTTAAACTGGAAGAGTTCTCGAAGTGAGTCGAGACTGAAGTGGCGCTCGACGTCCTCGGCTGAATCAATCACACATGATGATAGAGATTGCTTGTGTGATTGACGTTGAAAGATCTTCTCCTCAATCGTGCCAGTGGCAATGAATCGGTAAACAAAACAGTCCTTTGACTGGCCATCACGCCACACTCGAGCCAATGCCTGTTGGTCGGCAGCAGGATTCCAATCGGGATCAAAGAGTACCAAACGGTTTGCTCCAACCAAGTTGATGCCACATCCGCCTGCCTTACTGGAGAGCAGGAAGACAAACTCTTCTCCGTTCGGGTCATTGAATTTATCGACTAGCTTCGATCGTTTCTTAACACCCATAGTTCCGTCAAGGCGTATACAGCCATACGCACGAGCTCGGCACAGACGCTCGAAAAGGTCTAATGTCTGCGTGTAATTGCTGATCAGAACGATCTTATCATTAGTGTCCTGTCGGATACGTGCAAGCATTCGATCCAAGACCATCATTTTACCAGAGTACCAAGTCTTGGCTTCACGGTCTCCTCTGCGGCCATTGGATACCGTCATATCTTCGGGGAAATATTGCTCGCATCCTGGTAGATCTTCTGAGAGCTTCAAAAGATCAGGATGATTGCAAAGCTTTTTCAAAATACCAATTGCCTTCAAAGGCTGACTTCCTTTACCACGAAGGAGACTCTTGATTTCAGGACTCTGGATGAAGTGGTTGTATAGATCCAGCTGGAATGGAGAAAGATTGCAGAATACAACGTGCTCATACTTGACGGGGAGGTATTTGGACAAAAGGTCATTGCTCCTTCGAATAATGAACTTGTTAACGAGATTAAGAAGTTCAGCAAGACGCTCGTTGCCTTTCTTCTGCTGCTCATCGGTCCCATCTGCATCACGGCCACGGAGAATGGGAATTTCATATGTCTTGTGGAATTCGCTGCGTGACCCTAGGATGCCCGGGTTCGCAAAGTCGAGGAGACTGAAGTATTCAGACAAGTCGTTTTGAATTGGAGTTCCAGAAAGGATGACGCGTTTCTGGACATTAAGCTTGTTCAGTGCTACATATGTTTGACTGTCAGCATTCTTTAGCCGGTGCCCTTCGTCGCAGAGAAGAAGCCCAATTTGGGTATCCCGAAGTTCATCTGAATTCATTCGCAGTGTTTCATACGAAACTATCAACACGGGCCTGACAACGGAACGGCCAGAAGCAATTGCCCATTGCCTTAGTTGGGATGTTAGTTCCGTCTTCGAAGCTTTCCCATCGATCACAAAGGGGTTTATAGCGTCCTTGCCCAGCCATTTCACTAAAATAATTAGAATACCATACGTAAGGGCAGCATTTTGCGAACATACCTAGTTCGTTTGCCCAGTTGCCTACTAGCGTAGCTGGGCATGCAATAACCGCCTTTTGGACTGTAGGTTTACCCGCCTCAGGCGATTGTTTAAGTAAGGTCCACATCAACGTGATACATTGCAACTACGGATGTCAGCTTAATACGGAGAGCGTAGCGAATAGAAAACTTACTGTTTTACCGAGCCCCATACCGTCTGCCATGATGCATCCATGGGCATTCTTATCAACAAGTCCGGTTGTACATCGATATAGAAACTACAAGGGTTAGATAAGGCAAGGCACACATGTCAACGACTACTTTACAAACACAAAAACATACCTTTACACCCTCAATCTGATGCGGTCGTAGAATCTTTGCAAGCCTCGGATCGATAACGACGGGTACTTTGGGTCTTTCATCAACGTTCTTCTTGATCCCCAATATTTCTGCAAGGCTTTTATGCACTAGTGGCTGATTCAACTTCTTTTGCTCGACCTCTTCACCCTCCTTGTTTTCAGCAGTGTCTTTGCCTTCATTCTTTTCATCCGGCTTATCGTCGATAGTCGGGTCATAAAGTACGATTGCAAACTCTCCGCTGGGATCATGTAGAGGTTTAACGACGAAAGTAGCACCACAACGCATTCCCAGAGTAGGAGCGGCGCGACCAGAATTGTAGTTACCACTCGACTTGTCAATCAAAGGAACGTGAAACCGTTGACGGAAGGTGGTTTCTTTATCTTTAACTTTGAATACTGGGAAGCGGTTTGCGTCACGGTTTGCGAGGGCGAGTCTGTCCTCATTTGTCCATGATTTAGTGCCATCATCCTCAGCACTACAATCAGCCCCCGCATAGTTCACTTTACGGCGCTTGCGGGCAGGCTTATCAGATGTTCGACGGGTTTCTGAGCCGGGGCATTTGAAAGGTTTTGAGAGAGCCTGTGAAGCCTGGGGCCCAACTGTGTAGAGGCGGCCAGTTTTGGAGGGCGTCGATCCAGCGACGGAAGACTTGGGTCGATGCCTACAAAAACGGTGTAAGTAATTTGTCGGTCGTCGATCTCAGAGTAGCGATACGTACATCAAATCGTCCAAAAAAGCTGTGATAGACGAAATGGCTGCCTTGTCGTTGTGGTGAGGAAGTCGGACGTTCGAACGCGTTTGTTTGGTTTTCTAAAGATAGTTCAACGCGTCAAATCACCAAATCGGCGCGGTTCCACGTGACGTGAATTTAACCTCGGCATCTTGTCCCCACCAGCACATCCCACTAAGTGCGCTTACTATTATTCTCACGCCCCGGAATACTTTGCAAAGTTGTAAATATTCGTTTGAATGGGCTGTTCTTGGTAGAGAAATGCATCAATGTCTGCGGATTTCTGGGCTGGGTACCTCAGCGGAGCCGTGGGGATAGTCATTGGCAACCCGCTTGATGTAATTAAAGTGCGTCTTCAAGCTACTTCAGCTGGAATAAAAGGATCAAATGCATTCTACTCCCGTCAGTTTGAGTCGAAAAGCTCGTTAGTTCGAGGTACGGCACCCCGTGTCCATCCTGAGATATATTTTCTAACAAGTTTTATACAGGTGCTGCGGCTCCAGTCCTAACATATGGCGCCTTGAATGCCCTACTATTTACTAGCTACAACCGCAGCTTGACAACTTTGGAGCCACGAGTGCAGAACCCCACAGAGCCCCTAGAGGCTACCCTAGGGCAAATATGGCTTGCCGGGGCAGTTGGAGGAATGGTTAGCTGGCTGATTTCCTCACCTACGGAGCTTGTGAAATGTCGAGTCCAGGTGCATAGAGGCACTGGTGCTGAAGCAGTATCCTCATGGGAAGTTGCTAAGAGTATTGTTCGAAGTAATGGAGTGAAGGGGCTATATTTTGGTGGAGGCGTTACAAGCGCGAGAGATGCAGTGGGATACGGATTCTAGTATGTACATTTTCTGTTCCCCTGGATGCAATTCGACGGAGATGCTAAAAGCGTAGTTTCTGGTCATACGAGCTATGCAAGCGCATGGCCTCGTGGAATGACGAAGCAGCGCACGAGATGGCATTGAAAACGCTCATATGTGGTGGAATAGCTGGTATAGTGACTTGGGCATCTGTATTTCCTCTGGATGTCATTAAGACAAGACTGCAGACCCAGAAATCCTTTATGTTGGCTACCGTCGAGAGCGGGTCACCGCCAGGAAAGCTTCATGAAAGGCACAGGGTACTTGATTCATGGGAAATAAGTAAAGAAGCATACAGGACCAGCGGATTACGGGTGTTTTATAGAGGGCTAGGGGTATGTAGCTTACGAGCCTTTGGAGTGAATGCTGTCCAGGTAAGCTTTCTTCACCGCACAACACTCATATTGAGAGCTGACCATGCCTCCTTTGCAGTGGGCAATATACGAATGGATGATGAAGGTGTTCAATGAAAGACAAGCTACGGCAGCAATATAGACATTGAACCCATCATTTCCTCCTTCAGTTAAGATTATATCATCCACCCAGGAGTAGCTGTGGTCTTTATCCCCTCAATATATCCCCCTGTTCAGAGCCTGTTGAGAGAATATATTTCCTGTTCGCACCTTTGATGCGGAGATAGGGGCTGTAATCGACTCCATCGTATTTCACTTCACCTGCGCCGCCAACTCCCCATCCGTCAACCCCGCGAGCGGGTAATTGCTGTCCGCGCGTACGGGGGGTTAACCACCGCATAGTCAGTTCATCCATGCGGGCCATATCCAATAACGCAATCATTCAGTCGTTCTCAGCTTTGTTACTAGAAACGAATACATCACACATCGGTCTCAATCTCCATTGCGACATTACTATCAGTCTTCGTTCCATTGTCTACTCCGAGTCCAATGGCCGCCTCTGCTGTCTTCTGTGTATGGGGTTCATGTAAAAGCATTCGTAGTCTATCAAGAAGATATTAGCCCATGCCGGACAAGCAGCTCAACCAAGGGAGAATGCCCGACCTTCGCTTGTGATTCTTTCCTTTTCTATGAGCGACAAGGTTGTATTCACTCTCAAACCATTTGGCGCATTCGATACAGTAATGTTTCCCTAGGCCTGGAAGGTCCTCGACATCTTTTGTGCTGTGGTACTGGGTGAGGTGCTTGCGCGAACGCAAATCAGCAACGACTTGGTCGTAGTCCCTGGACAGCGGTTAGAATCAAACGAGACGAGCGGACTCGGGGAGTAGAGCATACCTAGCACGGCGCTTTGTCTTTGACCGGCGAATTGAACCCATTATTGTCGTATATTGATTACGTATTATTGAATAAATGCTGACGCTGGTCTAATCGATGTTGATATCTCCGTTATCAGCAACAAAATTTCTTTCGCAGTTGTGGGAATAAAGTTAATTAATAAGCGTAATGATAATCATTCTTCCATGCCTAGCTTTTTGTCTTGGCGTTTGATCTGCTTCTATTACATCATTGTTGACTTGACATTATGGATTGTTGACAGAGACAGAGACATCGACAACTTCATCCTAAAAATCTTACAAGGCTGAAGGTGCTGTAGGTTAGATTTGTATCATTATTTATGGATCATCAATCGTGGCACACAAAGATGTAACCCCTGTGAGAGAGGGGGTAATCTGCAACAGCTGAAACCCTGGTGAAGCTTCGTATTCACCTGGACCGGATCTCAGACTTCTAGAGCAAGAGCCACAATTTAGTATCATCGTCAAACAATCATCCAGTTTATTTTTGATGCTTTCTCAGGTACAGGGTACGTAATCTGCGAGTGCGGCTGTCTTTACAAATGCTAAATGCTGGCTCAAAGAGACAAGCAGCACGACGGAGATAAAGAGCCCGCCATCGGAAGAACCCTTCCTCACAAGCGTTGGCCCGTGAACGCCTTGACGGAGCATGACGGACCGTGTTTCCCCGTAATCCACTCGGCCGCCATCGCCGCCAACTCACGTGGAATCCACTCATCAGTCCAGCCAACCAGCGTCGTCCGATTTGGTTATCCAGCTTTACGCTAGTCTTGTTTCGGTCTAACGCGTCTGCAGGCCAGCAGATTTTTCCCCCAGCTTTTTATCTCTCAGCTTAGTCATCTTCTCCTGGGCTTCTTCCGCCTCCGCAGTTACCCTTGTCACGTGATTTGCGCTGTCACCTCGGCAGAACCAGCCTTAGTAACAGCTATTTCGCAGCTCGTTGATTGGCCAGTGTTTGACCTTCTTCCTGGCTACTTTAAACCTCAACTTCTGCTTTTTCTCTTCTTCTTCCTTTCTCTTCACCAACTCCCTTTCGCCAGACCACTCCACTCTATATAACCAGCGCCATTGCTCGAGTGCGGCCTCGACGGTGGATGACTCTACCTTGATTTCTTAAGTCGTGCTGGAACATCGACTCTCATCATGCTCACCACACTCGCTCGTGCCAGTGCCATGGTGCGTCCTTTTTTGTCCTTCTTCCTCACGCCCGCTATTCCAGCAAAATGCTAACCATCGTTTTTGTAGGCACCAAAAACCCGCCTCGTAAGTGTAGTCGGCCCGTTTCTGGCTTCCATCGCGACGTTGTCTGACCGCTGGCCGTGCCTGTATAGCTTCTCGGAGCGCGGGGTTTTGCCTCTGCCGCTGACCTTGACAAGAAGGTCGAGATGACCAACTGGGAGAAGGTAAATACTTCAATTGCACAGGTTTTGGAGCGGCTAGAGGCTAATTGATGGCTACAGGGCAACCACATCAACTACAAGTACGCATTGAATCAGGGAGGTGAAATTCTAGCTTGAGCGTCATATTAACTACATTCGGTAATAGGAAAATGGCCGAGAACCTCGACATTGTGCGCGCTCGTCTTAACCGCCCACTCACCTTTGCCGAGAAGATTCTCTACTCCCATCTTGACGACCCTCATGGTCAGGAGATCGAGCGTGGAAAGTCCTACCTCAAGCTCCGCCCAGACCGTGTTGCCTGCCAGGACGCCACCGCTCAGATGGCCATCCTTCAGTTCATGTCTGCTGGCATGCCATCGGTCGCTACTCCTGCCACCGTCCACTGTGACCACTTGATTGAGGCCCAGCTCGGCGGTGACAAGGATCTTGCCCGTGCCAACGAGATCAACAAGGAGGTCTACGACTTCCTGTCCACCTCTTGTGCCAAGTACAACATCGGTTTCTGGAAGCCCGGATCCGGTATTATCCACCAGATCTTGCTCGAGAACTACTGTTTCCCCGGTGGTTTGATGATCGGTACCGATTCTCACACTCCTAACGGTGGTGGTCTTGGTATGGCTGCTATCGGTGTTGGTGGTGCTGATGCTGTCGACGTCATGGCTGGTCTTCCCTGGGAATTGAAGGCCCCCAACGTCATCGGTGTCAAGCTCACTGGTCAAATGTCTGGCTGGACTGCCCCCAAGGGTAGGTTTTCTTCCTCTAGCTAAATAAAGTTTATCTTCAGCATCTAACTATCGCATAGATATCATCCTCAAGGTTGCTGGTATTCTCACCGTCAAAGGTGGCACTGGTGCCATCATTGAATACCATGGTGATGGTGTCAACTCCCTCTCATGCACTGGTATGGGTACCATCTGTAACATGGGTGCCGAAATTGGTGCTACAACCTCCCTCTTCCCCTTCAACGACCGCATGTACGACTACCTTAAGGCTACTAAGCGTCAGTCCATTGGTGACTTCTCTCGCGTCTACGCCGAGGGACTCCGCCCTGACGAGAACGCCCAGTATGACCAACTCATTGAGATCAACCTCAGCGAGCTAGAGCCACACATCAACGGTCCTTTCACCCCCGACCTTGCTACCCCCATCTCCAAGTTCAAGGAGGCCGTTAAGGAAAACAACTGGCCCTCTGAACTCAAGGTCGGTCTCATTGGATCTTGCACCAACTCCTCCTACGAGGATATGTCCCGCGCTGCTTCCATTGCCCGTGATGCTCTCAACCATGGCATCAAGGCCAAGTCCCTCTTCACCGTGACCCCCGGATCCGAGCAGATTCGTGCCACAATCGAGCGTGACGGTCAACTCAAGACCCTCGAGGAATTTGGCGGTGTTATCCTTGCCAACGCCTGTGGCCCCTGCATTGGCCAGTGGGATCGTAAGGACGTCAAGAAGAATGAAGCCAACTCTATCATCTCCTCTTACAACCGTAACTTCACTGGTCGTAACGATGCCAACCCTGCCACGCATGCCTTCGTCACCTCTCCTGACCTCGTTGTTGCTCTCACCATCGCCGGTACCCTCAACTTTAACCCATTGACCGACAAGCTCAAGGACAAGGACGGAAACGAGTTCATGCTCGCTCCTCCAACCGGTGAGGGTCTGCCAGCCAATGGCTACGACCCAGGCCGTGACACCTACCAAGCTCCTCCAGCTGACCGTGCTTCCATCAGCGTTGCCGTCAACCCATCCAGTGACCGTCTCCAGATCCTTGAGCCATTCAAGGCTTGGGATGGAAAGGACGCCAAGGGCATTCCAATTCTCATCAAGTGTGAGGGCAAGACCACCACTGACCACATCTCCAGTAAGTTTTCTCCACCCCAGTAACAAATTCAATAATATCATAAGATCAATTGCTAACGCCGCTATAGTGGCCGGTCCCTGGCTCAAGTACCGTGGCCATCTTGACAACATCTCCAACAACCTTCTCATCGGTGCTGTCAACGCCGAAAATGGTGAGCGCAACAGCGTCAAGAACTTCGAGACTGGCGAATACGACTCCGTCCCTGCCACCGCCCGTGCCTACAAGGCCCGCGGCATCCCATGGGTTGTCATTGGTGACTGGAACTACGGAGAAGGTTCTTCCCGTGAACACGCTGCTCTTCAGCCCCGCCATCTCGGTGGCATGGCCATCATCACCCGCTCCTTCGCCCGTATCCACGAGACCAACCTTAAGAAGCAGGGAATGCTTCCCCTTACCTTCGCTGATCCCGCTGACTACGACCGCATCCCACCAACTGCCATGGTTGACTTGATGTGCACCGAGCTCGCCGTTGGCAAGCCAATGACTCTCCGTGTCCACCCCAAGGACGGCGCTTCCTTCGACGTCAAGCTCTCCCACACCTTCAACGAGAGCCAGATCGAATGGTTCAAGAACGGAAGCGCCTTGAACACCATGGCCAAGAAGGCTCAGTAAACAGCTCTCCTCCTTGACTTAAGCCTAATGTTGTCTTATTTTCAGCCAATAGAGGATTGAGAGGGATTTCTATATTGCCTTCGCTGTTTACCGCACTTCTTCGTTCTTCTTCGCCTGTCGGTTCTATGTGGTCTATTATTTGTCTCTTTTTTCCTATGTACCAAATACACCCCCTTGCGCCTCTTTTGTCGAGCTGATGCTTTTGTTCATGTCCCGTTGATGATGAAGTGAAGGTAATCACCAGCAGTTGCACATTGGTTGTATTTTCTTTTTGTCAACTTGCTTGTCATACCTTATCTCAAAAGCCAAAGATCATGTTGCTTGCCTGCATGTGTATATATACTACTTGAATAATTATTCAGGTTCCTTATTTCATCCAATCCTTCAACTCTTCGGCTCCTTTCGTCTGAACTCGGGTGCTTACTAAGTAAGGCAATTCAGCCGAGGTAAAGTTGTTATTGAAGCCGCTTCAGCCTCTCCAACGTTGGGGAGAAACCATCAGGAGATTCAAGTAGACAGATATCTCGATTTTCGTTAGGCATATATCGAATGAATAAATTACCATCCATCTATTCCGTCTGATAAGATATATACCCTTGAAATCAGCAAGCAGGATACCCATCTATCATATCCGCTAGGGAGAACGCGTACCCCTACACCCGCTAATGGCAACGCAACTGGTGCCTCTCGCAGAGGTAGAGAGGCTTAGTGCCTCTGTGATAAGGATTCTAGGTGGGAATCCCGGCAAGGTACGTCTGTTCACTTGCCAATAGTTGGTGCCAGTAGAGTAACCCGTTTCCCCAGTTCACACTCCAAGGTATGCACGCCCGTCTTGCTGTCACAGTGATGCATGATGCAGAAAAACCAAAAACAAACACTGCGTAACCAGGAACAAATACCTATCTACTTGGCTGTGGAGCTAAACGCCTCCTCATCGATACCGGGGAGGGCAAGCCATCGTGGTCAGTGGCGTTGCAGCAAACACTCACCAGTGAACGGGCCACTGTTTCGCACGCGCTGCTAACACATTGGCACCACGACCATGTCGGGGGTGTACGGGACTTGAGACGGATATGCCCTGATGTACAGGTGTATAAGCATGATCCAGAGAAAGACGAGGAGCAATGCGGTATTGAAGACGGGCAGGTGTTTAGTGTGGTGGGAGCAACTGTGAAGGCACTGCATACGCCAGGGCACACGAGAGACCACATTGTGTTTTTGATGGAGGAGGAAGAATCCATGTTTACCGGTGATAGTGAGTATAGCTGTTTTTACTGCACAGTTACGTAGCTGACCTGCCTTGTCTACTTGAAGATGTCCTGGGCCAGGGAACGGCGGTCTTTGAAGAGTTAAAGACATATATGGCCAGCCTGGACAAGATGGGTGATAAAGCCAGTGTTAATGCCAGAGGATACCCTGGCCACGGGCCGGTGATTGAGAACTGCAAGTCCAAGATAACAGAGTATATCCGGCACCGGCAGCAGAGGGAAGACGAGATTCTGCGGGTGTTAAAGTACGGTTCGCTCGATAGCAGCCAGCCCGGTGCTACGAAACCTTCCGGCTGGACCCCCATTGAGCTGGTCAAAGTTATATATGCAGCGGTGCCGGAGAGCTTGCATCTTCCTGCTTCGCATGGAGTGATACAGGTCCTGAACAAGCTGGAGCACGAAGGAAAAGTGACCAGCGATGAACAAACGGGCCGATGGTCTTGTAGCAGTAAAACAGCGGCCTTGTGAGAGAAATTGGACCATCACTAACTATCAATCCACCCATCTCGATGTATATATGTATCTGTGGCGGGGGCATTGCAAGCCTGCTGCTTCACGTCTAACCATGGAATCAAAATCCCCAGGTGGCAAGCAAGCGCTTGTTTTCTGTCAACAAATAAATAGCTGCATCTCGAATCCCCAATGAAACCATTCCCGTTGCCTCCGAGCTCACGTAGCACAGGGATAAGCCAGCAAGCAAGCAGTGCTTAATGCAACTGCTATCTAGACGTAGAAGAGCAAACCCAGCAGCAAACCCGCAGACTTTTCTTGCTGTATACGAGCAATTCGAGCGGAGCAAATAAATGGTGCAAGCCTGACTCCCGGGCTGACTTCCAGCGCCGCATCTAAGGACTGTTCAAGCTCATCGGAATGCGCCATAGCGAGGGCTGTCAGATATCCAGCAGTTCACTCCGTGATGACACTGATGCCGGTGACGGTGCTGTCCCTGCATATCTAGGCCACCAGCCTTTGCCTCCGCTGCCAGGCTAGAACCAGCTAGCTCTCCTGCTGCCTCGCATACTGCGCCTGTCGTTAACCTATATCAGCCTCAAAAAGGAGCTTCGTCGGCCGTCCGTCTGCCTCGTCGTCGTGTCGTCCGGACGTCCTGCTCGACGGCACAGTTCACTAGTTAGCTTGACTGCTTCATAGACGACGAGCTCGCTATTAGTTACTGCGACACCGTCCCAGCTCTGGATCATCTCCAGCTCCAGCCAGCCCGTCTGTCCCGTCCCTCTTGCGCCCTCTCGTCCTCGCCGCCGCCGTTCCTGGAGCTCTGTCTCGCCGTCCTGCTGCTCGCCAAGCTGGTGGCGTCACAGAAGTTGCTTCTTCTTCTTCCCTGCTTCGTCCCCGCCGGCTCTTATTTTTAGTTCCCCCGGAGGTGGCTCTTCTGCTCGCCCTGTTCCGGCCGTGACGTTAGAAGAAGACAAGCAAGCTCTCCCTGACGAGAGAAGAGCGCCGTCTGCCCGTCTGCCCGCCGTCGTCCTGCTCCCCTTATGCGCTGACACGACTCTCGAAACCCCGTTGAGTGCGCCCAAGCATCGCCCGCTTCGACCGTCCTGCTCTGCCCACGTCTCCGTCTCTGCCCGTCGGTCCTGAACCTCGCCCTGCCCGCCAGAAAGTGCAAGATATCGCGTGAACAGATACATCCACAGCAGCTTCTTCGCCAGTTCCCCCCCACGCTCCAAGTCCGCCCACAGCACAACCACACACACACACACACACACACACACACACACACACACACAGAGCCATGCCGGCAATAGAGAGCGGCGCGGAGTCGAGGCTGCTGCTGGTCTCAAATCGGCTGCCCATCACCATCTCTCGCTCTAGCCAGGGCAAATATGAGTCCTCCATGTCCTCGGGGGGTCTCGTGAGCGGTCTCAGCGGCCTGTCCAAGACAACGAAGTTTCAGTGGTACGGGTGGCCGGGCCTGGAGGTGCCGTTCGACGAGGTCGATATATTCAAGAAGAAGCTGAAGGAGGACTATAATGCTGTTCCGGTATTTATCGACAACGATCTGGCAGATAGACACTACAACGGGTTCTCCAGTACGTAAAAAGCTCCGTCGTTCTTATTTCTCTTTTTTACCACCCCCTTAGAATATTGCTGTAGAACTGGTAGCGAACTCTGTGCTGACAAGGCGACTGCGGGGTGATATAGACTCGATATTATGGCCTCTTTTCCACTACCACCCTGGAGATATCACCTTCGACGAGTCTGCGTGGGAGGCGTACCAGGAAGCAAACCGATTGTTCGCCCAGGCAATCGCAAGAGATGTCAAGGACGGTGACCTGGTGTGGGTACATGACTACCATCTGATGCTTCTACCTTCGATGCTACGGGAAGAGATTGGAGATAGCAAGAAGGATGTCAAGATCGGCTTCTTCCTACATACGCCGTTTCCAAGTAGCGAGATATATCGAATCTTGCCTGTCAGGAACGAGCTCTTGCTCGGGGTCCTTCACTGTGATCTCATAGGCTTCCATACATACGACTACGCCCGTCACTTCCTAAGTAGTTGTTCGCGAATACTGTTAGTCGTTTCTTCTTATACTTCTTTGCGGCTTGACTGTTACTTGCTAACTATTATATGTCAGAGGTCTGCCAACCACACCTAACGGAGTAGAGTTCCTTGGGAAGATTGTAACGGTCGGAGCATTCCCAATCGGTATAGATCCCGAAAAATTCACAGAGGGACTAAAACGAGAAAAAGTACAGAAGCGGATAGCTGCGCTTCAGCAAAAGTTTCAGGGTGTCAAGTTGATGGTTGGCGTGGACAGACTAGACTACATCAAGGGAGTGCCTCAGAAGCTTCATGCTTTTGAAGTGTTTCTAACCGACCATCCGGAGTGGATTGGAAAGGTTGTACTGGTTCAAGTTGCTGTCCCAAGTAGGCAGGATGTCGAGGAGTACCAGAACCTCAGAGCTGTCGTAAACGAGCTCGTAGGGCGGATAAACGGGAGATTTGGTACGTACTCTAAACTTATTCCTGGCTACCAAACCGCTGCCTAACCAACGAATACTTCTAGGAACTGTCGAGTTTATGCCAATACACTTCTTGCATAAATCAGTCAACTTTGACGAGCTCATTGCTTTATATGCTGTCTCTGATGTGTGCATCGTTTCCTCAACTAGAGATGGAATGAACCTTGTATCATATGAATACATTGCTACTCAGCGGGATCGCAATGGCGTACTCATTCTGTCAGAATTTGCTGGCGCTGCCCAAAGCCTTAATGGCAGCCTGATAATTAACCCCTGGAATACCGAGGAGCTGGCTGCAGCTTACAAAGAAGCCGTCACCATGAGCCCGGAGAAGCGGAAGCTGAACTATACCAAGTTGGAGAGATATATTAACAAGTACACCAGGTTTGTATACTCAACCACCAATTACTTTTGTAGATCCTAAAAGCTAATATTGCTCTGATAGTGCATTCTGGGGTCATTCGTTTGTATCGGAACTAACAAGGTTGCCTAACTGTGCTGAGAAGAAGGTCCATTTCTCTCAGGCCACTATAGAAGACAATAACACCATACATATGGTTCCGCACACAGAGCTACAGTGACGGAAGTTATCCTTAACTCCCCTTTGGAGCTGGAGCCGGTCTGTGTCTTGCAACATAGGAAATACGCCCTGCTTCAACCTCGAGATCCAATACCACATTAAATCCCTGCTCTATTATTTTCGCTTGATATCCATGATACAAAATGCTACACCTCCTTTACCTTTCTATACTCCCCTGACACCCCACTCTTAAGTTATGAAACGTTGGCAGTTACTCAAGCAAGCATACTCCTGTAACAGTCCTTCAAATCACCCAGGGTTTCATCGACAGACAGATCTCTTACACCTCTACACTTCCTTTGTTCCTTGTACAGCACCCTTGCTGTTTGTTTCCTTGTATTATCATTATGGACGGAGCTGGCAGGTTGAGGGTTTCAAAGACGTATGGCAGCCAGGAGGTGGGTTGGTTGGCTTAAATGGCGTCAGGAAGAAGAATAAAAGGAAGCTATAGCATTTACTTATTTACTTAGCTTCGGCCGGTGGCTGCAGATGAATATTTACCAATCAAGTCAGTTAATAATTGATAGGTGCCTGAGACTACCAGTATAAGTTAACTGATAAGGATAACGACTCTTATATTTAACATCGTGACGGGATCACTAGGTATTCGAGCATGTAATGGAGACTGAACATTAGCCCCATTATTCTTATTCACCAGACGATAGGCCTCCCCTGATGGACATTATAGATTCCATATGCCCCCCACCCTACGCTTAAGGTAGCTAGAACTGGAACAATGTGATAGGCTGCCGGGATTATTCTATTGGGCACTATAACAATGCCTAGTGATAGAAGCGAAAGCACGAAGGTACCAGCGCCTAGGCCCGTCCATAAACCCATTGAGACGGCTGCTATGAAGCTAAGCCAGAGAAGAGTCACTTTATTATTTCCCCATACCTAGTATGTAAAGTGGGGAAGGGAGAGCTTACAAGGTTATTGTCGATAAAAAGGCAGCCATCCGTTCACCGCAGGCTGTTGCTATTGTTCGAATATCAGCGGCAGAGTCTGCCTTTTGATCAAGAACGGCAGTAAATATCTGCAAGCCGGCGCAGAAGAAGAAAATCCAAACACTCGGGTTCGAGCCCTGTAAGCTAGTGCTTCCTTCACCATCCCTTAAACAAAAGCCGCTGGCCCAGATTGACCAATAGAGCGTTCCAGCACAAATTGAGTCCAGGAATGGCCGTCCTTTGAGCCGAATTGGAGGAGTGGTATATGCCCATGAAGCACCAAGGGCTATCAAAACGTAGGCCATGGTCTGAGGAATCTGGACAGATGCGGGTATTGCGAGTAGAATGACACTGATTGTCGCAACTTTACAGGCCTGTAGGACGAAAGCATGATCTACTTTCTCGACAGAGCGGCCATCTAGCCATGACTGACCCTTCCGAGGGTTTTTTATATCTGATTCATAGTCGTGGATATCACTTCCACCCATTACAACTTTCCTAGTTAACAACCTGCCTGAGAGAAACTTAATCATGACTGACGTTTACTTACTTAGACATAGAGGTGCTGAGAACGCAACAGCGAGCATGATCTCTGGGACAGACTGGGGATATGAGCCTGCCTGTAAAAGGCCGATGAGGTAGAATATCAAAGTTGTTGTCCAGTATGTTGGACGGCTCGCTCGAAAGAGGAGCTTGAGCCTGCTAGGGAACGGCATCCCTGAGCACTTCTGCTGGAAGATCACAGGTTTTTTGTGGTAATAGCTGGTTTTCCGCCTGGCCAGCGTCCTGGGGGAAGCAGAAGAGTTTCATCATGGCAAGGCCGAGATCGAGGTATCTCCGTGGAGGCCGTTGATACCATTTAATACCATAAAACGAGTGGAAAGGATGCTGCTGTTGCCCAGTTGGTAATCGAACTAGTTAGATTGCTAGTTTTGTGACGCACATACATGCGAAATGGCGTGTAACTATATTTATGATCGCCGCGGCCTCTAGCTCGCTAATATACCACAGGATTCCCAAGGCGGACACGTGTTCATGGAAGCGAGAAAGTTCGCTTCGAATCTATATCACTATTTATTTGATTGGTATATTTCTTGTTTGTTTTTCTGACCGTCCCCTGCCATGAAGCTGTACTATGGGCCGAGGACTCCGCCATGGACGCCAGCTCAGGTGCCATCACCCACGGCTTGATAGATCTATTATTCACTTTGGAGCATTCGGGCAAATAAATACCACCGGCTGCCAGTGTCAACTTGACCTAGAAAAGCCAACCACACTCGCTTTTACCATCTGTCGGCCCAACTGCTATCTGTCAATATGCCATTGGCTCAGCTACTACAGAACCAATTGAGTTCGCAATTTGTTTTAAACCTTCTTATGAAAATTGTTCAACAGGGCCCCGTTCCCAAACATATTGCCATTATTGCAGATGGAAACAGACGGTGGGCCAAATCTCGTGAGATTAATGTAAGAAACGGCCATCAGATGGGGGCGAAGTCCCTGGAAAATGTAATGTATATTACCTGCATCTTACGTGGATCTTGACTTATATGCTGCTTTAGATTTTGGACCTTTTCTTTGACACCGGCGTCGAGTGCGTCACGGCATACCTATTCAGCATCGAAAATTTCAAGCGGCCAAAAGAGCAGGTGGACGATTTAATGGACATATCTGAGACTTGGATACAAAAGTATTTATATCCTTCTCCCAATAAACGCAAGATCCGGTTTCGGGTTCTAGGTCGCTTGGAACTGCTCCCCGAAAAAATCAGGAAACTTATTGAAAAGTTGACCGAGAAGACTGCGGATTTTGACGAGGGAACGTTCAACGTCTGTTTCCCCTATACTTCTCGCGATGAAATAGCAAGAGCGATTGAAATGACGGTGCGAAACCATAACGACTCACCAGAAAACGTGGAAAATATCACAGCTGAGGCAATTGATAGCAACATGGATATTTGCAATGATCCCCCTTTGGATGTGTTAATCCGGACGTCTGGTGTCTGCCGGTTAAGTGACTTTCTACTCTGGCAGTGCCATAGAGATACCGTTATTGAAGTTCTGAACATACATTGGCCAGAGTTTAGGTACTGGCATCTGTTTCTGGCAGTACTTGGTTGGCAGAGGAAGAAGATGGCGACAGTGGATTTGTATGCAGGAGCAACAGGGGAGCCGAGGGATTTATGGGACTCGATATCAAACCATCACTTCAAGTGGCTCATGTCCATCATCCTTCTTCTCGTCCCAGCGGCATGGGGCTATCATATGGCATTCTATCCAAAGTAGTTTATCCTTAGGCGAGGGAAGCTGCTCCGTTGCGTCAAGTGATGTGTCTTAGAGCCTGCAATAAAACTCCGTACTCCCTAATTCCGTAACAAGTACGAGTTATTCACCGTAGATACCTTGTGCCCGGGCAATAGTATCAGTTACTTTTTCTTTCTTTCCTTGTTGCCTAATTTTTGGTTTCTTTACGCTTTGAAGCCAGCCGCATGATCATTGATGCTCATTATCCCTGTGAGGCCTACCGTATACATGTTCAGATACCACTATGCTCAATAGCTCCAAGCCATGCCGAGAGCAAACCCGTTAACCTTCCGGTCGATCTGTCTAGTTCGACGTGTGACATGTAGTATTTTATATCTCCTGCGACGATTCATCGGGATTTCTCCACAAATGATCGGCATAAGCTTGCCAACTAGTCTTAAGACAGCCTAGCCCCAAGCTCTGGTCATCTTGGCAGAAGAGCTTGGCTTTGGCCTCAACGTTTTCTTCACGACAGCAACCGTGAAAGGTTTTGAGTGCCAGGTTGATGTTCTGCTCTACGGAGTAACAAACAACGAATTGTCTAGATGCCAACCATGTACTGCTGTTGACGAGGCTACTGCAAACATAGGAATACCGAGGAAAGCTGATTCAGACCCCAATCGCATAACCCGTATTCAGAGTCCCAATCGTGCACGAGTTTGTGGGCTGGATGAGAAGATCATGCTGCAGAGTGCCTGTCCACTCAAAACACGTTCCTGCCATTTGCGCTGTAGGCTACATCAAAATTGATCTACCGTCAGCCATAGAGACATTGTCAAATAAGATGATTGTCCTAAATACGCGAAGGGGTAAATTACTTTTTTAGGCGAATCCAGTAGAGTTGCTGGACTTCCAGCGTTTCCCGGGTGGACAGTCCCCATGAAGGCAAAACAAAGATACCGCTGTCTCTAGTTTGTGGAACTGCAGGTTCCCGGCAAGTTGACTGAAGACGTTATGGACGGTGATCGTACTCCGCCGAACGGCTTGGATACAAATAGTACCCCACTGGGCTTAGAAGTAGGGCTGCGGGTCTACTCAGGCAGCACATAATCATCTTGGGAGAGACAGGAGCAAGATATATTTGAACGGTGTGAACAGAGTATAAATTGCTGCCATTACCTCCAGTTTGGACGTTAGGTCCTCAAATTTCCTTATTTAACCAAGCTACTCTTCATCTACATTGAACCGCCAAAGAATCAGCCTCGACCAAGTCAAAATCTTCCACCCAAGCTATTATAAATATGCGTTTCGCCGATTTAAGCATTCTCACCATCACAATGGCTGGTAGCACTGTCGTTGCTATTCCATCCCTCTCCTGCCTCAAGCTGCCCTCAGTCATCCAATCGTTTGATGCTGCCAAAGTTGGAACCATTTTCCAGAAGGAATTTTGCGGCAGAGGATGCGGCCTCATCCCTTCCAACTACGAGACCCAGATCAAGCCATTCGTCACCAAATTCTTCGAAGATGAATGTACCACCATGGGAGCCCCTACTCTCGCCCCATACTACATCAACATGGTCGATACCATGTTCCAGGGGGCAAAAGAATGCTCTGGAGGAAAGTTCCGCGATGTAAACCTATGTGGCTCCGAGAATGAGACGTTGGAGGAGGTGCTTGGATGCTTCCAGTCCAGCGCGATCTCCGCTCTATGGGAAAAGAAGGCCAGCATCTTGCCCTTGCTTACCACCAACTGCGAGGAGCAGTACAAGTACTTTGCTGTTGACAACATCTACAACAACCGACTGCCCGCTTGTGCCCAGATGTTCGCTGCTGAGAACTGCAAGGCCGCATAAACTGGCCGTTAGGATGATCAATGGCATGCGACTATTCTAGGAGGTTGGAGTAGGAGGCTGAACCCAGATCTGTTCTGACAAGTTGAAAATATGCATTATGTACTTACGATATCTGCCTTCATCCTGGAGGGTTAGCAAGATAGCACTATTTAATAAATAATACTTCATTATATCTAACTCAACCCACTTTTCAGCAAGCACCTGCTTCTGCATATGTTTGATAATGATGATCGCTGGATCCCAATCTTCCTGTTAGTACTCAAGGTTAGGTTGGTCCAGGTTAATAGCTAAACAGAGAAGTATTTCGCATACAGTAACGAGTTGAGCAAAGGCAAGGAGCCCAAATGGGTTATCGTGCGACTCGGACATTCTCCGCAGTGGTGATCGCAGTGGTGACTCCAGGGCTGCAGCTGATCGAGTGGGTTCCTTGAAATCCTCTCGATGGGCCATCGAGGTGACAGGCAAAGAATATCCGACAACGGTTGATCTTGGGCAAGTTTCCATAGGCCGCTAAATTTGTACCTCACTAATGTCCTATGTTTACATCGTGAGGGTTAGATTCCCCTGTGGTTTCAGCCGAATCCATAATTGTCATGGCTGAAGTAGGGGTAGCTGCAGGAAAACACACCTCATAAGCCGTATAACTAGCCCTATGTACGACAGTGTTGTTTCCCTTCACTCTGACCGACTGAGTTCATTGGAAAAAAAGGGTTCGCCATGGCAAGGTAAGTCCACGCTTTCATACTCGCTGCTTAATCTAGATCTCCTGCACGTGGTGGATGGTTACACAAGATCCTTGGGCCGTGTGTTGAAAACATCACTAAAAAGGCTATATACTCTGTATACTGTGTTCAAAGGCCATCGTCTATGCCAGCAGATTTGGTGACACTTCGGTATACTCCGCGTTGTGTCGAATTAGCCTGAATTTCCACGCTGTGCTCCTTGTTGGCCGAGCTTTGCTTCAACACAAAGAACCGGATGTCATATTATTATTGTTGAAAGTCGTCCATTCAAAGAAAGGCCCACCACTAAATGAGCTTCTTCTTTGGGATAAAGGCGGGCTTATATCCGTGCCATGGATATAGAGTAGCTATTTGCTCCATATATTGTCAAACGCCGAACCGGTTGCTGAGATGCTGCCCGTTCCACCCGTCTAACTGCATAGAGTGGAGATTACCGGATCTTAGAATACAGCACTTTGTTGTGTATGGTGTTGTCCCCAGGCCACGAGGTGCGATAAGTAGCTGGAATTATTCTCAGCATTATTTCCTTAGATCTATATTATTCATGACACAGCCATAACCCCAGAGTATTATTAGCTAGTTGATCGATACGGCGACCTGCGTACACGCTTAGTCAGTTGTATTCGCATGATACGGGAGCAGAGCCGGCTACTTGCGCCTTCATCTAGAAGCCCAAACTCACGTAGGTATACCGATATATTCACCTCTTCGCAAAACGCATCGTCGTCGACGTCTATCGGATGCAAACCTTGCTATTAGGCGAGGAAGACATCGGACTAAAGTAACTAGGGACACGTGACCATCACAAATGAGACATCGAAGGGCATCTTCTTTTTCATTTCAACTTCATCTGAAGAACAACAGCGAGCACGAGGACAATTTACCCAAGACTCAACGGGACCAGACCGCTGGAAAGTACTCAAGTATTCTGGGTCGAATCTGGGGTCGAAAGTCAGCCTTCTAGGGCCAGAGAATGCCTTGTCAAACATCCCTGGCCGCTGGGCCACCAAAGCGCCGAGGTTGCACCTGGACGGTATGAAACCCCCTCCCGCATCAGTGGCGGGTACCAGCTAGAAAATAATGACCTTTAATATCAAGAGAAACGACGACGTTACATTCCTCCGCAGGAACGTCCCGCCACTCACGTTTTTGCTTGCCATTGTCGGCCAATTACTGGACGAACATGACTTGGGCAGAAGCGCCCTGGAACTGACATACATAGCAATCTGAATGCGCTCGGGCAAGGGAAATAATGATCAATAAAATGAAAGACGACGAGCGAACCCTAGTCTCGTTGTGTGGGCTTCGTGGCCATCCCAGCCTGCGCAGAAGAATGTGCCGTCCAAATCATTGTTACGCCAGGAATGCACGGTCGACCCAATCAACGTGCTCTTCCCCAGCTTCTCATGCACGCTATCACTGTCCGCTCCTGCGTCGCTGCTTTTGGGGCAGCTGTTGGGCTCGGGCGAGGTGTGAATGCAACCATGGTTCGGCTCCACTCAAGAGAGCTTCTCTCACGTCTCACGAGGGCAGGACGGGACCGTCTCTATATCTGGGGTTGCCCGAGATCCTCACAAAGGAGTAAAAATTTAGTGAAAAATCCTGTCGGCCTTCGCCTATTCGTGCCGAACTGTCCCTGGCTTGAGAGTCTGCGCCTTCCTACATAATTGCCGGCCGATCCCCAGGCAACTCCAACATAGTTACCACCATCTCGGCTCTGTGGCTTTCTATTTTAAGTTGGGAGAGCTGGACCGCCACCGATACTCCGCCCAAACTCTGCATCATCCCACACATCTGCCATAATTTTTCTTTCAATCTACGCGTGGGCAGTTTTCGCACTATACCGGCCGACAACATTCGCGTCAATTGATCTCGCATCGAGTCGTTGTATCTTGAGCTGAAGGGAGCTTGTACATTCAACCTGCTTGCTCCCTTGCCAAAGCTGGAGGGCTGACGAGTTCAGGCAATTTAACATCCTCCTCATCATCTCAAGAAAACACCAGCCACTTTATAGGGCGGTCGGGGGGCACCATTAATTGACCAAGAGCTGGTGAAACAATGGAGAATCAACATGATAAGAACCCGGTTGCGCACAGCTCGCCATCTCTAGGAACACCAGGAGCGAACCCGCCGGCGCCAGCCTTGAACCCAGCGCATCAGCACCACGATGCCCATCATGTCCATCAAGTTATGAATGATGAGAAGCCTATCGAAGATGGAGCCGCCGCTGAAAGAGGAACTTCCAATACCAGTGGCAGAATAACGAGCTCGACCGAAAAGCCCGTCGTCGAAACCACGGGGGACGTTGAAAGTGCACAAACTTCCTCAGAGGGCGGCAGGCGTACAATATGGTCGCGATACAAGAAAGAGATTCGTCTTGCGGTAAATTTAGGAATTTGGCTAATTTTCACAGGGTGAGTTGCTTCGTCTCTTGCTGACATGCTGGGCTGTCTCGTTTCTCGTGGGAGTGGGTTTCTATGAACTTCTGCTGACGATGTGTGGCTCAGCTGGTGGATTGCTGGTCTAATCCTTCGTCGCAAAGAACTCGGATGGGTTGTCCCATTCCTTGTCTATCTCGGCGTCACTCTCAGGGTCATTTTCAACTATGTACCCATCTCCATAGTGACCAAACCAATATACTGGGTATGGTCCCATACCGCTCAACCTGTCGCCAACATGATCCCTCAGAAGATGCAAACACCTCTGGCTGCTGCTTTTGTCGTATGCGTGATCATTATCGGTGCATTTGTGTCTGAGGAGTCCCAGGATAACACTCGTGAAAATCGAGCAGTTAGCTTATTTGGGCTTGCCCTACTCCTCTTCTGCCTATGGATTACGTCCAAGAACAGAAAAAAAATCGTATGGCGGACAGTTATTGTTGGAATGCTCGTGCAATTCGTCATTGCTATCTTTGTTCTCCGAACTACGGTCGGATATGATATCTTCCACTTCATCTCTCAACGCGCGACAGATCTACTGGGATTCGCGTCACTTGGTACCCAATTTCTTACCACCCCGGATGCTGCGAAAATAAAATGGTTTTTGGCCAATGTGGTGCCCGCCATTATTTTCTTCGTGTCCCTGGTTCAGCTGCTCTACTACGTTGGTTTCATACAGTGGTTCGTTGTCAAATTCGCGTCATTCTTCTTCTGGGCTATGCGTGTTTCTGGGGCAGAAGCTGTTGTTGCCGCAGCATCACCATTCATCGGCCAAGGAGAATCGATCATGCTTATCCGACCATTTATTAACTACCTCACCATGGCCGAAATTCATCAAGTCATGTGCTCTGGTTTCGCAACAATTGCTGGAAGTGTATTGATTGCTTATGTCGGAATAGGAGTTAATCCTCAGGCTTTGATCTCGTCTTGTGTTATGAGTATTCCTGCATCTTTGGCAGTTTCGAAAATGAGATATCCCGAAACTGAAGAAACTCTCACTGCTGGCCGGGTGGTTGTCCCAGAAGATGACGAACACAAAGCGAAAAACGCACTTCACGCATTTGCAACCGGCGCCTGGCTGGGTCTCAAGATCGGCAGTATGATAGCTGCCACTCTCTTGTGCATCATTTCTTTAATCGGTCTTATCAACGGCCTTCTTACCTGGTGGGGTCGCTATTTGACAATCGAAGGGCCAGACCTTACCCTGGAGCTTATCCTGGGTTACCTCTGTTACCCAATTGCCTTCCTTTTAGGTGTCCCGCGAACCGGCGATCTTTACAAAGTTGCCCAGCTTATCGGCCTCAAGCTTATCGCGGTAAGTTATAACTGATGGATATCCCACTCCCCGTCCGGCTTCATTCTCTCATACCAGTATTCATAGAACGAATTTGTGGCCTATACTGCCCTTCAGCAAGATCCTAATTACGCCGATCTCTCGCCTCGCTCTCGACTAATCGCTACATATGCTCTTTGTGGGTTTGCGAACATCGGATCCCTTGGCAATCAGATAGGTGTCTTGGCCCAATTGGCTCCTAGCCGTATTGGAGACGTGTCACAGGTTGCACTGAGTGCCATGTTGACAGGAGCATTGAGCACATTCACCAGTGCCAGCATCGCTGGACTCCTAGTTACCGACCAACAGCAGTTCTTTAAACCAAAGGACATGGCCATGGGAATGAACTCGACCATGGCAATATGAATATGAGCCTGTTAGCTAACTGAACCCGGTGTTCATAGCTTCAACTATCTACTTATGTGTTTACGTGGCTTTTATTTCTCCTCTCTTCAAACTCCAATATCCAAGAGAACACGATATTACGTGTCGTAATTCACGCCACGGCCAAGCTAGGGCCATTAGAGCCTTGCTCCCGAAATATTATAATATGAACAGTTCATTTCTGTAAATAGTCATACATCACGAGCGTCCGTATATAATTCCTACTTATAGGGTTGACCCCCTGACCTGTGCTTTCTCCCCTTGTCTTCTCCTGCATAGGGGGCCACGGGTCGCAAAAACGAGGGGAAATATTACATTGGTGTCAAATACCATGCTAACTGATACCCCGGTTCGTTTATATGGCATTGCCTTCTTTAAAGCTTACGGCTCTTTCAAGAAGGGACTCGAGTATTGGTGAACATTGCATAAGAAATCATAAGCTGAACTCTAGAGATTCCACGGTTTGGTGTACCTTCTTGCCAGCCGCCGCCACGATACCCCAGATTCAATATACTCCTTGACACTTCCTAAGGCCGTGGGTCTTTAACGGTTGTTCTGCTGTGGGCCGTTTCTTATGACCAATAACTAGTTAGGAGATACCAAATGAAATCAATGTAATCGTCTAGTGCGTTGACTTTGCTAAGTTCGTCTACTAGGGAACCTGTATTAATTATCCGTCTTTGAACAAATAGGTCAGCTAGATCGAACTCAAGCTTAATTGGGAATCTCGTTCCTCTACAGAGGACCAATTTGCTGTGTTATTTTGGCAATAAACTAGGTGATTGACCTCTTTTGGGAGAGCTTCGCGTGAGAATTAGGTCTCTAGGGCTAAATAAGGCTTAGGCAGCAGAGAAGCGTCTTAGCATTGAAATTAGTAGATAGTCCATATGGTTTGAATGATATATTGAACGAAGAGTAACACCGGCAGATCACACATCGCATGATGATGGAAGGTAAAAACTCCTGTTCCGTGTCTCTGGGGCCCGAATAATGGTTAGCCTAAGCCCTGAAGCTGCTACTCATCGAACCCCTTAAAATGAATTACAAGTAAGCAAGAAATCATCAGACCAGATAGTTGGCGAGAGATTATACACTTACCTACTTCAAGATCCGAGAGCTTAACTAACAGTTGGGCCATGGCTGCCTTTAATTAGTACTTTTAACCTCTAGCAAGATATTCAAACTGGACGGGTGGTGCCACTGTGAATGAGTTCCATATTTTGTGTAATTCAAGGCCTACAATTTTCTTCGTGTTTATTGACATATACACGGATGCTTGCATTCGGATAAACAAGGGCCTAGCTATAAACTTCATACGCTGGTTTGCTACTCAGCCTATATTAGAGACGGAGTTCGAATACAAAGAGGCATGGCAGCAGGCTTGGATTAATAGAATTCATCTGAAGAAAGAAACAAGAGAAGCAAAAAATCCACCAGATACAATGCACACTTGTCATCTTCTCGTCCATTATAGGGCATAGTTTGCCGTACAGTGCCAGTGTTCAAAGTACCAGGTTATGCAGAATAAGAAGAATTATAGCTTCGTCCATTCCAAAGAGCTGTAGCGCATTGGAGCGCTCTCATGCAGCACCAAGTGAGAAAACTCCAGCTCCCAGACCGAACTAATATGAAAGTAATCCAATGACCAACGGTAAATAAAAATGCCTTCTTCCCTGCCTTCCGACAAATGCAATGGAATTCGTTATATTGGAATTGACCCGGAGACCGTTTCCCAGGAATCGTCAAGATCTAGACGTAAACTTCACTCGCCAGCCTCGATCTCTCGGTGACGAGCTAAAACGAGCCTTTGATACTCTGCAGGGTCCTTATCCCACAGCTCAGCGGCTTGTCCGTTCAGGGGACTTGAACTGTAGAAGATACAAATTAGTAACTGAAGACAAGTAAACCAGGGTTAATAACCGAGCGTGAATATGACGAACTTATTAGGCTCGCCTAGAAGGCTTTGAAGGCTGAGAAGCACGCTTTGGACATTATATACTGCGCTCCACTTTTCCTTGAGGATATCAAGGCAGATCCGTCCAGAGAAATCCACATTGGGATGGTAGATTGGCGTTTTGAATAAGACTGTAGGAGGAGCGTATGGGTAGTTTGTAGGGAAGGAAAAGGAGAGTTTGAAGGAGAGCTTCTGATAGGGAGTGTCATCAGGCCCGTCGATGGTGGCGGTCCAACAAAGCAGGTTTCCGTCTCCGTCTGGGAAGGCTGATATGCCAGGAGAAGGAGACATCATCAGCTGCATGAGCTCACTCTGGAGTCTATCGGATAAAACAGTAAGCATGAGTGTCAGAAATAACCAACTAAACAGTAAGATGGAAGCAGAGTAACTCCATTAGACAAACCTCTTGGTAACGCTTTGGGTGTCAGCCTTGGAAGCTGTCGCGCCGAGCTTCGAGTGCTCGACATTGGCCTGGCCCTCAGGAGCCGCATTCTGAGAATCTTCAATAGCGAAGTCCATGGCTGCTCTCGACTGATCCACTTCAATAAGGTATCCGACCTGGCTCTAAAAGAGAGTCGACGATGGAAGTATTAAGAGAAGAGCGGTGGTCTCGCAGGAGTATTAAATATCGGGCCCTGGCTAGCTAGGACTCGAGTCTGTCTCATTAAAAGGATAAACGAAAAGCAGGCCCCCAATATCTAACGCCGTGGTATCGTCCTCGCGGAGTGTCAGCTAGAAAAGAAACAGACGCCGGGCGGTTTGAAAGTCGTTCGCTCTTCGTTTGTTCGCTGGCTGTGTTTGTGTTTTATTTCCCTGGCAACCGCCGCACGGCTTATCGATAAGAAAACCCGAAGGGCGATTCTCGTCCACTCGACCTGCGCGCGCTGGGATCAACCTGAAACTGCGTCGTCCCGCGTCGAGGACAGTCAGTTGGTTCAGCTGCACAAGACAAGGCCTTTTGGACGAGAGAGGCTGGCAAAGGACTGTCTCATGCAGGCTGGGCTGCAATCCTAGAGTCCTGTTTCACTCGTTCTTCGACCCTGACGCTCGTTTGGCCATGAAGCATTCGCAGTTGGCGCCGTTGCCTGATGACCTGCCATTCCGCATAGTCTCACGGACAATAGGACAGGGGGCCTATGCATGGTAAATATATGCTTTGCAATGCGTATTGTTTGCCATTTCCTGCCTGCTTTTTCTTCCTTTTTTTTTTTTTTTTTTTTTTTCTCTACGCGCTCTCTACTTGATAGCCTGCTGATATTCCATTTCTAGCATCAAGAAGGGCTGTCCCACGAATGCGGACGGTCCTATCTTTGCAGTGAAATTTATACACAAGGAATATGCCGCCAAACATGGACATATTAGTGCAAAGCAGTTGCAGATGGAGGTCGCGCTGCATAAACATATCGGCAGCCACGAGAACATCATAGAATTCTACAATACAGGGGAGAATGAGGCCTGGCGGTGGATTGCCATGGAACTTGCTGAAGGTGGTGACTTATTTGACAAGATTGAAGCTGATGAGGGTGTGGGCGAGGATATAGCGCATGTTTACTTCTCACAGTTGATTAATGCGGTTGGATTTATGCATTCTAAGGGAGTTGGCCATCGAGATATCAAACCGGAAAATATTCTGTTGTCTGTGGATGGAAACCTGAAGATTGCCGATTTTGGGCTTGCTACGCTATTTGAATATGGCGGGAAACTGAAGTTAAACACCACGCTGTGTGGAAGTCCCCCCTACATTGCCCCCGAAGTCATTCAGTGTAGCAATCGAGGTCACTCAAAGGGCCAGGGCTACAGAGCTGATATCGCAGACGCATGGTCATGTGGTATTGTGCTATTCGTGCTGCTGGTGGGGAATACCCCATGGGATAGCCCTACAGACGAGAGCTATGAGTTTTGTGACTATGTCAAATCAAACTCAAGGCCTTCGGATGAATTATGGAATGACATCCCCTCGGATGCACTCTCGCTCCTTCGTGGTATGCTAAAGCTGGACGTTAACAGTAGGTTCAACATGGCAGATATTCGCAGACATCCCTGGTTTACACGCCAAAACAAACACCTTGTGGATGGAAAGCTCGCCAACCCGGTGAAGCTTGCTACAACCATGTTCGAGTCGCTGCACATAGACTTCTCTCAGAACCCACTGTCCTCGTCACAGGCACAATCACAGCATAGTAACTCTGATCTGATGGATATTGATTCGGGGGCCAGCGATGATTTGAAGCCTAAGTTTTCGGCTACCCAGCCAGAGACCCCTATGGATCCTAGCATCATGGATTGGGACGGCCCGCCTCGACTAACAACCGGACTCCAGTCAGCTTCCCAGCCTAAGGATGGTATAACTACTGACCAAGCCATTCTTCTAGCAGAACAGCTCCTGGAAGAGCCATCCATGTCACAGTTCTGCGCCACGCCATCTGTGCCACTCAGTCGCACCCAGAACGCGCAGCGGTTCCAGGACATTGTTCCAGCTTCGGGTCTGACTCGCTTCTTCTCCACCTGGCCTGCTAAATCTTTGGTTTCTCGGATCTGCGAGGCCTTGCAGCTCCTGCACGTCCCTGTTGCACCAAAGATATCCACGGAATCAGTACTTATCCGACTACGAACTTCAGATGATAGGAAGTGCCCACTCCATGGGAATATCCTTATAGAGACAGTGTCAGAGGGCCTTGTTGAAGTTGAATTTGTGAAGATCAAGGGAGATCCACTGGAATGGCGCCGGTTCTTCAAAAAAGTTACGATTTTATGTAAGGATGCAGTTATGAAACCCGATCAATAAGCTATATATGCCTTGAATTTAGATGTCATGCTTTAATTGGTATACTTTACAGCCCATTGTAGACATACAGCAAGATAATGTTGAGATGAGGTTCGGCAATAGAATTTGAACAAGTTGTCCTTGTAACATGAGACCGTAGGCCCGATAAAAAGGATCCATTGGCAATGTAAGGCTATACTTAGTTTATCCGACTGGCCTGAGACAAAAATACAACTCAACATCTCAACCTCCGGTGATCAACCAAGAACACTAGGCTACCAATTGACCATAAAGCACGACACATGGTATGCTACGATGATGGACCGATTGCCACTTGAGATTCTCCAGGTAATCATTAGCTGTATGATGTTCCTGTTGCCTACTAGAATACTAATGACCTGGCTGACGGTGTAACTAATGGTTATCTAGATCTCTCTCCAGAAGACCTGGTCATTTTGCAGCTGGTATCACGGAGGCTATATGCTGCTGCGCGTGATAACGTCGTATGGCGCGAGATATGCTATCTGGCTCTGAAAGAGCGCTTTATGAAGACGAAGCGGAAGCTCACTTTTTATCCGGTATCTAGCAAACAGCTGTGGCAGTCTCACCTGTTTGAGGATACCCCAGACAACGCTGCGGTGCGTTGGGACCCGTCAGATCCAGAGGAAGAAATTGACTGGTGCGCTGAATACGTTGCTCGCTATGGCCCTGTGAATGTCACTTGGTTACAGAGTCCGGCTATTGAAGACCTTATTGGCCGTGGTCGTCCACTGGAGGCCAAAGGGGTTGGCATCCTGAAGAACAGGAGTTACGGTGCAGACGACCAGGTTGTTGGCCTGCTTGAGAACGGCTTGGTGGCTATTTGGGATGCTAGCCATGGGAAAGCTGCCCGGTCAAGTCGCTCTGTGCTTTCGCTTCCCAGTCTCTCGTCGTCGGCTGATCTGAATAATACGAGACATGATGGCATTACAGAGCGAATCAGTGTTGATTCTATCTCGCGGAGAGCATATATTGCTGACGCCAACGTTGTTAATGAAGTGGACTTGTCCACCCTGGAAGTGATCTCGCAGAGGGCTTATCCGGAGCGTATATTTGCTCTATCGCAGGAGACGCTAGACTACCAGGTCCCTATTACGGTTGCCACAAGCAAAGGGCTACATCTTTTAGATCCGAGACTCCAGCCGGCGTATCAACAGAGGGATACATCTATTTTCCTGGAATCCCACTCATCATTACATCCAAGTGCTGGAAATCCCAGAACAGTGAATTATACCGAGTTACTTCAGCCCGGCCCTAACTGCGTCCTCCACCCTCCATTCCCGAGCACGAATTCCATAATCGTGGCTGGACGATTCTCGAGTATCCTTCTTTATGACCGCCGGAATCTGGGGCGTCTACAAGCAAATGTACACTCCGGCGCTCGGTTATGCGGGCTGACGGCCTTGCCAGCCATCCCCAAATACTACCGTTCATCAGATTCCAGCGTTCGAGGTCAGTCTTTCGTTGCATGCGGAGAGCATAGGGGGATTGGCTCCATAGAAATATACTCCCATACGTCTCCGGATACAGATGGCACCTCTGCTTTCGCAATTAAAACCGTCAACGTGAACAGAGCGTCTACTTCTCCCTCAAAACTTCTCTCTGTGGCCCTCCATGGATCTCGGATTGTGTTTTCAGATTCAATGGGCCGCATCATTTGGATGGAGAGAGACGGCAGGACGCCTTTACGGACTCTGGATCTGAATGGCAAGTCTCCGGAGGTTGGATCAATTGGGCAAGGGAGGGGGATTAACACCGCGATGGAACAAGACTATGATTATGATGTAAACGGTCGTGTAGCTCGCAAGATCATACCTACCAGGGGTAGCAGGCTGGACCAGGACGGGCTGATCATCTGGACTGGATCTCAAATTGGGCGGGTACACTTCTCTCATGCCCACAAAGAAGAACCGCTAGTAGCTGAAGAACCCTCTGAACAAGAAGTAGAGAGGATGAGGATGGAAACGGAGGCCTGGCGGGACTTTAGAAAGTGCATGTCTATGGGCTGGATATGATACGTCTCGACGCAGGCCTGCTTTCAAATGTTTTGATAGCACTTATAAATCACACGGCCGCCCGCTATCCACGGCCGTCTAGCCAACGTCCTTGCTGCTTCGAGTTGCTCCATCATGCTTTGTAGGATTTACGAATCAAGCCTCTGTTCACCTCTTCGTCGTCTTCTCTCGTCTTCTCTCGTCTTCTCTTCTGCTCGCCGCCGGCACTCTTGCAGCCAGACGGCCGAAGTCACTAACTAAGTAGCTATCTAGGCCATGCAAGAATCAGCCGAGGCACGGAGCCATCCGGGTTCTGCGCCGGCGACGTTGACGCACGAGAATAATGAGCGACGTCGAGCTTCGTGCTGTGTGGCTGCTCGACGGTCTGCCTGCGCCCTTCAACCCGGTGCCTTTAGGGTCAAACAGATCGCCCGGAAGTAGCATTGGTTCTTCTCCCCGTCGGCGGCCGAAGGGAGAAAAAGTGGTCGCCTCTAGGTACCTTTTTTAGGCTTTCTTAGTTTTCATCTCGATGTCCGCCGGGTCGCATTTCTGGTCGCATTTTTTACACTCGAACCGCAATCCTGCCTGACGCATCCCTTATATCTGCTCGGACGCCCCTGAGTCTCGAGTTCTCCGTTCTGCCTTGCCTGCTCTGTTACTTTATACCCTTATTGTCGCTCCTACGCTGTCCCGGTCGAGAAAACATCTCCTCCCACCCTCATCAGATACGGCTCAGCGATGGCGTTGCCACAGGAGGAATTGCGGTTCAATACGGTGGAAGAGACGGTAGAGGCGTTCAGTATGTCTTTATAGAGCTGTCTGCGTGCTTGATGCGATTGCTAACTGCTGTTCTTCTCTCGACAGGAAATGGAGAATTCATCATCGTGCTTGACTCAGAAGACAGAGAGAATGAGGGCGACCTGATCATTGCCGCAGATTCCATCACCACTCGCAAAATGGCCTTCATGGTTAGACATTCAAGGTCAGCACGGAGCTGGGAGCCTTTTTCACGGCTGGTCTACTGCCTGTAGCTGACAATGCCAATCCAATAGTGGCTATATATGCGCCCCGATACTGCCCAACCTAGCCACCCATCTCGAACTGCCCCAAATGGTCTCCCAGAGCACCGATCCGCACCGCACCGCATACACAGTCTCAATCGACTCGAATGACCCTTCAGTCACCACCGGAATCTCTGCGCATAATAGAGCGCTTACCTGCCGCACCCTAGCCTCCCCTGATGTCAAGCCTTCCAGCTTCCGACGGCCCGGCCATATCCTACCCCTCCAAGCAAGGGTTGGAGGCGTACGTGAGCGGCGAGGCCATACTGAAGCTACTGTTGACTTCTGCCGATTGGCCGGGAAGTTCCCTGCCGGCGTCATCTGTGAGCTAGTTGAAGATGGCGAGTCTCCAGAGGGAGTCGCCGAGCAGTCTGGTGGTGGGATGCTTCGGCGGGACGGATGCTTGAAGTTTGGAAAGAAATGGGGCATCAAAGTCTGTACGATCGAGGCATTGGTGGAATACCTGGAGAAGACAGAGGGACCTCTTCCAGTCGTTAATGGGAAGCATAGTTAAGACGGACATAAGACGGACATCCTACTCTTTGCTTCGTTCTTTTTTTTGGGTTATGATATACTGCCTGGTTATACATTATTACGGTGCATTCTCCCCTCTGTTACTCATGGTGATATAACGGAAAATTATAGAAGCGGTTCCTATTGGCGTTATATCTTTTTAGAGCCAAATGAATTAAAGTCAAGATGGGAAACAAATGCATGCAGATAAAAGTACATGTTTGAAATAGTAAACGCCGAAGTCATGCTTGAAGAGAATGCGTAGAACCGACGAACTCCCTGTGAACCAAACCCCAGTAGTCCGCCCTGATAACCCAAGGGCAACATTATTTTTTAAGGTGTGAATAGTCTCGTAAGATGCCAGCCATATGCGTATTCGTAGTCTTGCCGCTCCTGCGTGCCTTCTTAACCTTCTGCTCTACCTTTGGTCTGGCTTTGGCAGCCTTGTGCTTGCTGGTAGGTGTAATTCCGGCCTTCTCGAGCTCTTCCATCACAGTCTGATGGTCGGGAATCTTAACCTTTTCCCAGATCTGACAGAACTCCGGGTCAAACTTCTGCGAGAGCGAGGGATCATTTGCCCATATCATCTTGGGATGGTTGTCTTTCTTGTTTCTAGTCACAAGCAGCTTTCCCTCCTTCTCAAGCTTATTGATCGTCTCTACGATAGTAGGCCAGCCTTCACGCAGCTCACGGACACTCATACCCTGGGCCGTCTTCTGAGACTGGAGATGCTGCAAGAGCTGGTCGGCAGATCGGATGTTGTGCGGAGGACGGAACTGAAAGGTTCCCTCGCCGTTGGCACCAGCCGGATCGTACTGGACCTTATCATGCGATTGCAGGATGCGCCTTAAGGCATGGATGTATCCCATATCATGTCCCTGTCTTGACAGCGATAGGTACGACTCGATATCTGAAAACTTCAGCGGAACATCCTTGCCCTTCATATGCTCGATAGCAAAGATCACCTGGGTCATGATATCTCTCCCCGTCCCCGTATTGGCGGGCTGCGAATAGACGATGTCCGCGTCATGGCGTCTTGGGGTTTGGGCGGCAGGAGTCGATGCGTTCGAGGCCGGCTGGAGAGTAGACGAAGCCGCATTATTGGCAACAGCGGCTCTTCGGTCAGAGGGGAGTCTGCTCGCCACAGAGACCACGCTGTTGCTGAAGGAGTTGATCTGCTTCTGGAAATAAGACATCGTTGAAGGATGTGCGTATGTATGTGTGCTTGATACAGTCGCGTGTCCTATCTGCTCTCACAGGGTCAACCAGAAGAGGCTCACGGCGGCCTCAATGACACATCTATCGAGCAGACGAAATCACTCGCATAGCTCTCTCCCGCAGGCGCCCGGACTCCTTTTTAACCGCAAACTCTCTCTTCCACTTCGTATGGCCACCGGGCTGGACGTTCGTTGAGGCTGGGGATGTCGATGATGTCGTTGCTTCAGAGGTGAAAGCGAAAAGGACGAAGTTTGTTTAGTTTAGGCTGCAAAATAATCACGTGATATTCAAAAAGCCTCTCAAAACATCGACAAAACGAAGATTCAAAAGCAGTTTTTGCTGTATTTCCTGCTCGACCAGGAGTGAAGCCTGGAGATCTCATCGATAGTGAGCATCGCCAGCCACTCTATCACGTCTGGTAATCTCCAGGTAACGGTCTTTGGGGGAATATAGCGCTATACAGCGGGTACCTGTGCGATTTAAACGGCTTGTCGAGCTGGTCTATGAGCTAGCTCTGTTTACTGCACAGGTGCCAGACGACGTCGACGGCCTTGGATGGTCACAAACACGCGCCTTAGAACCGTTCCCTAGTATACCGCCTAGCAGACGCGGCCATGGCGACTACCGCCGTGGATATCCCATTCCTTGCTTCGCACTATGCCATCCCTGAAACCGCGTTAACGACACTATCAGAGAACCCAACAGTAGAGCTTGTGAATCAGCTACTGGAGAGCATCTATACCAAGGCTCGCGAAACAGAGGAGCTCAAGTCGGACAAGCTACGGCTAGAGGTTGAGCTTGAAAATGCTGTTCGTGGTGGTGAGGCCAAGGTGAAGGTTTTGAAGTTGTCGGTAGAGAAAGGGTTGGAAGAGATATCAAACCTCCGAAACAAGCTTCAGGAATCAGGCAAGTCATATATAAGAGCAAGGATATAGAAAGATTATATCGTATGTTTCTAACCGTACTGCTATACAGAGAATACTCGATCCCAGCTTGAATCTGAAATCGGGACATTGAAGTCGACATCATCTACGAGCGAAGCGGAAGTCGGAAGCTTCAAATCACGTATAGCTTCATTGGAGGCATCTAATCGTGATACTCTCAGCCTCCTTGAGTCGAAATCTACTGCCTACGACAAACTCGCAGAGGAACTTTCTACCCAACACCGCAAGACTATTGACCTTCGCCGTGAAGTTACTGCTCTGGAGCAGAAGATACAGGCGGCGTCATCTACAGCAGCCAGTACCCGGTTCCGAGAACAGAGCCTGCAACAGGAAGTAGACCTTTTGAAGAAGAACAATGAATGGTTCGAGACAGAATTAAAAACAAAATCCGCAGAGTATCTCAAATTCCGAAAGGAGAAGGGTACACGGATCGCGGAACTTCAAAGACTAAATGAAGAAGCCAACTCAAAGGTGGAGTCATTAGAACGCAGTGAAAATGCTCTCAAACGACGACTAGACGATATTGAGCAAAAATACGAGGAGTCTCTCGCCAATATACAACAACTAAAGGAGGAAGCCATTCAAGCCGCCGAATCATTCCGGATTGAACTTGACAGCTCCACACGCCTAGCTCAACTTCAACAGGCCGCCGCTGAAACTGCAAAACAACGCGTTCAGGAATTCCAAATTGCATTGGATAAGGCCAGAGATGATGCTACTGAGCAGATTTCTAGACTTCGTGGGGAGATTGAAACCGAGCACTCCGATAAAGAGGCAGCAGAGCGTCGCATTGCAGAGCTTGAGCTGGCAATTAAACAGATGGAGACTGAGGGATCTGCTGCGAGACTGCAGCCCATGAGTCCTGGCTTCAACAATGGGGTATCTACTCCCCTGCGTCCAGGAACCCCTGTTGGATCATTCTCACCGAGGTCTTCTCGCGGTGTAAAGGGAGGATTGACTCTTACTCAAATGTACACCGAGTACGATAAGATGCGGACCCTTCTCAGTGCCGAGCAAAAGAATAACGAAGAGCTCAAGGCTGCCATGGATGAAATGGTGCAGGATTTGGAATCGAGACAGCCGGAAATTGATGAATTGCGTTCGGACCACTCGCGCCTTGAGGCTGCTGTCGTCGAGATGTCCAATATTCTGGACACAGCTGGCAAGGAGAGAGAAGCAGCAACGCGGGAGGCAAGAAAGTGGCAGGGGCAAGTTGGAGGTCTGGAGCGTGAGGGACAAATATTACGCCAGCAACTTAGAGACCTTAGCTCTCAAGTAAAGGTACTAGTTATGGAAGTACACCTGTTGTCTGCTGGTGAAAAGGAGTATGACAGGGTAGACCTTGAGAAAATCGCCCGGGAGGGTATTGAAGAGTCAGCAGAGGACATGACCGAGACCGGTCAGTTTATCAGCCGAAACTTAACGACCTTCAAGAACCTCAACGAACTCCAGGAACAAAACGTTACATTGCGCAGAATGCTCCGACAGCTTGGAGATCAGATGGAGGGCGAAGAGGCTCGCCAAAAAAATATTTCGCACCAGAAGGATCAGGAAGAATTGAAAGAACTCCGTGTGCGTGTTCAAACATATCGGGACGAAATGGCAAATCTTGTCTCGCAAACCAAGAGCTACATCAAGGAGCGTGACACTTTCCGCAGCATGCTTATACGGCGTCGCGAAACGGGGGAGTCTTCCGAGCCATTCTCGCAATCTCTGCCCCTGGGAGCAGCTCCTCCTGCTCTTGATGCTAGCACTATGTCTGCAGCTCCTGGCCCTGACTATGCTGATCTCCTCAGGAAGCTCCAGGCTCACTTTGATTCATTCCGTGAAGAAACAGCAACCGATCACTCGTCATTGAAGCAACAGGTCAACGAGTTAACGAGGAGAAACAGTGAACTTCAGAGTGAAGTTAGCCGCGCCAGTAGTCAACTTGCCTCTGCCATCCAGCGTGCGGAGCTTTTGCAATCTAATTTCAACTTGCTCAAGGGCGAGAATGTGGAACTCCAGAAGAGACATACTGCGCTGATGGAGAATGCAAACAAACAAGATCTCCGGACGCAGCAAGTTGCTGAAGATCTTGTAGAAGCACGCGGACTTGCAGATAGTCTTACAAGAGAGAGCGCAAATCTTAAAGCTGAGAAGGAACTTTGGAAGAGCATCGAGAAGAGGCTCATTGAAGACAACGAGTCGCTGCGTAATGAACGTAGCCGGCTTGATTCATTGAATGCTAACTTGCAGTCTATGCTTAATGAGCGCGAGCATTCCGAAACAGAGAGCAGACGCCGTCTGCAGGCAACTGTTGAGTCTTTGGAATCCGAGCTCCAAATCACCAAACGCAAACTCAATGAAGAAACTGAGGAAGCAAAGAAGGCGACACTACGCAAGGAATATGACCACGAGCAAAGCCAGAAGAGAATTGACGATCTTGTCACAAGCCTAAGCTCCTCGCGAGAAGAACTCATTGCCACGAAGACGAGCAGAGACCATTTGCAGTCGAGAGTTGATGAATTGTCTGTTGAACTTAAGAGTGTAGAGGAACGACTTGCGGTATTACAGCATAAGCCTAATACCAGTGCCACCGTTCCTACTGCTGGAGACGAGTCTACTGAAGCAGTGCCTGACAACCAGTTGAGCCGAGAACAGGAGCTTGCAATTGAAGTTTCTGAATTGAAACGTGATCTCGAGCTTACCAAGGGTGAACTGGAGCATGCGAAGGAACAGGCTGAAGACTTCAAGGCCATTAGTCAGTCAACTGAAGAAAGGCTTGAGGCTCTTAGTGATACAAATGAGCAATACCGTGAAGAAACTGATCGCCTTCTTGAGGAGAAGAATGCTAAGATTGCGGATTTGGAGAAACGTGTGGAGGAAATCACTAATGAGCTTGCGGCTACTAACAACGAGATATCCAAACTTCGAGACCAAGAGGGAGAAGCTCAGCGCCGCATGGACGATCAGAAAGAATTGCTGGAGGCTGAAATCAAGAGACTCAAGGAGAATGAAGAACGATACACTGCAGCTGCACAATACCATCAACAGGATCTGAAGGCTCAAGCTGAAATCGCTCAGAATGCCCAACAGAACTACGAAAACGAACTCGTCAAACATGCTGAGGCCGCAAGAAATCTACAAACCGTCCGGGCCGAAGCAAACCAACTCAAACTAGAAGTGGTTGATCTGCGGACACAAGCAGAGAGCGCTAAGAATAACCTAACTCATCAAGAAGAGAACTGGAATGAGTTGAAGGAACGTTACGAGTCTGAGATTGGAGAATTGAATCGCCGCAGGGAGGAAGTCCTCAAACAGAACTCGCTTCTTCATGGACAGCTGGAGACCATCACTCGCCAAATTTCCGCTCTGCAGCGTGATCGGGCCAGTATGCCAGAGAATCCCGAGGGAGAAGCCGATGTGTCTGGTACTGACTTGGAGGGTCTCCAGGAAGTCATCAAATTCCTGCGTAGAGAGAAGGAGATTGTCGATGTCCAGTACCATCTGTCCACTCAAGAAGGGAAAAGACTTCGACAACAGCTTGATTACACCCAGAGCCAGCTTGAAGAGACTCGCCTCAAACTTGAACAGCAACGCCGTGCTGAAGCCGACAGTGAGCACAACACTCTCAACCACAACAAACTCATGGAAACTCTTAACGAGCTCAATCTCTTCCGTGAGAGCAGTGTTACTCTTCGTAACCAAATCAAACAATACGAAGCAGCTATCGCGTCGAAATCTGCTCAAATTGAAGAAATTCAACAACAGGCTGAGCCTCTTCAAACCCGCATTCGAGAACTTGAGAATAATCTTGAAACTAAAGATGGCGAAGTCAAGTTGCTTCAAGAGGACAGGGACCGATGGCAACAGCGCACTCAAAATATTCTTCAGAAGTATGACCGAGTTGACCCCGTTGAAATGGAAGCCCTAAAGGAGAAGCTTGCAACCCTTGAAAAGGAGCAGGCTGAGGCATCCACTGAGAAGAGTGCCCTTCAGGCCCAGATTGATGCATTCCCAGAACAGCTCAAGCAAGCTGAGGAGAAGGTTCATGATCTCCGTTCTAAGCTGACCGAACAATTCAAAGCCAGATCCAAGGAGCTCACGGGCAGAATTAACGCTAAACAAGGAGAGCTCAACACTGCTCTCCAAGAGAAGGAGGCCATTCAACTCGAGCTCAACAGTACACGAGAGGAGCTCAATGCTCTCAAAGCCAGCGTATCCGAAAATCAACAAGCCGCTGCTGCTCAAAGCGCTCCTGAACCACAGCCAGCTCCTGTCCAGGCTGCAGTGTCTTCTGAACAGCCTAGTGCCGAAAGTGCACAGAAGATAGCAGAACTGGAGGAGAAGGTTGCTAAACTGGAGGCAGCTCTGGCCGAGAAGGAAGCAGAAACAGATGCAAAGATCAGGGAGCGTATTGAGAAAATGAAGGAGACACTGAACAACAAGCTAGCGGAATACAAGACAGCCCACAAAGAACAAATCGACAAAATGACCGCGGCTCACCAACAGGAACTTGCAGCTAGACCTTCTGGTGAACTCCCCCCAGAGCTAACTGATAGTCAAGCCAGGGAATTGGTGGCTAAAAATGAAACCATCCGCGGCATCGTCAGGAACAATATCAAGAACGCCCTAGCTAGGGAGCGGGAATCTATGTCCAAGGAAGCAGATCCCGCAGCTCTCAAGGAAATGGAAAAGAAGTTTAATGAAGAAAAGGAGGCATACATGAAGGAGCGGGACCAGAAGGTCAATTCGGCCGTCGAACTGGCCGAGAAACGACTGCTAGCCAAGGTTAGCATGACCGAGGGACGGGCGCGAAATGTACAGGCTAAGCTGGAAGTTGTTCAGAAAGCCGCGACTGAAACCCCTCAGAAGCCAGTGGTGGAAGTCTGGGAGGTCGCCAAAGTTGCAAAGCCCGCCCCAGTATCTCAAGCTGCTACCCCTAAACCTGCAGGTCAGGCACCAGCTGCCGTACAACCTGCAGCCCCTGCACTGCAAGCGACGCAGCAGGCTGCTTCACAGGTACCTGCAGCGCCGACGACGCCTGCTAAGCCAACAATGCCTACTGATTCGCAACAAACTCCAACCCCAGCGGAACGACCGGAACAGGCCCCCCAAGCTCCCCAAGTGCCTCAAAATTCTTCTCTTCCTCAGCCAACAACTCAAGTACAACAGCAACAAGTACAGGAGCCTGCCCAGAACGTCCAGCCTCAGCAGGTTCAGCAGCCTCAACATCCACAGCAACCCCAACAGACCCAACAGGGTCAGCCGGTATCAGGTCTCCCTAACAGGCCTCCTCAGTCTACACACCATCCTGCAGGGGGAACTGGTCCTGGGGTGCTTCGAGCCCTTCAATCAGGCTTACCTGTAGCTCGTGGGGGCCGTGGTAGGGGTGGGCCTGCTGGCCAAGTCAGCCAACCACATAACGTTGCAGGCCAGCACGGCACAGGTCTGCAACAACAGCAGCCACAGCAAGGCCAGCAACTTGGAGCCTCCCGAGGGCATGGTATTCCCCGTGGCGGCGGCCGTGGTAGAGGAGGCCCTGGCCGTGGGGGAGCACAGAATGTCCAGACAGGCAATCTTCCAGCGGGGACAGGCCAATCGAGTCCTAGAGGTGGACGAGGTGGACTAAATGCGCAGGCTCGACAGTTCATCCCTCAGGGTAATAAACGAACAAGAGAAGACGGAGCTGAAGCTCCTGACACAGGAAACGGAAAACGAATCCGTGGGGGTGGTGCAGGCTCAGGCTAATATCGCCTCACGGCTACTCAAATATACACCCTTCATGCGTTCCTTTTGTTGCATCTTTTTGTCTCTTATACTTCCATCGTTCCTCATCCCTATTTTTTTTCATTTGTTCACCGTTGTTATTGGAATGGTTTGGCTATACATTTCATTTTAAAATGCACTCACTTGATTGGTCTGCTGTTAAATCATCAGTGGGTATGATATCGGTTGCTCATGTATATTAATTTACATCTTGATTCAACGTAAATGAACCGTTGATGTGCTCACTATACTCCATATGATTCCTATAGCTCTGGCCCTATCCGTCACAAGTATTTCGCTATGCATTAACTAAATCATCTAAACGGGTATCTCTTGAGTGTAAAAACAATGGTAACAGCCCTGCATCTTGAGCGCAAGTGACATGCGGTCAAAGGATAGATATCAATCCAACATAAGCGGCAGTCCTCACCTCCTCCCAGAGCTAATCCCAATCAGTTTGGTCAAGCTCTCTCTCTCCCGGTTCAATGCTACTAGCCGGCCTGTTTCCACCAATCCTCCGTTCAGACTGTGCAGAGTCCTATTATCGTCAGTATTTCCCGCTGCTCTTTTTCTCCGCTGTAGTTTGCCCCCCAGAGATCCTCCGGCTCGTCCACCACCCCATACGACTGTCCAGGCCTCGACCGTGTCCCCCTCAGGTATCAGGCAAGATGTACAGATCTTAGCGTGTCTTCCAACTTTCACATCCTTACTTATAAACGCCGATGCTTCGATTGCTGAGGCGGAATATAGATGGGCACCCGCAGAGACGGTCGCAAGAGGTCCAATGCTCACTGAATTTTCTATAATGGTGGTGATTCGATCTGGAGCAGCCGATTCAATGTTGGAGCCGAAGTCAAGAGGCGTACCGGGCGTTGACGGAGTCGAAGGCGTTGACAGGCCTGAATTACTCGTGACTGGGCCTCCTATCACAGATTTCTCGCCGATAATGCATCCTTCCCCTATGCTGACTGGTCCTTTGAAAGAGAGTAGCTTCGCGCGAGGGTGGATAACGGTTCCTGCGCCCACCGAAATTGGGTGGACGCCTTGAAAATACGCGGTTTCAGAGATCGTAACGGATGGATGGACATTCAATGGCGGTCTGGGGATCGAGGGTGCTGCCGGAGGTCTATGAGTGGAAGAAGATACCCTTGTTGACATGGTAATTTCACGGTGTAGTTGAAGATTGGTGAGTTGTGAAGCTGTTACTAGGTGGTTGATGTCAACACAAGCGCCAATTTGAAGCTAGTTAACTACAAATCCCACCAATAATAAACAGCTATGAAAGTACCGTAGGCAACCCCCAGATTGTATGCGTTTCTACCATTAATTATGATAAATATTGTAGCTTAGTGTAGATGAGTCTAAACACGCGTCCTACCATCAGCGATTGATTCTTCTCTTCAGCTGACTTCCGGTCAGTCTGGCTTATACCCATTCGCTTTCGCCATTCCCAGACTCCTCTATCTACTTCTTCCTTAGTTATTCCGTCTTTGACGAGGCAGAACGTCACGCCAAGTTCTACTTGGACGTTTTTATTGCGAGACTCATCGTCAAAGAAAAGCATGTCCTCGTACTTCAGGCCACTTGACTGCTGAATACGAGTGAAATGTTGTGTTTTTGTCCCCGGATATATCTGAATATGCTCAAAGTAATCGAGCGCACGTATAGAACGACTATCGGCGGCAGGATTATCTGTGAAAGATGGAATGATATGCAGAGCTTTGAGAACATCGCGCGCAAGATCTGGCGTGTTTGTACGCGATGCCAGGCTGACAGGTATAGACCGCGCCCGGCATGCTTGTAGAATCGAGTGAACTGCTGGATAAAATGAAAATGATTCTCCCCATCTATTGGTAGAGAAAGGGGTCAGTTATCAAGGAACATAGAGGAGCACTCCGGATTCAGGGGACTGGGTCCAGAAGCGGTACCTGTCAACGCAGCGAGAGTTGTTATCCTTGGCTTTTATAGGAGCACTAACATGGGTATCTACCCAAAAGGGCCACAGAGTGTAATCTAAGTCAAAAACAAATATTTTAGGCAGAGGAAGTCCATCGTTGAAGGTTGCTGGAGCAGCATAGGGAGCTTCCAGGGCGAGAGGAAGCGGCACTTTGGCCGAGTTACTCCCTTTATTCTTGACCATGGTGTATATTTATTATGATCAACAGGAATGGGCGGATGTCCAGAATAGTGTCTTCTCAGGCAGGTCAAGTATCTTGATATATAGCAAGAAAAAGCAGGGGGGAAAATGGTGAATCTGAAGTGGAAGCTGGCCTCTTCTGCGTATTGCTGCCTCTTCTTCACCTTCGTCTTTGACTGTCGACTTCCTATCAATCTTTATCTTGATATTTAATATTGAATATTAACTAATGGATATTACCTAATAAATACAAAGTCACGTGAAAGATTAGTAACATTTTCTCCGAAAAAGGAAATACCAACGCCCATTCTTCCTCTGCTCCATCTCAAACCTCACTCGAAGGTGTAAACAAGGCAGTCGACGGTGTTCAAAATCCTCCAGATCTGCTCGCTCTCACGCGCGCCTTGAAGAGCAATCTGCTGCTCGATGCCAGTCCAGTCACTGGCATATTCAACTACACGGACCTGTTGTTCTCTTCCCAAGATTTCCAGTTCATCGAAAGCCATGGCTAAGATATCTCTCCAGACATATATTGGCAAGCCGAAGCGGTAGGGTGACTTATACACAGCTTTAAGCCGCAGATTGGTATTGTGGCTGAAACGATTGGCGTATGACTGTCGCTGGAAAAGACTGGTTGGAAACCCCATGGAACCCTGCGGAATATGTGGCTCGCTGGAAAGCTTCAAGGCCCAGATTCTTGATGTCAGAGAAGTCTGATAATTAATGCGGGCTTTCAACAGTGGTCCCAAGTTTTCATCACTGTTCCAAAGAGCTGATTCTTGAGGTCGGTTTCTCTCGTCAAGCAAAATAGCACGTGCAGCAACCAGCAGCCTGAATGTGGTAGTCCACAGCCTGACGCTGTGAATACCAAATGACTCCAATGCAGAGATGATGATTCGCTTTTGCACTCTTTCCATTTCGATCTTCTTCATTTTGAGGATCTCTAGCTCGGTTACAGTCCGCTCACGATCTTCCATGGTTCCTACTTGCTGGTCGATGGCACCAATCCCCTTGTCAGCTCTCGTAATATTGTGGATCTCTTTCCCAAGCTCCAAATATGCTTGACAAAGAGGCGATAGGCCTTTGTTCGGAGTACACACGATTCCTGAATCTCTGCCTTCAAGGCCTGGGGGAGCCATATCCTTTCCAGCCGGAAGAAACTCGAGAAGTGCTCTCGCAGACTCATGAGCCGTGACGATATTCCAGAGGTGGTACGCGCAGAGCGGGGAGTTGCATGTATTAGAGAATATGAGGTAGGGAATTGACCGAAGACCTCTTTTGCGGGCATAAAATTCCAACTCATTTGCAGATTCAGCCTGTTCAGCGCTCGACTCGACTATCTCTAGTTAATATTGGTCAGCGAGGTACCATTACTTTAACGTGTTAACTTTTAGTATAGTAGGTTTGAAACTTACTAGCAACAAGGGAAAAGTTGCTGGAATGGTAACCGCCTTTGAAGTACATGCACGACAAAACGTCGAACCCGGCATTTTCCAGGTGATTTCCACTAAAATCAATTTTCTTGACGAGGCAGCTATAGCGGAATGCGTTCAAAAATGCACTCAATGCTCTTCGCTCATATTCGTTGTTAACTCGAATGCTGTTGTTTGAGATATCCACTTTGGTTAGCGACGTGATACCGATGAATATAACCTCACTCAGCTTCATGAGGGACATGACCGTCAAGTTATTGCCACTCAGGCAGAGCTCAGTGAGTCGAACTGTCCCCTTTGGATAATCCTTATCACGATAACTCATGCACTGGACGAGGTCATCAATAAATACAGAAAGCCCATCGTCAGTGAGCGCCTTCCCTGCCAGGTCTAGCTCCACGTCCGGGTCAGGTCTAGCATCTCGTGCGTTAATTCCCGGTGGGATTCTTTTCCTCTGTGCCAACACGTCAATAAAGTTTCCACGAGTCACTGGCTACCAAAGGGTGGAAGGATACGGGGCTTACCAGTTCCTTCGACAAAAATTTCCCCAGTCTAACTCCGTAGGCTTTCTTCTATTGAAATTCGTCTCTACATCAACACTTGCCTTCGTACTCCCCTACTTTGCTATATCCTTGGGCCGCGACTTACATCTGCAAAGCTGATTTTAACCATCTTTTCTCCAAAGGAGTACTCGCTCGCGTTGTATCCGTTAAAACCTCCTCGCTGCTCGAGCTAGATGTTGATATTTAGCAATCTGCTTTCCGAATGAAGCACTACAAAAGCATCAGCTCCAGCGCTCGTGTTTTTGGACAATACAATGTTGAAATGATATATTTGTATTGGGGTTTCATACATACTTACAGGTATCCTTCTACGTAGCTTTCCGAAGCAACCAACTTTGAGGAGGAATCTTCGTATGCCTAGAAGAAGACTCGGATGGCTGAGGAAGAAAGAATCACCAAAAATATAAGAGGACATCTGTCAGAAGATTTTTACTCTACAGAAGGCGTGAAGTGAAAACAAACAAGGACGCCAAAGCACACTATCATGCCGAGCACTGTTGCCTAGGTGTTGCATTTATCACTTTGAATCAACAGGCTAGAGAGGGACACAGTATAGGAGACCAAGTTTAGAAATATTTCAAAGAAACATGAACTAGGAATCAAGGCTTAGTCTATTGTTGTGAAGGTTGAAAGAGAACACAGAGTAGATATATATTGTAGCTAGCACAGTTGGTGCCAGCGCATCTTTTAACTAGATATATATTAGTGACTATGTTAGTAAAACTCTGCAACAGCTCCAAACTCCTCTAGAAGCAATGGATCAATTTGTCTCGGATGCTCAGGTCGTGGGCTGCCCTGCCGGTGTTGTATATCGAAAATATTACCCTCGGCTAAGGGTATTTCAGTAGCTGTTAAATTTGACATTTTCCTCTTGGATGGTACCAATTTGAAAATTTCCAGGTTTTCTTTACCACTCACTCTCGTTTCAGGTATACTTTTCTCCGGAGTAGGAGGGTTTGTCAGGAATAAGTGGCCGTGTTCTACACCCTGGTCGGTGGGCAATACGTCAACATTGTATTGCAATGACTGGGCAGGTAATGGCAATAGGTCCGCTTTAGGTCTTTGAATTCCAGATACAGTTCCTTCATGGCCCTTTTCCTGAGAAGTGCTGATGCATGGGATATCATCCAGGTTCTTAAAGGGCATGACCTCTATAGGTTTATCATTAACATGATTTAGGCAGTCATCGTTCATGGCATCGTCCTCGACAAAAAAGTTTCCAGAGTCCTCATAATCTGCATTATTGATCGAGGAGCGAAGTTCTGACATTTGACTTATTCCTTTCTCGGTTGGGATATTATTTTTTGTAGAGGAGCTCTCAAAATCTCCCATCAAAGATTCAAACTCTTCAAAATCATCTCCATCTGATAAGGTATATTTCATGGCCCTTACTTTTCTCGCTGGTAAGGGCAGTTGTAACGGATCTAGCGTGTCATCCGAAAGGGGGAAAGAAGTTCTTCGACTATACGAATGATGCAATGCCGGCGCTTGGCCCCTCCCTTTTCGCTTGCTTGACGGTTTTTCTGCCCTCGCCCCACTGGTTAGTTTCTTCTTAGTAGGTTCTGGCTTCGTCAAGTCAATTACTTCAACTTGACGCTCTTTCTTGATGTTATCTTTGGATATTTTAGATTTCGCCTTGCAGTTACCCGACTGAGGCCTCTTATTATATACCTCTGTAACTTGCTTCTTGCTTTGCTTTGGCGGCTGGTCTGTACCTTCTCTACAGCAGAGATGTTTACATCTATGAAATTTGTGTTCCATTAGTACATCATTTAGCCTCAAGAGAGAGATGATCTTACGCTGTTTTGTCTTTGCATCGGTGGTTGCATGCCCACTTCCCGGTGTCAAGTTGAACTGGCTCAGAAGTCACAGAGCTATTGCCCCTACTTATTGTCTTCTTCATTTTGGAAGATATAGGAAGTGCAGTTGGCGCTGCTGTCGCTGTCGCCGCCGGGCCTTTGTTTCTGCTTTGGAGGATATCATCAAAGTCTTTGACCAATTAGCTGGCATTTTGATCTTCAAGATTGGGCTTTTCGTACCTTCTGGAATGAAGTCGCTGTAATTGAGGGGATCGTCACTGAACTCATCCAAGTCCTCCTGCTGAGGGGCCGGGGGCGACGCGGCATCGGGCTTCATTAAGGATTTAGGGGGTGGACAGTTGCGTGTACCTAGGATATATTCTGGAGCGCCTTTACTTGATGAAAATAGAAACTTTGGGAGGGTAGGTTGGATTTCTGCCTGTCTCATAGTTCCAGCTAGATAGAGTAAGTCGTGGGTAAAATAGCCTCGACAGGCCCAGGACGGCTTACCAATCTCATCACACATAACGGTGCAAGTAATTGTTTGAAAAGGATTCGTTATTTCGGCCGTTAAGACTATTTGTTGTCCTTTTTGTAATTTACTAGCACTTTGCCGTGTCAGTTCTGCTATCCAGGTAGGATGTAGTATCAGTTACTTAGTTAACCTACTGAAAACGTCGAAAGTCGATGATCCGGCCGTCGGAAATTTCTGCTAGAAAGCATACGTAAACCTGCCGTTTTTGGAAATAAAGAGGCGGTTTCTCGTTGACAAATCCAATATCTGCTTTAAATTTAACTCGTGGAATTTTCCCTGGTTTAATATCCTTCGCAGTTTAGACCACTTGTAGGCACAAAATATAACGTTCATGTAAAGTACTGAGGTACTTACCTTCCCAACTTCTTTCAAAGAAACCCTTGGCTTTGGGAATTCGGCTACTCGGGTAAGTAATTTCATGCCAAAGGGCGGATTCCTTGACAGTATAGTTTCAATACGAATTGGTTCCGCCGCCTCTAGCTGCTCCATATTCGTGATGCCAGCACTTGCAAATTTCCGAACCGCCACGATCCCGATCTGGTCTATTTGCTTGAGTTGTAACACAGAGTCATCCCAAGCTTTTGCTCCTAGGCTCCGGGATAGCTCAAGAGCATGTCTTGCGCTTACCGAATCTCCATGAGCTAGTTGGCAGTCAATGATGCAGCGAATAATTCGGTTGATGTGAGAAAAGACTAGGCTTTTATCCTGTTGAAACGATAGTCTGTGTTTCTGAAATTGTTCGCCAGACGGAAGTTCCACAGCACCCAACTCAGATTGAATCAGGAGAGTTATTTTATGAGCCGAAAGATTTATGTCCGTTTTGATAGGAAATTTGATGCCACTTGCTTTGTTTATCTCCTTGTACAGAGATTTCTCACCAGGCTTTAGCCGTATATCCCGGAATTCATCTGCTTGAGCAATGACCGAAAGCTGGCAGTTATTAGTTAGATACTGTACTTCAAAACTAGTGAAGGCCTCCTAACTTACTATCTCAGACATTTTTGCTTTTTGAGGCAGAGATAAAAACAGCTTCATCGTTTCAAACTTCACGTAATACCGAGCCATTGCATCTCCAAGCTCTGTGGATTTGAACGGGGGGTTTGCTGTCACTAGGTCATTTTCCTGGAGCAGTTCCAGGTCCTTTTCGCAAGTCTGCCGTAGCAATTCCTCTTCATCTGCCCTATTACCACCCTCTTTTAGTTTGTAATAGGTAGGATTTCGCTGTAGTCTAACAAAAAAGAAAGTCCCTCGAAGCCATCGAATTGCTGATTCGATGTCTGTAACTGTGCCGAGGCCTATTTCAGCATTGAGGTGATCTATTAAGTTCAGATGTAAGCAGCTCTCAAGAGGGTCAGAGCCAGAAACAAGCTTTTCGTAGTGGCCTACTCTCTCCTTCCGAGTTATTATAACTCCGACTGCACTGTCATCAAACTGCGGTCGCCCTGCTCTGCCTAGCATTTGCATCATTTCTAAGTCCGCGTACTCCTTGCAACCACCGTCTTGCCAGGATACTGTGTTTTTGATGACCACTAGGTGACATGGCAAATTCACACCAACAGCTAATGTTGACGTACAACATATCACATTTATTTGGCCATTTAGAAAGCTGGTTTCAATGGTATGCCGATCAGCGCTATCAAGACCAGCATGATGGAATGCTACCCCGGTAGAAACAATACCTGCCATAGCTTGTTAGTGGCCATTCGATAGTAACTGGAAAGAGCAAGATATAATATTACCGCTCAAATCAGCGTTCTGAACGTGGATGGGTTTTGTAGGGCTTTTCCAAAGCCTTTGAGAGGGATTGGTTGAGGACCATAGTTTTGCTAAATTTTTTGACGTTGCAATTGCCGAATTCCTAGTGCAGCAGAACACTAAGATGGGTTTCTTGGACGAATGCTTAGCAAGGACTTCTGGAAGTCTATGGCTAGTTAGTTAAATCCCAATGTCGTGAAGTTGGCCCAAGTTTCTTACTTAGTCTCACAAACTTTATCGAATGCGAAATCATTTCCATTGGCTTGGTACCCGTAAACGAACTTCTGAAGCGTAACGGGCCGGAACTCTTCTCCGAACCGCTCTCTATGAGCTGGAAGATGTTGGTTCGTTGGATCTTTTCCTAACCAGCTTGCAATATCTTCCGAATTTGGAACGGTAGCACTTAAGGCCACGAAGCGAACATTGGAATTCACTGACTTCATACGGGATATTACTGCTTCTAATATAGCTCCGCGGGCTTCTTTCAGGATATGTACCTCATCGATAAGAACTAACTTGATGAGCTGCATTAGCTTCATGTGGTCCTTCCATTTCCTAGTCATGCTGTCCCACTTTTCAGGGGTTGTAATAATGATACTGGCTTGTTGGACGTTTCTAATTTGAAAGTGGTCAGTATCCCCAGTAAGTTCGGCACATTTTAAGTCGAGAGGAGCAAATTTTGCACGCCAGTCCCGGAATCTTTCGGAGCATAGTGATTTTGTAGGTGCTAGGTAAACAACTTTGAAATGTGAATCCTTAAGATCAGAAACAAGCTTGCAGATAGCTAGTTCCATGATTACTGTTTTCCCACTCCCAGTGGGAGCAGATAGGACGACATTATCGGCCCGATGGTATATCACAGGGAATGTCTTGGACTGGATTGCGTTAAAGAGCGGGAAAGAGAAGAGAGTCCGAAATCGATCTGGGAGTTCGCGAGTAGATACAAGTCTAATGCCTTGTATAATAGGTGGTGCATGTTTCAACTGAATCTCTGGAGATTTGACAACTGCTCGTCTCTGAAAAGGGGAAAATGTAACCGGAGGAGTGATATCCCGTGCAGGTGGCCAATGTGGACTTTTATGGACGTCCAGGCCATGGAGTCTCCCTCTAGAGATTCCTTCAACTGTAAGTGACGGGCTCGGGGGCGATTCAAAGTCTGAAGAACTGGAGGCCAGTGGTCGAAATGGTGGAGTAATGAGGGTATTTGCTATTCTCGTTAGTAAAGAGTATGAAATATCGGTATCTTTTTTCTAGGAATAACGCATACAACTGCCAAATTTACTGGAGCGTCCCCGATGTAAAGGCGTTGAGAAAGGTTCAGGTTGAGGTATAACTTTTTGTTCATACATCGGTACAGTTAGTTCCGTTGCATCATGACCTAGCTGTGACAGCAACTCCTTATCTGCCGCAGTTAGAAACGTGCTGTTAGCTTAGGCCGTTATTAGAGGAGCAACAGCATTACTACGCCGTAGCTGCCCTACCAAAAGCATCCAGGGGAATATCATCATCAAGTACGTCAATTTCGGCATTGGGTATCTGTGGTTGGCGCTGGAACTCTTCGAAGTTTGGGAGAAGGGAGTCCCCCCGGTATGCCTTTTTCGTTGGAGTTCCTTCGAACTCATCATTCTCCTCTGGAGTTTTGGCAGGTTTATAGCTTGGAGAGCGAAATGTGCTCAGGAGAGAGCGAAAATTTTTCTGAGAACTACTGCTGACCATGTTGATACTGGCAATGTAGTCCTCGGGATTACGAATCGCAGCTCTAGGGTATCATTGAAAGAAAATCGTAAGGGTAACATCAGGACAAAACAGGCACGGCATATATTGAATATACTCCCACTACCATGGAGAAGGATGTCTGCAATGCTCGCTGTCTTTTGTTAATTCTTCAAGAGTGACGTTCGGAGGTTGAAAACGACGTCAAAATAGAGTCCAGGATTTAAAGTTTAAGTCACGTGTCACGACTCTCAGCGGAGAACAAGCAAAGCGACAGGAGAAATTTGATACCCATAAAGGAAAAGGTGTTTCATTTGGTATCTGTCATACAAGCCTTATCATTCGAGAGAAACAAAACTATCACTGCATACCACGATCTCTAAGGAGGGCTGGATAACCCGGAACAACATCACCTAATGAGCCGACGAAAAAGAAGGACCTGGAGAGGAATATGCTCCTATAAATGGGCGTAACACATGAGAGGCTGAAAATAATTGGGGTTCATATGCAGCATATATGCATTGTATGAGGATTATAGAAAACCGGGCAAGAAAAATAATAGGCATGATTTAACTATCACGACCTTGCTTCGGGAAATAGGATCCTCTAGATGAGTGGACACGTGAGTGGTGGCGATTCGGCGAACTAGGTCGAGAAGTACTCATCCCAGTCTCGTTAAGGAGAGGGGTAGTGGGCAGTTTGATAGAAAAGTCGTTCGGAGACGAAAGAGTCTCCTCGATCTCTATCTTGGAGGGCCTCCCGGATTTCTCCGCCGCATGTACGCGTATCGGGGGGATCCCTGATTGCATTCCGGGGAGGTATATATAAATAGCTGAAAGAACGATGGCAGTGCCGATGATGAACTACATTTTGGTAAACATACACATATCACAAGGTGATCAGGGGAGGATTAAAAAAAGGTCTTACATTTACCGATGGGCTGAAGTCAAAGAACCAGGCGCTGACTAAGGTGCTTAGGAAGATGCTGATACCTCCGGGCGCAAGTCTTAAATAGTTGTCTGCAAAAGTCATGCAGAATGAAGTTGCAAGTCCTCCGATAGCCTGGGAGACTATCACAGCCCAGACAACCCAATTGTAGCCCTGGAAAAACCCTGCCTTAGCAATCGTTTCGCCGTCAGTGAAGATGACTCCAATGAACAAGGCGGGGAAAATTGAATAAATGGCTAGCTGAACATTTCGGATCCAGATTGAAGTAGAGGTATGGCTATCCTTGAGAACCCTTTCAAAGGATACTCCTGCAAATGCCGAAGTGATGCAGGAGCCTATGGTGGCTAAAACGCCGATGTTAGCATTCAATCGTGGATGAGCAAGCATCATGTCCTCAATGATGCCTTCATAGGTAGCTGATCGTTTTGTCAGCTTGGGAGCCTCTTCTTCAACCCGTCCTATGAATATGTCCGATATATCCGAGAGGGAACGTCGTATATTTACGTGCTTGTGATTATCAGGATCGAGAGGGTCAGACGAGAGTTGTAGATGCATGATCACCACACCGGCTAATAGAAGGAACAGAGCTGCCCATTTTCCTGGCGCTAGACTCCTGCGCAGAACGGTCATGCCGAATACTGCACCTAGTATGATCTTCAACTGGTATGTAGCCTGGAAACGTGCAGCTTCCAGGTTGGACATAGCAACATATTGAAGCGAGTTTGAAATGGTGTAGAAAATAGCGGGTATAGCCAATTTCCAACTGTCTCCGGATAGCACTTTGGAAGAAAGGGTGATAAATAGAGACGTGGCTGTCGTAGAGGTATGTGCTGTGAAGGAGAGTTCGTAGAGAGCGGCCGTAAGGGCAATAACGAGTTTTATCACCTCGTTGAGGAAGACGGCCGTCGAAGGAGTGTATCTATGGCCGCCAACAGCGGGCATCACCCTGGAGTAATGCAGTAGCTACAGCCCCGGTCAGCTCTTCTTATCACTCGCGCGCACATTTTACCTGGAGGAATTGGTGTAAATGTTCATACCAGGATGTATGCGGACGACTGCACCGTCAACTGTTCCGGCCAAAAAGTAATTCGTCAGCGAGCAATCCATAGCAGCTATGCATTTTCAAAGCCAGAGGAGACGCAAACCCCGTACCAGGACCATCAAGAAGCTCCTCACCGGAACTCCCATCCATATCGACGACCCCGCCCTCGACTCTCTGCCCATCTTGTGTCCGTCCTCGGGGCAAGGCGCACAGCTGTCCGTCTAACGGTGTGCGTACCGTATGCAAAGGGGCCGCCCGGCGCAACAACGGTCACGACTGCGCAGGTAGCTGTATTCGGGAGGTGAGAATGCGGTGTCACGAAGAAGCAGCACGCATGCTTCTGCCAGTATATTCGATTCCAGGCCAGACAAGCAGATGCAGCGAAGGCGAGCTCCCGAATGAGGACCAGACGGCGAGGCTAGAGGAACGACGGAAAAGAAGAGAGATTCTCGTTAACTGACGGCGACGCCTGCACCGCGAAGAAAAAAGAGCGACAGCTGAAAAGAAGCAAGCAGGCAAGCGAGAGATGAGTTGTCACACGATCCCGAGCCAGCAAATCCGCCGAAGAAGAAATGAAGAAGCGTAAGTAAAAAAATACAAAAAAGGAGTGGCTTAACTTTTTGCGATACAAGGACTTGCTTGCTTGATGCTTGCTTTTTTCTCTTCGTTTCTTTTCCTGCTTGCGTCTCTCTGCTCGACCCTGGCTGCTGCTGGGAGGGCGCCACTCGGGCGGTTACGAGTCGTAGGGGGGGGGGGGGGGGGGGAGCGCAGGCGATGGTAGGAGAGATATCTCCGGACGGGCAGCCTTTCTGTCTCTCCCTACGAGATGCCAGGGAGCAGCACACTTGCAGAGCGCATGGGGGTAAGTCCTTGCATGGCGACGGGATGAGGGAAAGACGGTCTACAGTGACAGCCAGTGACACACTCTGCGCACACCGAATAGTCGACTGCCAAAGGGCGTCCGGAGGGCCAACATCTTTTTTTGGCTTCATCATTGGCAGACTGCGGCTCTCTCCACCGCTGCAGAAGGCCCTTGTTCCCGGTAAGGGGCAGTCTGTTGTCGGGCTACTATTGGGTCAGGGGACCTTACGATTCATGACGGGGATGAGTTGGAAGATGGAGATGAGATCTCTAAATGTATTCTCAATGATACTCAAATCGCTAACTAGTTATGCAAAACTAAGAAAACCCCTGGCTTGGGAGATGGATGGACTGATGCAAAGAGAGATCCGAAGATTTAAGCAGACACGACCGACTCCGCCATGCTGAACAAAGATTGGTGGTACAATATGAAATTAGACAGTAACAAGGAGATAGATCAGGGCAGCCCGTAGAAAGGAAAAGCGGGATTGAAAGAATGAGACTCCCGGTTGTGCTTCAAGCGTTATCTCGTTAATACAATAATGATAGAAAGTAGACGAAAAGGCGGCTAGCCTGGTAAAAACGATTGTAAGGGGAAAGATATTTCCAAGGAAAGAGACAGAGAGAGGGGAAAAAAATGGCTGTTTAATGAACGATGGCAACGCCGGTGGCTTCGCTATTCCATCCTAGTGCCCAGATGGGGATATCCGGATTCGTCTCGATGTCCTTTTCACAATCATCATTGTCATCGTATATAGCTGTTGTGTTGGCTCGATTCCGAAGGCTTTCCCTAACAGATGGCATGGACGGGGTATGTGACAGGCGAGAAGAATGACGGCGATGCTTAAACGGTACTGCAGGAGGGGTGAAAGGTGAGGATTGGCCCGATGGAGGAGAAGGGAAGCAGACGCCGGAGTTCACCAGGTTGATTTTGGGTAACGGGGGAGGGCTCTGGAAGCTTGTGTGGTAACTTGTGTCTGAGGTTACGCTTTGCGGAACTGAGGGAGAGCTGGCTGCATCGCTAGTGATAGATGCGTTGCTGGGAGTTGGGATAGATCGGGGAGGCCTCTTTTGGAGCGGAGTTGGAGGAAGAGCAGGACTGAGTCGTAGGAAGGATGTATCGGAGCTGTAGCTAGAGGCACTTCGTCGGTTCATCTGAGTTGCGAGTGCTCTGGCCCATTCTTTGGTGTTGGTTGATGCACTGCCGTCCGGGGAGAGCGTCTGCGGCACAGCGCCCTTGTTCCGTCTTATTAGCTCCAGAAGGTATTCCTCTTGTCTGGTCACTGCTATGACACGGCTTCTTCTATTTCCTGGCTGGGACAGCCCGCTCTCGGCCGGCGAGAACTGAGTCTGTATACGGGGCAGCGTTGGAGGGGAGGTAGGCATCCGGTCAGGGATGGTACGACCGCTAGAGAAATTCGAGTCTGTTGGACTTAGGATTGACGGATGAAGGCTAGATGCCTTGCTAGAGGTATCGCCGTTCTGTGATCTAGTTGCCGTGCTCGTTCCGCTCCTCGCTGGATGTTTCTTAGAACTTGAATGGACTCGTTTGATGGACGGCCGACTGGTGGTAGTCACAGCTTTGGCAGTGCATATCTGGAAGCCTTCGTCAATCGTGGTGATGCTGTCCCTTAGCCCGGTAGTATGGTCAGACGACTCATCCTCACTCTCGTCTTCAGACGAGGAAAGACAAAGAACACTCGACTCGTTCAAGTTGGAAGCATTCAAGATAGCGCGACTGCTCTTTTTTCTTATCCTTGGCTTCTCCTTGTCTGATTTCTCAGCTGCCCGGGAGTTGGTGCTCACACTGGGCTGCGAGCTGTTTGAATTCGAATTTGCCATGAAAGTCGATTTCACTGATCCTGACGAGGTCTTGGGCTTCTGTGTTGATCCGTTCGGTACTGCAAGACGGCCATAGCCCGGTTTTCCGGACTGGACACTAGGTTGACGAGAAGGCAAGCTCATTGAACGTCGTTCTCTCGTGGCGGGTGCAGGGTCTCTTGACAGCAGTTGTCCATACATGACCTCGACCTGGTCTCCCGGTTGGATGCCCATATCATCATCCACTAGATAGTGTCCAGCCGCATCATACCACGCCGAGTCAAGCTTCTTCCGTTTGTAATTGAAATCCCGCCAGTTACCTTCATATTTGCGGTCAGTGAGACGTTCCCCTGTGTCTTCTGCCAGTTTGTCCTTCTCCTGACGTTGCTGCTGCTGCTGCTGAATGCTCTGATCCTTTTGATGGTCGAAGGGTTCCTGAAGGGATGAAGTAGATTGGTATCGGTCCAGGGGCGCCTGGACAGGCGTCAGATCATCGTCCTGACGGTATTCCGACTGTATCATGTCCTGTTTCCCTGAGTTGGGGGATCTGGCTGTCAGCCGGTCGAGGGCCCGCTGGGCCTTTTCGAACTTGTGAGACTTGTAGAGAGAAGTGTCCGATCCATTGGACATGATCGACGGAGGAGTAGCTGTCCGGTCAGGAGACGGAGGACAAGGAACAGGCGTCTTGCGCTGTCTAGGGAAGAGTTTAGATAGGTCAATCATGGGTGGCCGATGCTTTTGTTTATTATGTGCCTTGCGTGAAGAAGTTCCCCTAGAGTTGTGATCTGTCGACAGGTCTGTAGTAGACTGGCTGGCCCCGGCCGGATAGTCCCTCAAGGCAAGGTCCTGGGAAGAGGTTCCGTTTGTATGATAAGACTTTTGTGAGCGATTGACGGACTGGGAGGTAGAGGAGGACGAGGGCTCGGAGGGCCGCAGTGAGTCTTGTTTCAAGTTCGACGATGTCTTCCTTGTGACGTGCCGAAGAAAAGGGGACGAAAGACGTGGCCGTACTTTGTGCTCCTTGACCGGCTCTATATCTACCTCCTCGTCCAGACGGCCGGTCCGGTTTATGCTGTAACCCCCCGTAAGGTCTGACGCACAGCTCTCTGCTCGCGGTGCCGCATCAGTCTCCATCTCTGTCTCCCGTAACCCCCCCTTGTGTTCCCTCCAGAGGGTCAGGTCGGGGCTCGGCGTAGCAGGAAAGGAGTCGAAGGCACGCTCGATGATCCCCAGGCCATTCTCCTGCCGGTACTGCCGCTGTTCCTGGCGCTGGTGGTGCTGGCCAGCGCTCGACATCCGCGGGGGGATATCCAGCGTCATGCTGCCTGTGTGAAACATGTGTGTCTGTACGATCGAGGAGTGACGGCTGTCTGCAGCACCGGCCTGTACTCCGTATATATAGCGACTATCTGTAATGGCCAGCAGCGTGGTTTATGCCAGCATCTGGGCCTCCCTTGTGCTTCCAGAACAGCGCGAAGTCGCAGATCCGCCAACCATGCGAGAGGGAATAGTTGCACGACCTGGCTGCTATTGAAGGCTCTTTTGCTATGAAGAAGTCGCCCTTTTTTTTATCTTTCTTTTCTTTTTTTTTCCCCCCTTGTTCCTGGCAAGAATCTGGTATTTTCTCCCCCCCTTGGGGCTGGCGTGGAGGTTGGTTGGTTGGTCTGGGGGAACTCTGAGATATCACGGCTGCAGGAGGAGAGACAGCAGCATCACCGCGCGGACGAACTTGCCGGCACAACCACGGTCAGAAAACACAAGCAGACTCGTCCAAGGCGTTCTCGAAGGAAGAACTCGTGCCTGATGCCCAACAAAGAGGCGGCAGAGAGGAGACGGAGCGAAGAAAAAGCGGGATATATGTACGGGGTGCGCACAGCAGCGCGGCCGCAGAGAGAGAAAAAAGCAAAGACACAGGCCGAGGGCCTTTGCATGGCATGGCCGGCTCTCGCTGCGCTGCTCTGGCTTGTCTGCGTCGCTGCCTCCTTTCTCCAGGTCCAAAAATATTCTCCTTGCTGCCGTTTGGGGCCCGCTTTGCTTCTTCTCGCTGCTCGTCTTTGCTTCTTTTTAGGCTCCTTCGGGGGCTTGCAGGGTTCATCTTTCGCTAGCCTTTACGCTGCACTGCGCCAAAGTAACGCCAGTGAGGATCGTCGCACAAATTGGAGATCGGGCAAGGGATATCTGAAGCTGATGCCCCCCCGTCCCTGGGAGTTGAAGATGCGAGAGGCATGGAAGGGGCATCGGGCAGTTATTATTATTTACGGGGAGGAATCAATTGATGCCACAACCAGCTTCTCAGTGCTGTCCGCCAGATATGAGACTGCGCCCTTTGCTATCAACAGGACCGCCTGTTACAATGGCCACCACCCCCCAAACAACTTTCAAGCGTGCAGATGTCTGGCCATTACATCACCACGCTTCCTGTGCGTCTGGATTCCCCCTGCTGGAGCTCCTCGGCTTCGACCCGTTCTGTGCCTGTGGAGAAATATGCTCCGTACCGCTGCTGGTTGGTCTAGGATTAATTAAACTGGCCTACCAAGGAGAGGGAAATAGGAACCTGAAACACAAATTGACTGGAGCTGCGGGTTCCAGAGACCAGGCCTTGACAGTCGCTGCATTACTTACGAGACGGGAGTCCTTCCCGTTGGCAGCAGCTCCTCGTCTACGCCAGCCCGGGCTGTCGAGATCTCTATCTAAAGTACGATGCAGTTACATAAAAACAGCGGCAGACCGGCAGACCGGCAGATGAAGCCACGCATGTCCAGCCGGATGGGCTGGGACGTGATTGATGGGCCAGGAAGAGGAGCAAGAAGAAGCCCTGGGCATCGCTTCAGCCAACCAGGCACGGGAGAGCCGCAAGAGCTAGGACTGAAAAAGACCATCTTCCGGCGTCAAAGGATTCAATGTTCTGCCTCCTTGCTGATAGTTGGTTAGTTATCTAACCATATATATGGATCCTGAGCTGCCCCCCATTTGCTTGGATCAAATCTCAAACGACTGGGTATGCTCGTTTTGTCGCCTTATATCACGATTCGAGTATAGCTAGCAGATATATTAACTAGCTTACTTCTATCCCCAGGGCCCCATAGCTGAATCGATTCGCAAGATTTACCAGGGCTATTGCCTGATCCAAGGACGATTACGGCCGAGTGCATTATCACTATCTCGATCGGTCGCTGCCTCGAACGACTTCTGTACATGCACACGCAATATACTTACATATTCATAGACCGACCCTCTTGGTGTGTACGGAGTATGTGTATGCGTGTTGATACTATAGAGAGTAACGTGGCGTCCCACGCTTTGAACGATTGTCTCCCGACTACGGGAGGTTGAAACACTGGCTACGCCTAACATTAACGGTAGACCCAGAGGTTGGACAGGCCTCTCTTCCGTGTCTCTCTCTCTTTTGTCCCCCTGTGGCACCCGCAGGGACGACTATCTTCCTTGCCACTGAGCGGGGGAAGGTCAGTATATCAGCCAAAAAGGGTGAGCAGCAGAGAGCCTCCCTTCCCCTCTCCCCTATCATGTCCGGTGTACAAAGCACTCTTGCATATCTTGAAATCGATGCCCCATACGATGTGCATACAGAGCATGCTTCATAATTCTGATCGTCAGCACCATCTCCTGTCACTTTCGCAAAGCCGAAGCCACAAAAGGAGCAGCATAATTTGTTGTTGTACGGAGTACTGGAATTGGCCTCCAAAATATGTTTATACTCTCTTGTATTCAACTGGCCGTCCCTGGCCTGACCCATTTTCAACCGCTTACTGACCACTTCATGATTGACCATTTATCCAAATATTTTTTGTAGGATGTCCCTGGAACACACCCTGCCTCATATTTCATTGGCACTATTATGACAATCAAACCATTTCAGCATCCATGGGCAAAGGTTGACTTAACCCGGCTCGTAATCGCCACACGATCGCCATAGGCATGTTTGGGGTAAATCTGATCGAGCTCTTTCGTCAAAGAAGCTTAAATCGACATGGTTTATTATCTTATTCTCCATATATCAATAATCATATATCAATAATAATAATAATAATAATAGCAGGGTGGTATCAAATGTCTAGCTTGCAGTAGCTCCGATGCCAGTAGTCTTAATAGCCGATAACCATATAATGGCTAACCACGAATATTAACCATCGTGCCAAGTTGTCTTAATTTTTAAATTAGCAGTGCACTCACGGAGTACCCTGCATCTCTTCGGATATATGCACCTTGTGAAAATTGCCAATTAATACCACATCTCCATCTTCTCTCCATCCTGCCCCCATTTTTCTTTCCGTCTGCATTTGTATTATTATTATTTCGTGGCGAAGTGGCGGCGTCATCAAGGTGATGGAGTTACGGAGTATGGCCTGCGAGGCCGCCTATGCAAAATGACGAACCGATGGAGAATTTGATAACTCGTTCACTGGCTAACGAACTAACTATATTCCACTAGAAAAAGGAATATTGGAATAATAACGGGCTAAGCCCGTCCAGATAACTCCTCAGTGGGAATAATTTACACTCTCTTGCCTACACGAGCGAATATAAAATCCGTATTTGATGCTCCAGGCCGAATTGAGGCCAAAGCGCGCCGCCCATCATCACGGTGGCGAAGGCAAGGAAGCGAATTGGGGCTCAAGAGGTGTTTCGACGGAAAGGGAGATCGGCCAAGCGAGAGTTCAATAGACAGCAGATCAGCGTTGTGATATATGTCTTGTTCTAGATGCTGTCTCGTGGCCCAGATATAAATATAGTTACCTCACGTCCGGCACATAGGAAATTTCGATTCTCGCACTGCTAAATAGGGTCAAAGGGGGATGGATGTAGCTAAAAGGTACTCCGTATAACGGCATATTAAGCAGATCGGGTAAATTGATAAGACACCCATCGGCGTCACTCGGACAAATGGATATGGGCTCAGGTAAATATGTATCAGGTAAATGTGCGGAGTACGGAGCACTCCGTAGATGGACGAGGGGGAAGATAGATGATAAGATGACGCGCGCAGGGAGAACACGAGAAGAAAGGCAGCTGACTGCGTTAGCATGCAATAAATTCAGCATTCGCCTCAATACTCAACCACTCTCTTCTGCGGCAGAGTCGCCGATGTCAATGGGATGGGCCGCATTGCTAAGTTTACGCCGTTTCAATGGCTGTTGTTTTGCAGGCTGATTCACAGATGCAACCTGCGAGTCGGCGTCAACCAGAGGCCGGGTCCTTCCACCGCCATATCTCAGGCCTCTTCTTAGCTCCTCTTGGGCACGGGATGCAAGTGAGTATTGGGAATGCGGAGGAGACGAAGGAGGGCTGGTAGTCGCAGCATTGTCACGCTCGGTCCGGCCCCCATTTCCCATAGGCAATATGCGCTGGCACTTCGAAGGCGCCACACTTGTGGCTGCATGAGGCATGGCAATGCTGTCATCCTCGTCTTCGCTAATAATAATAGGTTCCGAATTTGGAATGATCTGGACATTCGCCGCTCTTTTGTGCGGAGGGTTAGTGTGGCTACTTAACATATTTCCTGGCTTCGTACTCGAAATCTGGGCGGTAGTGGGAACCGCAATAGGACGGGCACCATTCTGTTGAGGGTCTTGAGTGGATGGTATCATGTACTATGTAGAAATATTATTAGTGCTGATATTCTGGGCTAGTAGGCATGATACGTACGTGGTGTGAGATTTTGGCCAAAGGGTTGAAGATCTCATTCCTCAGGCGATGCCTGATATTCTCTGAATCTGGAACTCGGAACCTCGGTAGACCCTTTTCTGCAAATCCCCTCCGTTTTGAACCTGGAGTTGGCTCAAGAAAGCCGTTCTTTCTAAGTAAGTCTGTAATCTGTACAACTTCATTTCCACTACAGTCTATATAACGGTAAGTAAGCTATATATACGCTCGATTAGGGCAGGGTATGCTTACGCAGCCTTTGTGCAAACTCTTTGACGCGAAGTGGATAGCCATCTTCGATTATTATTTTGAGGGCCTGTCGGAGCAACACTAGTGTTTCGATTTGTCTGAAGACTTTACTTTCATCCGATCCTAAAAGGCATGTATAACACGCATGTGTGACGGGAATCTTCTCGTCATTGGGGTGTAGAAATCCATAGCACGTCAAATGCTGCCTGGTATGACAGAAATCGCATTCAAGCTGGTCAAAACACATTAGAATAGGTCAAACGTGAAGCCAATGTCAACAGGACTCACCATATCTGGCTCTGGCTCGGGCCAGCCGCATTGACAATTAACCTGGCCCCTGCCATTTTGCGGATCCTTGTCACCAGCAATATGAGTAGCTTGTGAAAGATTGATTCCCTGCTTGATTTTTGATGTCTGTGCCTGGCTCAGGCACGGTTTAGCACCCGAGGTTGTCTTTGAGGGATTAGAGTAGGAATCCGCCTGGGTTGGTATTAATTCACTGTCTGGAGGTGGCACCTCAAGCTGCCAATGAAAACGAGGTTAGCAGCCGATAGGCCTTAGTATATTCAGACTATAACCTCACCATTTTCTGTAACATTCCCTTCGTAATGGCATCTTGCCTCGTTTGCGTTGATTCCGGAACTTGTATTGATTCCTGTGAGCTCCTTTCGTCGGAGTTCTGGGTCATGGCCTGGGAAGAAGGCTCCTCACATTCTAACCCAACTTCACTCTCCCGATCTACTTTCTCCGAATATTTAAGGGTATCTGGAATCTGTCGTGTCCCTGCTTCCTCATCATCTGCATCCTCACGGGTACATTTAAGGGAAGTAACTTTAAGCCCAACTCTTTGCGTCAAACAGTCAATACCCTCACAAGGCAATAAACTCCATAGAGAAAGCCCTCGCTCACCTGTGGCAGCCAGAATCCATTATACCACACAATTGTGTTTCTTTTCTCCAGTTGTCATCTCTAGGGTATAATATCTGATCGTGGGTTGTGGGTTTAAATCCACGAGGTTCGTACTGCTGTGGGCAGTTTTGAGTATAAAAAAGATGAATCTCCAGAAAACGTTTGTCTATACATTGTTAGTACAGAATACCAAACTGGAAAGTGCAGGTATATTCTCACTGGGTAGAATAGGGAGAAAAGTGCTCAGAGTTATAAGCCGCCGGATTATCATCTCCAGGCCTTGCTTTGCGGTTCGAAATGTTTTGATTTCCGTCGTTAGCACGTTTGTCTCAAGAGACACTGCCTCCAGCCCCTTTTTGAGTTCATTGACGCCTCCGTCTGTGTAGTTAAAGGAAAACGTATAGGTTTCTAGAACGTGTGAGGGGTTTTCCTTATCGACGAATACCGTAAGTTGGACTGCTTCAAGGACATTCTTTTCTAGAGCGTCAAAAATCCCATGTTCCTAAGCAAAGTCAGCTGAAACTCTACGATGACGAATATAAAAAAGGTAAAGATCTAACAAGCAGGTTCAAAACACTGTCAGCCTTTGGGTTGCGGCCCCGTAAAATTATCTTTAACGGCTGCCCACGTTTTCCAGCCTCAGCTTCTGGACCAGAGCAACCATCAACAAAGTCACCATAGGAGATGTTTGAGTCCGGCCGCTTTAGGTTGAGAAGGTCTCGCTCCCCGAAACAGGATAAAGGCAAGAATTCTCTAAATTGTATGGTATTTAGTAATCTGCTTTTACTCCAAATTTTTTCGATCATACCTAAGGTAGAACAGCGTTCCGAACTTATTACCACATAATTAGCTACAGCTGCATGGTTGTCTATACCAGAAAGACGGGAAGATAACCTACTGAAGCGTGTAGCATAATCTGAGCAAACGCAAGACTTTGCTTCTGCATTAGAGACTGGGGTTGACATAGCGATAGTGGCTTTGAGATAGTTTTGGCAACCGGGCCGTTAGCAGCGTGTTGGCCCCGTGCATTTCTCTGAGCAGTTACCGAAGCCACGGACGCCGTTGTGGCAGCTGCTGCCGCAGTTTGTCGAGCCGGCCGCGTACAGACTGCCTGTGCCATGATTGCTTCAAGACTTAAGCTGGTGATTATGCTCCTTCATCGAGGTTTCAATCAAAAGGAAAAGAACTTGAAGCTACGCGTTGAAGTTAAGTAGGGGATATCCCAATCGGGCCATGTCATGTGAATTCCCGATGCGGCAAATTCTACTTCAACCTCAGAAATCAGCCTCATACAGTGTAATCGAGGGCAGTTTCATGAAGATATATGATACAACAAATAATATAGCAGACATTATCGAGGTATCTATTGAGGCCACGAAGATTGATAATAAACTGCATAGGGTATCGCTGTTCATGAAAATGGAACGCCGCTGGAGGAGCAAACGCTAGTTCCAGGGTATATCCTAATCGAAGAACACGCCAAACATGTTCGACCATGCTTGATATACTGAAGACAAATGCAGAGGCATAACTCAATTTCGAATGCATTGAATATTTACAGCCGCTAGGGCCAGTGAAGTTCAAGCCACTTGGAAGGCAGGAGGGTATCACCCACAATGTGCGGACTAATGTTGAGACTTTGTTGATACCTGATGCGGTCCAAAACTTGTCAAGGCAAGCAATTATCTTGCAGCAAAGAAATGGAGACTGTTCAGCATGAGTACATGACGCAAAAGGTCGTCTCCACTTGCATGGAAGTTGAGGTCGACGTGTAAGCAACCTGCAGCCTCCAATTGTTGTCAACACGGCTTATCATAATCGACGGCCTTGCGCTTTTGAAAAACAAACCAAGACGAGAAGAAAATAAAAACAAAGAACTAAAAGCTCAACAGCAGCGGTCTGTGACTAGTTATGCCTGAGGTGATGACCGGATTGGACTGTTGGGAGAAGAAAACATCAGGCTTGTTCCGGAGTTATCATTCATCATGCAGGAGAGGCCATCGACTCTCCAGTGATTGGTCCTCCTCCTTCCTTTTTCCTCTCTGCTCCGTGCTGCTGTGGGAAAATAGCAGCTTTTACTGCTGCACGTGAAGCAAGGCAAAACCCACAACAGACATCACCCCGAAGATGTCTTGCCACGCCTCTGGTGGGAGAGACGGACGCAGTTAGTTGTACGCCGGCGCAGCCCGGAGAGAGTGACGAGCTGGGAGGGAGAGAGCCGCTGGAGTGTCTCGTCTCATCCCCCTTTTTGCTATGCTCGGCTTTGCCCTTGGGGGACACTCTAATCTTATCTAATGAATCAAATTTATATGGGGGAAGCTGGGCCCGGAACGCGCTAAACCGGTTTCGGGTCTTCTCACCGCGCTTCTTTTTTGCCAGCCACGACCGACCGACGAAGGTCTCGCCGCCTTCTCCTTCTTTCTGCTCGCTCGCTCCCCTCATCCATCTATCAAAATATCTCGACAGGCCGCGTTGACAGCCTCGCGACAGATATTCGATACCTCTCTGTTATAGCATTTGCTTTGCTTGTCTGTTGTTTTCTGTCGTCTACTGTACGCCCCCATCCCGCATCTACGGCATGTTGCCGAATACTAATCCGCGCAGGTCGATTCCGATGTAAAAAGGACTGGCCGTGTTTGCACCACAACCCACCCCTCGTTGCCCTACCACGACCGTCCCGGCTTTGTCTTCCATAACTACACCTTCATGATAGCTTGCCGAGGCCTTTTGCTAGACATGATCTGAGGAAGACCACTCGAAGACTGGATGTTGCCGTCACCTCGGACCGCTTGAAAAGGGCGTCTCCCTTTCCCTGGCCACAGCTTCTATCCTACGCCTTGTCCTAATATTATTATTACTTACATTCGATGCCTTCTGGATGTGCTACAATTAAAATAAAAGAACAAAAGAAAAGGGAAAAACGAACGAAAGACAAAAAACAAAAAACCCAATATCTCGATTTCACCCGCGGTCTCTATAAGATACACAACTCGACAACGACCAATATGTCTCCACTATCTGGGAAATCCACGCGGAAACCCGCCAACTCATCGACAAATGATGCTGAATCGGCGTTACCAGAATCTACCGTTACGTCCAGTTTTAATGCGGTATCAGAGGGGGACACAGCACAGAAGTCAGACGACTGCATACCTTCAAGCGGCACCGTGGGCCAGTTCTCGTTTGCTCCGGCTACCCAAACTACTGTTGTGACAACTACTACAACCACTACAACCAAATTTCCGCCATTTGTGATGAGACCTCCTCGATTTTCTGGACAATTAGACCCAAAGGTTTACCCGCTAGCATCTATGCCGACCCCAGCGCCCCTTCGTGACATACGTTTTGTTCTGAACGGGAAATCGGTTATTTTTCACGAAGCGGACGACGTTCCAGGAATACTGAGCAAAGTAAGAATTTTTATTCGACACCTGTGTAGGTGGTAACTTTTTGTAGTATATACTGACTCGTCAAATCAGTTTAATGAGCAACAGGAATCGCTGAAAACCTCAGGAGCTATTCGTTCGATGCTTAGAGACGCGCCAGAAAGTAGCAAATCTGATGCTTCAAATTCTAACCTTCTAATTCGAAGTCGGCCCCCAAGATCCTCAGACACACGACGACCGCCATCTCCCACTTCTAACGCTACTGCCGAGCCAACTCCTGCAACGATTCATAATTCTTCTGAAGAAAAACTACAGCAAACTGGGTCAGAGCAATCGGTTTTATCACGACGTTATGATTTACCCCAGCGGGAACTGGGCTTAGCAACTCCTGAAACAGAGAATACAAGCTTTTTACACTGCAATAAGGGGAAGCGGGGCCAACGAACCCGCTCAATGCTTGGGAAACAATACCATGAAGAGCCATCAAGTGTCTCTGGAATAGCTAGCCCCATAGCACCTTCGGATAAAGATAGCAATGGGGATAGTTGTGGAGATGGTCTAGAAAAGTCCCCACTTCTAGAGAAGCAGTCTAGCACAGCTCCCACCCAGGCGGCTGGCCGTCGTGGTAATACCCAGCTGGATAATGGTTCGATTGAGGGCAATTTACGGAAGTCAATGAAAATGAAGCTTCAGGTAAAGTCACGACGCAACAAGCAAGGACTACTCGGGTTAGAACCCTCGAATTCGCAAAATATGTGCTTGCCCAGCCCCAGCCTCTCTCCGATAGCTCTCATGAACGCACAACAATTGGGAGAAGCGTCGGATTCAACAGATGACGGAGGTGCAGATTCAAGCTTGGATGAGCTGCTGAAATCTAGCAATAAGGGCATCCGTACAAAGAAGGTCAAGAAAATAATGGACTACAGCAAGAAAATTGCCAGCAGGGGATGTATGCCATTGTCGCCAAACTCCTTGGTACTTGATATGCCGAACATGTTGAGCTCTTTTGAGGCGATACCAGATGAACTCAAGTCGTACATGATGTACCAGTTCCTCCGCAGATGTCCGAAATCAACCCTTCATCTTGTTGCAAATGTCGTCAATCCTGCATTAAAGTGTGACTTTCTGTCTAACCTACCCTTAGAGCTTGGTTTAAATATTGTGAAATATCTCGATGTGAAGTCCATGTGTCGAGCTTCCCAGGTCTGCAGAAAATGGAGGCACATCATCAATTCGGATGAGAAGACATGGAAGGCACATTTTGTTGCTGATGGATTTGTTCTCCCTGCTGGGGAGTTACAGCAAGCCATCGAACAAGGCTGGGGGTGGCAGTTCTCTATGTCCCCCAGCGATGGTGAAAAGGACCTCCGCACCCAATCTTTCAGATCATCTGATAGCGAATGTTCCTCGTCAAGCGCATGGCATCCTGATGTTACAGACTCTAAGATAACCACCCTTCCAACGCCGTTTTCTCCATCTCCAAGGAAACTGAAACGCAAGGCCACAGCTCATCTAAGCGGTCGAAGAGCTGCCAAAAGGGCGGAAACAGTCCTTCCTTCTCCCTCCGAAGATAAAGCCACGCCCTGGCTCCAAGAACAGCTTACAGCTAGTGAAAATCCTTTTATTGCTGCCAATGCAGCAGCTATGGCTGTTCCCTACCCAGATTTTGGCTTGCCTTCCCTGAAGAGTCTACACCTCTACAAGACACTCTATCAGAGACATTATTCCATAAAACATAACTGGATGCGCGAAGATGCGAAACCATTGCATCTTGCATTTCGCGCTCATGACCGCCATGTCGTTACCTGCCTGCAGTTTGATACTGATAAGATCTTGACTGGAAGTGATGATACAAATATCAATGTTTACAACACCAAAACTGGAGCCCTTCAATCAACCCTTCAGGGCCATGAGGGAGGTGTTTGGGCCCTCGAATACTACGGTAATACTCTTGTCTCAGGGTCGACGGATAGATCTGTCCGTGTCTGGGATATCGAAAGTGCAAAATGCACGCAAATTTTCCATGGCCATACATCTACTGTTAGATGCTTGCAGATCCTATTGCCAGCAGAGGTCGGAACTCTTCCAGATGGCACTCCAGAGATGATGCCTAGGGAACCACTGATTATCACTGGGTCGCGCGACTCTACGCTTAGAGTCTGGACGTTGCCAAAGCCTAGTGATCCCACGTATTTCCAGGCGGGTCCTGCACAGGATGATGGGACTTGCCCCTACTTCGTTAGAGTGATGGTAGGGCACACGCACTCAGTCCGCGCTATTGCTGCCCACGGCGATACCTTAGTAAGTGGAAGCTATGACTGCACTGTCAGGGTCTGGAAAATATCCACTGGCGAGGCCATTCATTGCCTTCAAGGCCACAGTTTCAAAGTTTACAGTGTGGTTCTGGATCATAAACGAAACCGCTGCATCAGTGGTTCAATGGACCACATGGTCAAAATTTGGTCTCTTGACACTGGTGCTGTCCTCTATAACCTAGAAGGGCATACTTCACTTGTTGGCCTTCTCGACTTAAATGCCGGCCGCCTCGTTTCCGCTGCAGCGGATTATACCTTAAGAATATGGGATCCCGAGAATGGTCAATGCAAGAACACATTGACCGCACATACAAATGCCATCACCTGCTTCCAACATGATTCTCAGAAAGTCATTTCCGGCTCTGATAGGACGTTAAAAATGTGGAACGTGAAAACCGGCGAGTGTTTGAAAGACCTTCTCACTGATCTCAGCGGAGTCTGGCAAGTTAGATTCAATGATAGGCGATGTGTTGCAGCTGTTCAGCGAAACCGCCTTACATATATCGAGGTTTGTACATAACCACTATAACCTTCTAATTTGTGCACTCGATAACTAACAGTCTACTACAGGTTCTTGATTTTGGTGCCTATCGTGATGGAACGCCCGCACACAAGCTTGGCCAGCGCATTGTCGTCGATGAAAATGGCGAAGAAATTAGCGATGAAGCCAAACCTCCTGTAGAAGAGGAAGTCTCGGATTCCTAAACCTACATATTTACCATCCAACCTGAATAGCCGGTCAACCCAAAAAGTTGACTGACTTTTGTGCACTATCTCGCTCTCACACTTGCAACGCCACACCCAGATACCCAAACATTATTCGAGCACGTTCAATGATTATTATTAGATGATACCTAACCCCTTTACCAAATACGCCTTCAACCCAATGACGCATCGCATAGCGTGGACGACATGCATTTTATGCCCTTCAGTGACGGTTTCGCATACTCGGATACTACCCCTTTACTTGTTCATCGGTGATAATGGAGTTACTTTGTTTTTCGCCCACCTCGAGAGTTGCGAGCCTACTCTCCTGTTTCTCATAAGACGTGAGGCGGTTAGCCGTTTGATTTTGATTTTTTCTTCACTTGTTCTCTACATGTCATCTACATACCCCCTTTGCGTTTCATTCATTTCTTGCTTGAGTTATAAGCTCACAAATGCGGCTGTATGAGTACCACTTTATGTCACGTTTCACCTGTCTGTTGATGTCTATCTACCTCATGCTTGATTCCTAGTGTTGGCCCTCCAGCTGCCCAAAGAACCCTTTACTTCTTACTAATGTCCAGCTAGTTGTATGTTAGAATTGAGCGGGAAATAGTATTCAAAGGTTTCTTTTAAGTACAAGTAAACTGCGAGGATAGACAAAACAAACGCCAAATTGCCTTGCAGCCTCTATATTGACTTCAAACCACTTACTCTTGTCTTGACGCTGGTAAACTTAAACGTAACCCCTGAAAACTCCGCCTAGTACTCTGGTACAGAAGTTGCAGAGATAATATGACAACACAGCAAGTCAGGGAAGTAATTGTTGAAAATCTTCCAGCCTCGACTTTACTGGGGATGCAATGTTTGGGATGGCTGATAATCAAAGCCAGCAGCCTGTAGGATTGACCACTGCAATGCATCAATACCCAGGGGATGCTTATTATGGCCTTCTCCAATCCGGATTCTGTTACTGCAAGCCAAAATGTGCCCCAGAGGCGGAATCCCTTCTTCTAGAGTCGGAGTGACCTCCTTTCTTATTCGGGAAATAATCTGTCTAAACTGCTTCAGACTAGCAGTGCGATGGGACTCCTGGTTTCCGGCCCTGCCTTCGGTTAAAAAGTTATCGGCCTTACTGACGATAATTTGATGAGGGACAGTAAATTCTCGGAGGATGGAGAGAACTTCCTTATCTGAATTCTTAACACCGGCCTTGCACTCAATAATGAGAAATACTCTTCTGAGTCTGTCCAGGTTGGGTATAGTTAGAAGAATCCCACAATTACTGTTGAAGCGAAAACGAGAGCCTACATACTGTTGTCTTTTACTTAGATATTTCATCAACTCATGACCCCATTCCGGTCTACTGGCTTTGCCATAACCGGGTGAGTCGATTATATTAATCTTTGTTTCGCCACCTTTAGTTCCTCCAATTCCAAATGCATTCATAGTTTGTGTCCGGCCGGGTGTTGCCGAGGTATAGCAGATGTCCTCCCCAACCAGCATGTTAATTACCGAGCTTTTTCCTACATTAGACCGGCCCATAAACACCACCTCGGGGATATCTGATTCGGGTATTTTCCGGAACAGGTTCGTTGTCCAAAGGTGGACAGGTGAATGTTTTGATTTGGCGAAAAACCGCCTTGCATATTCAAGTTGTTCGGGAACTGGAATTGTAGGGTCTCTGTAGGAGCAGTATTCTTCCGGTTGTAGTTTTGATCTCCAACTAGGCTGCTTTCCTAGATTCGAGGATTCCACTGTCCTGGAAGAGGCACCATTGTCGAGTGCACCAGCCTTCGATGGCTGTCTTTTTGGTAGCTCTGGGAGTATAGGCTTAACGAGGCGTCTGGAAATGCGAGTTAACGCAGGGCGTGTAGCCATTATCGGGTTGGGGTGCTCATGGGTCAAGAGCCCTGGTTTATCTAGCAACAAATATTATGATGATTAGCAAAAGATGATATAGATAATGAGCGTGGTATTCAAAAAGGTAGCTTGAACGTGTTTGAAGAGTCGATAAAGCTCAAGTTTGCGAGTTTGCGATGTTAAAAACAAGACAAACAGCAGCAAACATGCCAAGATATACCGATAAGCCCTCGATAACACCAACTCGTTAGTTTGCTCGGACATCGCAAACCTGCGGCAGAGACTCGAGATATCAAAGCGAACACAGCTGAGAATACATTCTATATACACAGGGAGTAAAGGAGCGACGCAAAAGATGATCAACGCAGTGCTTGTGTTTAACAATAGTGGCCAACCGAGGCTAACAAAGTTCTATACTCAGCTGGTAATTACGCATACGCACCTGAAGGCAGCCTCTTGATCCTCAGTTAACATGAAAATGACTTCCAGGACACACAAACCCAGCAGTCACTCATATCGCAGATATACACCCTTGTCTCCCAGCGACCTGCCTCAGCATGCAACTTCCTGCCGCTGCCTCCCTTGCTCTCGCAAGGCGCGAGCAACAACTCTGCCGGTAGCCACTCCGATGCACCCACCCAAATCACATACCGAACCTATGCCACACTGTCTTTTATCTTGATATCTACATCAACAGAGTCTCCTCTTGCCTTGATAGACTTGATCCAAGTGTTTGTTGAAGCCCTAGACCGCCTCTTTGAGAATGTATGTGAACTTGATCTTATTTTCGGCTACGAGACGATGCATGCGGTTTTAGGAGAGATGATTGTTGGAGGCGTGGTGATAGAAACGAACCTCGAGCGGATCGTCCAAGGGGCTAGAGCGCTAGAAGGACCACGAGGGAAGAGAAAAGTTGCTGATAGTGCCGGCTCCGCTATTGGACGATCGGGAATTCCTGGCTTAGGAGTTCCTTGGAGATAAATATGGATGGCATGGCTGCAATTTCAGCGAGCATTTAGCCGAACTTCATTCGCGGCGTTTGAAGTCGTTTAATGGTGGGTTGGAGGGCAGTGGAACTTCTATTCTGATAGGAATTTTCCAAGGGCTTTGGCAGTTTTTGTCCGGGAATGCTGAAAGAGCAACACAGCCCATTCGACGAGTAGACGAATTACTCCGGTGATGGAGCTGATGGCTTTGGATACGGTACTATTTTAAGGTTTCAAGAAGCACTTCAACGCTCCAACACCGCCCTCCGGCTGCCCCCATCCCGCATATCTTATGGCATACATATACTCCGTATGACGCTTGATATTCTATCATCCTTTATAATCGCTGCCCTTGCGCCGAACTCCAATGTCTCAATTTAGCATTATGGACCATTTCTGCGTGGATCCTCACCAACCACTACTCGATCGATGTCCTAATGTAGGTGGGCACTCAAAGCCTCCTCTCAGCCGCTTAGTTAGCAGTTACTTTCATGGCTCAACACTTGCATGACCTCATCCGCCTCAGGCTCGTATTCAGCCCTCAAGCTTCGAGGCACAACCGTGGTTTTATGCGATGCCTTGTGCTCCCCACAATTTGCCAAGTGTGATCTTCAGAGGTCACGATTATCTAGTTAGAGATACCATTTGGATTCACCGCATGGTTGTTGTATATTATCACTCCTTGAATATATCTCATACAAGAATAACTTGGCTATTTCCCATTTTCCTGAGATGAGGCAGCTCCCGGCTTGAATGACTCCACCCTTTTGGTCCACGGGTCAGCACCTGTCATGTGCTGTCCTATTCCGCAAGGTGTATGCAAAAAGCATTACACCGTGGCTCCTCGTTAGCTTCTACTGCAGTAAACATAGAGGCCGAAGTGTGGTATTCAATGGCTGCTCTTAACCAAATGTGCGGGTGGACTTTCGGGGTTCCATATGCTCCATCGGCACGGAATAGTTAATGGCTGACTAACTAATGGCAGAGTGTTGATATAATGTCCCGTTGGGCCTGTTATGCCATGTGGGGTGTATAACTTTTTCGCCAGTGATGTTGTCTTGTCCTCGCTTTCGTTCCTGGGAAGTTGGCGATAACCACGGGGAGGGAGAAGAATACCCATATGCATTCCCCCATTTCCCAGCAAGCTCGCGTCTGGCCACATCCCCACCGGAATATCCAAGGCAATATGCAGTGCTACACTAAAGGAACCCAAGAAAGGGATACGGGGCCATCTAAACCGGATCATCTCGTATATCATTCACACATGTTAGGAAGCAAAGCTATGCCAGCCCTCGAATCTGGGCGTTATTAGGGTTACGCTGACCACACGGGAAAAGCTTTAACTCCTAATTTCCAAGATGACAGGTGATTCTATTTTAGAAACACAGACGGGTATCTATCGAAATGGTGGGTCTCACCATATATAAAGACTCGGGTTGGCTTGCTCCTCTTGAGCAGCATCCTTTTACTATCATCCAGTGAATAATAAACAATACCAAACACCATGAAGCTAACTCACTTTATCTCCTATGCCATCCTCTCCCTCAGCGGTGTGCAGGCAGCGACCCTAAACGGACCCTGCACTGGTGCTGGAGGTGCACCCGGAACCTGCATCTCAACCTCCAGCTGCACCAACGCTGGTGGAAAATACATCTCCAATGCCTGTCCCGGCCTTCCTACCGACATGAAATGCTGCTCTAAGACCTCATGTGGTAATGGCGGCAACTGCCGCTTCACCTCCACTTGCTCGAGCGGAAACACCCAAGCCGGCCTCTGCCCTGGCCCCCCTAGCTTCCAATGCTGCCTCCCAGAAGCGAGTGGTGGCGGAAAGTTCCCCCTCCAAAGATCCCAGCGGTTGGCAGATGCAAGAAGACTGCTGTGGATGGCGCCAAGAAGATTGTAGCAGCCCACCCTGGAAAGGTCAGGGAGATTTTCTGCATCCGAGACTGCCCATGCCCAAGTAACAGCGAGCACTGCTGTGGTCTTGCAACCGACATGATGTGCACGTCTGTGGCCGGCGTAAGTTTACCTCCCCTCCTCAGTGATGGAATAGGAACGGAAGACAGTAAACTAATACGGCTTGGTATTGTGAAGAAACGCGACAGAGATGCATTTGGCCGCAGCATGGCTGAGTGGGTTATGAAAAACCGCAAAGCCCTGAACTTGAAATATGTTATCTGGGGGCAGAGGATCTGGAACCCATCCATCGACAGGGTTGTTGCCCCATGGACTAAATGGAGACAAATGGAAGACCGTGGCTCCATTACTCAGAACCACTGGTAAGTTCTGAATGCTACAGCGTAAGTGGCCATGTTCTCTGCTAACAGGGTATCTAGGGACCACGTCCACGTTAGCTACAACGGTTAGATCTTGCTGTCCTCTCAAGGCAAAGAAGTTCTACTTCAATGACGTGTTATGTAGTTTGGATATACCCGTAAATAACAATAAAAAAAAAGGTCTACTCTCTAAATAGAAAACAACAAATGCCCATTATCATCAAGTCGTAGTCATCATCTCCAGCTCTTTAGATGTTTTTTCCTTCCTCTTATTTCTTTCCTTGACGGCTCAAAAATCATATCACGTGAGAGACTATAGGTCACATGATTAGGGCTAAATGGAAATCTTGGCATTGGCTTTCGGGAAAACAAAAAAGCGGCTGATTTCACCACACAAACAACAACTTTTCCGGCTTCAAATTTGATTTTCGATCTTGCACTTCGACTTCTTCTTCATCGCCAGAACAACCAACGACGCCGGTACTCCTTGACCTGACAACATGGTAAGAATACAGCATCCTACGTGAATCCTCAGATCCTCTTCTCGACCTCCGTATACCCTGTTGAGAGCAAAACTCGAGATGGGAGTGTCCTGTCGACAGGTCTAATTCCGTCACACCGTGCTGCGACTCTCCAAGAGCCAGCCCAGGAGGCGTTGACTTGGCTTGAGGTGACGGGAATTGCAGCAATGCAATGACCGTTATCCTCTTTAGAGATCAAAGAAGATGCGATGCTTAGTGAATGCATTTCGCTAATGTCCTCTTTTCTCAATGATAGCCTCCAAAGAGTGGAAAGAAAGTTGCTGCCGCCCCCTTCCCACAGGGAAAGGCTGGCTCTAAGAAGGCCCCAAAGGTGAGTTGCTAATTGATATTCTACCTGAAATATCCAACTTTTTTTCCCGTAGGAGCCGGTTTGTACTAATTGATGTGTTTTAGAACCCTCTCATCGAGAAGCGCCCACGCAACTTTGGCATCGGTCAGGACATCCAGCCAGCCCGCAACCTTAGCCGTATGGTGAAATGGCCCGCCTACGTCCGCCTTCAACGCCAGCGCAAGGTTCTCAACCTCCGCTTGAAGGTTCCACCAGCGATTGCCCAGTTCCAGAACACCCTCGACCGCAACACCGCTGCCCAGACCTTCAAGTTCTTGAACAAGTACCGCCCTGAGTCCAAGGCTGAGAAGAAGGAGCGTCTCCACAAGGAGGCCACCGCTATCGAGGCCGGTCAGAAGAAGGAGGATGTTAGCAAGAAGCCATATGCCGTCAAGTACGGTCTTAACCACGTTGTTGGATTGATTGAGAACAAGAAGGCCTCTTTGGTCCTCATCCCCAACGATGTTGACCCAATTGAGCTTGTCATCTTCCTTCCTGCTCTCTGCCGCAAGATGGGTGTCCCATACGCCATCATCAAGGGCAAGGCTCGTCTTGGAACCGTTGTCCACAAGAAGGTAAGCCTATGCTGAAGATAATGTGCCATTGCTTATCAACGGCTACTAACAACTTCTCTAGACTGCCGCTGTCTTGGCCATCACTGAAGTTCGTGGTGAAGACAAGGCTGAGTTTGCTAAGCTCGTCTCTGCCATCAAGGAGGGATACAGCGACAAGTACGAGGAGGCCAAGCGCCACTGGGGTGGTGGTATCATGGGTGCTAAGGCCCAGGCTGCCATGGAGAAGAAGCGCAAGGCCATTGAGAACGCCATCAAGATTTAAGCTATCTAACGACCCTTAGCTCTTTCATCATGTCACGCTGAGTCAGGTCATGGAGTTCATAGGTACGGGAATGGCATTCAAAAAGTTCTCCTTTTTATTTCTTCTTGCGGAAGCGAGTCATTTTTGATCCTCCCGGGGAACACAAGAAAGCTCTTGTTGCCTCTCCCTAGTTTTAGAAATGAGACGCATTTCTCGCCCTCCAATGGCTTGACTCTGTTACCGAGACCCACCTACCTACCTACCTCCTGTTTTTATATTATTATTTTGCATCTTACATATACCCATGTTAATGAAATGAGGTGAACGGTTTTATGAAGACAAGTGTATGCATGCGTATAAGCTAGTCGTAGTAATCATAAACCCTTTTTCTACTGATGCAATCATGGTGTACAATGCTCTATATCCTAGTGTCCTCATGGGTGCGTCACATTCTATCTCCTGGGTGAGTAAAATGCAAACCTGGCCTCTTATCAAGTTGCCGCCGGCTAGCCTATGCTGCCTTTCGAGGAACTACAAGTGTTGAAGCCGTAGATAAAAAAAACGTAAGAGGAATGGAAGCGATAGAAAAAGGGAGAGAGAAGAATATTAATAATAACAATCAACCCATGGCCCGTTTGTTTCCCCATTGTTTTTGCCTATACCCTCATCATATACGCATTGAGAATCAAGAAAAGAAGGGGTGAAAAGAAGACCATGCAGAGAATATATCGAGGAATTAAATAACGATCAAACTGAATGGGTATTTCGTAAAATAAGCTGGAGAACGGAGCGTTTTAGGGAAGAGTGAGAGTCTATATTGGAGCCAAATTGGCGGATAGACTAATGTTAATGCGAAGTAGGAGGCCTTGACAAGCCTTGTCTTGCCTGAAATTTTGAGTCAGTTGCTGTATGGATAGGTAAGAGAACTATATAATGCAATCAAGCCTACCTTCATCTGCTCTATTCTAGCTTTCAATTGGCTTGTCACTTCCGCAGCTCTTTTCCAGTTTTCTGACGGTTCAATTGAAGCGGGCGCATCACCCGTAGGGGTCCTCGAAGTTCTTGCCGGGCTACCCCTGCCGGAAGAGTATGCGGATCCAGCGGGAGGGCTAAACTTTCTACGGCCTGAGAATCCAGTGCTTAAAGCAGGAGAAACCATGCCAGTGTTTTCCTTTTCCTCGCTTGGACTTGATGAAACAAAGCTTCTTGGCCGTGCGCTTTCGAATCGAGATCCCATATGAAGGCTTGCACGAGAGGGTGTCCCGTTAATACGATGCATATCATCTTGGTAGATGCCTCCGCTATCACTGATACCCATGTTGAGGCTCATATCAGGTAGTGTCATCGGAGGACTGGTTGCTCCGGCTCTCATAGCCCGCGAAAGCTCCCGTTTCAGTCTCTCAATCTCTCGCTGTTGCTTTTGAACACTTTGTTCTGCAGTTTCTGCATCTCCTCGTGCTCGAACTAGTTGAGTCTCCTTAGCCTTGATGCTTAGCACATCTCGGGTATGGTCTTCTATCAGCTGAGCGTTTTGATTTTGAAGTTCATGAACTTCAGATGATAATCTTGACCGCTCTGCTCGTAGCTCTTCGGTCATTTTAGATAGCCTCGCGTTTTCCGCCCGAAGCTCCTCCAGCTCAGCTCTTTCAATAGCAGATAAGCCGGTGGCGATCTGAGCAATCGGTTGCTCCTGCACAGGTGCACTTGGTTTACCTATTGGTCGACTAGCTAGTCCTCTACCACCACCGCCAATTCCAAACTTAGGAGGAGGAGGAGGAAGTGCTGCTGGATCCTCCATGGGGGGCGAAACCACGCGGCGTTGCGGAGAGGCAGCACCACCTGGTCCAGCCAGTTTGGATTTCAATTTCAGTCCAGAACCAGGAGTGGCAAGGCCACGAGGAGCTCCTATCTTGGGGGCGGCCTTCTTTGCGGGTGCTGGCGACGCTGGAGGTTCGCTTGGAGCGGCGGGGGCAGCAGCAGCAGCAGGAGCAGGAGCAGGTTTCTTAGCGCCCAACGGCTTCTTACCCATTGGTTTCTTTGCTGGTGTAGCGATAGTCTTTGGTGGACCGATTATGGGTTTTGGTCTGTCCTTTGCTTTAACCTCTGCCGTTTCAAAGAACTCCCTGATCTTGGTCTTTCGAATGTCATCCAGCCCGTCTAGATATACGTTCATTGCACGTTCACCCATAATCTTCATGAGAGTTCCCAAAATTTCCGCGCCTCCTGATCTAGTCACTTCACTCGAGTCTGTAAGAAGTTTTGTTCCAGCCTCAGCTATTGACTTTACCTCCCCCTTCGAAGGTACATCTCTGGTAGTTCGTAGGCAGCGGACTAGGAACTTGAAGGTTTCCTGCTTCACCTGAGGATTCTTATGCTTTAGGAATCCAAGGATATCTTCCAGACAGTCGGTCAAGCTTGTAGACAAAAACACGGCATCCAAACCCTGGCCTAATGCGGTTGATACCGTAGCCTTCTTCTCTTTTAGTCGTTCCATCATTGGCGGCATCACAACAGAGCGGTACTTGGCGAATCCTTTCCGAAGTCCAGTTGCAATCGCACAGATACAATTCGCTGCAACTGTCACTACCAGGACGTTCGCATCTTTCATGCATTTCCCAAGGTCACCGCATAGTTCATCAAAATTGCCCTCTTTGATCTTTGGGACGTTAACAACCTTGTATAAGTCATCCAGTGCCTCCTTCCTATCCTTCCATTTGGATGACGCTAAATTCTGGTGAAGGTCCTTTGGCGCGGCTGCAGTTATGTCCACCGCTTCAACTAAATCAAAGACATCGACTTCACCGTCATCTTCCAGGTTGTCACCTTCAACCTCGCCCATACCATCTTCAGCGCCAGGATTTGCACTAGCCTCAGCCATGGCCGCTTGTTGTGTGCGGGTAAACCGTTCCTGTTTTGGTGGGGGATCTTGTTTCACTTTTTCAAACTGTTTCTCCAGGTCCTGTTGCTGTACAGGCTTCAAGTCGTTCCAAAAAGTAGCTTTGAGGGCTTCCTTAAGCCATCTGTAAAGCTCTACCGTCAAATTTTGGGCTTCTCCTCTCACGTTCTTATCTGCATGGCTGAAGACTTTCGCCAGAGCTTTGAGAACCGGCTTTGTTTCCACTATCTTGATTCCATAGTTGTGATATATAGAGGTAAGGGCCGATAGAGCGGCGGCCACGACCTTGGGAGTCTTATGTGAGAGTGCAGCGACAAGCTCTTCGATAACTGGCTCAGGTTTATCGAGCTCAATAAAAAGTAACAGTGCTTCGAGCGCACTCGCTTTTGCTGCGGGGCGGGTTTGGGGAAGACCCTTTTCGATTATAGGTGCGGCAGTAACAGAGCGTGTTCTGGAAACAGTAACATAAACCTGTTAGTTCTTTGCACTGGGTGTACTGGGTAAGAAACTCACCTATTACAGGCCTGGACCCCTGAATATTGTAGAAAGGAGCAGTATGCAGCAAGACCCTCCTGCTGGGCGGCAACGTTTGTGTCTGCGACGACGCCCTTCCAAATGGTCGGGTCTTGTAGGAACGGTCGAAATACGGGAGCGTCTTCATCTGGAGATATTTCAAATTGTTTCTTGGCCGCTTCGTAGCCTTCTTTCCGTACTTTCCAGATCTAATGCATAGTTCGTAAAAAATGTTAATTGTTTGCTCCGTGTGCAGGTGCCGGGTAGAAGCCCACCTTGTGCGCAAATCTCTCGGGAAGAGGGAGAGAAGAGAAATCTTCTTCGTCGGCCATAGTTTTGCTCTGTGGATGTGTCTATGTGTATAAAGCTTTCGTCTGTCAGTAAAGCAACAATAACAGGAGGTATCCCTAGTGCGTATAAAAGAAAAAAAAAAATAAAAATAAAAATAGTCAGAGACGCTGCAAGGAGCACCACCAGTAACAAGATATTCAGGATCAACAACCGCAATACCCGTCGATATGTAATGAATGCGACTCTCTGTCTACTTGGGTGGGATGAAGCTGGTTGGTGGTGTGCGGTTGTCAATGCCCGACGGGTGCGGGTGCCGCAGATAAACAAACAACCTACGTACGGATAAACAAGGATCGAGGTTCCGGCTTAGCGCTCGACGAGGAGTAGAAATAGGGAATGACTCCAGCAGCAGGATAAACAGATAAACAAAAAGGCCCGTTAACTCATGGATGCTGGTATGGCCCGGAGTGAGATGTGGTCAGTATCGGAGACGCAGGGGAGGAGAAGGACAAGAGTCGTGGATGTGTGATTTTTCCTCTTCTAGCTACGTCGTCCACGCAGCGCAGGCGCTCGCAGGCATCAACAAAAAAAAAAAAAAAAAAGGCCCACAAAGGCCAACACTTGGGTGACAGGTTACGTAAGCAGGTCAGGCTTGAGGCGCTGCTCTTTGGAGTTTGCGACCCCTGTCCCTTATTCTCTCCCTTATTCTCTCGTCTTATGTATATTATTTATATTTCTATCGGGTCCACGGTCATTATTATAGTCAAATATAGGGTGTTCTGTAGAGCGGGATTGGGGTTTCCGCTATCATAGAATTTATATACGAATATTATGTTAATTCATAATCTTTGGCTCAGGTACAGAATGTTATGCTGTCCAGTAACAGCCGACCAATCAGGTGGACGGAAAAAAGAAGATTCAACCAATCAGAGGCTGCATTGGCCGACCAACCATGGGCACGCCGCCGACCGGCTATGGTTAACGAGTACACCACCTATATGTATGTAGTCCAATAGTAGTTGGCCGTTTTCTTTGCCAGAGACAAGCTTAACAATGCTATAACTAAGCTCAGCTGGTTGGTCTGGTAGGTATGTCTTCATTTTTGGTTGGTCTCGTTCTTCTTCCTAAGTCATCCTGACGTTCAGACGACATGATAACCTGAGGTAACTGACGAGATGGCTAAGATACATGAAGATAAGGTGACTGAGGGCATACATGCTGCAAGGTGAGAGACATCCACGTGCTATAAGGATATACGCAAATGGCAAATACCTTAATTTTGGGGAGACTTGCGGCTAGTACTATTGGTTGGCTCGGCTCTTGTATATCTGTTCGAAGCATCCTCAACGTTGTCATTTGGATGTGCAAAGCTCCACTCAGCATTGTCAAGTCCGGCTTCGTCAGATGTAGCCAATGTATCAGAGTCCTCCAAGACGACAGTTGGTTCAGAAGTTGGTTCACGTTCAGATGAGAGATGTTCAGATGGAGCTTGCGTGTGTCTCTCGTTTGCAGATTTAATAAACTCATCCCTCTGTTCTTTTGCCCAATCCCGTGCATTTCGATATGCAGATGCACCGCTCCGAAAAGTATCCAGGCCATCCGCCATGGCAAATGACCTTAGTGAAGTCATAATATATTCAGGACGCCCATCGCTTTCTCGGGGAGCAGTGGGGTGTGTTGTATAGAGCTTGAGTTGGCCTCCATGGTAAATTGACGTTATCGTATAGGCATTATTGTCGCTAGATGGCTCATCTTGCTTATACGACTGAAGCTTGTGCATTCCACGAGCACCTAGCGCGCCATGGTAACAGGCTTGCCGAGTAGCAACAGCAAGGGATCCATCGGGGCCCTTAGTTTCAAGAAAGAAGTTCGGAGCTATCGGAAGGGAGCTCTGGGTCGATGGAATAACGAACTCGCTAAGCTCATCACGGATTTCATGATTGAGCTGCTCAGGGCGGGCGCCAAAGAAGTGATCGGGTTTTGCGTTTGCCAGTGTTCCATCTGTTAGAGCAGCAAGGTTGCCAAATGGGTAGTCTCCGCCCATACACTTAATATCATCAACGCGACCTTCAATAATCGGGATAGCCAAGCGTACAATAGGTTTCTCCTTAGACGCATTTACATCTGCCTCTACAAATTCTTCAAAGTCTTGCTCCGAGAACTTTGACGGCGAGAGTGAAGCCCGGGGTTGCGCCAGCCGTTCATTGAGCTCCTGCCAGTTATCCGGCTTTGCCGGTTTCTGACCATCGGGATACTTATATCCAGGTGGGTAAATACCGTGATCAATCAACTTTTGCTCAAAGTTTCGATTATAGGCGGTAGTGCTCGTTGTCTTTGTAGTTTTAGTATTGCTATTGCTGCTATCTGGAGGAGTCCCCGCACGTCTTTTCCGGTGTCCCGAGCTGTTTGCGCTCATTGATTGATAACAAGGGGTATAAGGGTCTGGAAACTGAGATAAGGCGTCAGTATAGGCACCAGCATGTCACAAGAATTACATACATTCCTAAGGTCAGATAGGTCAGGTCCGCCCTGTCTAGAGAGTCTTTTGATCTTGCTCAGACTCTCGGGCTTGCAGCTGATTAGGGGGTCGGGGGCAGGTGTCTGGTGACAACGCTTAAGTCTCGCCTGCAACTGTCGAGTGAGCGGCCGGTGGCGGAAGTATAGCGACTCTGGTACGCTGTGGGAGGCCCTATTCCGTCGATCCAACTCTTCGAGAGCGTCCCTCGTTAACCAAATCTTCGACAAACTATCCCAATATGCTGAAGCGGGCTGCCTGTGCTTCAGCCTTTTCGATGGAGGCCGTAGTGGATCGAGATAGTCAGACTCCTGCCGTTTGCGAGATGGTTCCAGAGAGACTGGGAAAGTCATATGGCACGGATATTGTAGACGTCTTAGTTCTAGAAAGCGTAGTGGGCGAACGTTTGATCATATATCCTCCAAAACACGACCGGCGCGTAGCTTCGACTTCGTAAGGATAGTGACTGTTTCACACTCCTCACTTCTCCGGCCTGAACAAAGGCCCCATTGGGTAAGAATTTTGGCCCCCACAAGCAAGGGCAAGGGAGATTGGCATGATGCACGTCTGATTGAAAAAAAAAAGGTGATTTGGGGGCTGGGTTGATGCAAGGACAGGCGAAAAAGCCTTAGTTATGCCAAGCCATCAGATAAGATTTGATTTTGACTAATTAGTTAAATTAGTTACTAATCAACGCGCTCTCCGCAAAGACTATTACTTCCAGCACGGACAACCTTCTCCCTAACGAGGCACATATTATCTTAGCATATTTTGGAGAAGCCTTTTGCCAGGAAACTAATAGACCTCCCGGTGAAGACAGCCACATCCCTATCTCCATCGTCTTTGATTCAGCGAAGAATCTCTCTTTCGTATCTCACATCTGGTTGTGGAAGTTGGTCTATCTTTGAAATGCGGTCACTCTTTGACGGCACACTCGCGAAAGGAGCCGATATATCTTCACAGCAAATTGACAACCTCGGGATTTCATCATTACCACCACAATGGTGGGAAAGATGGGATGCACGGCACGAATACTTTGACAAGGGAGGCATACCTCCTGGGAACTGCACAGTGAATCCGCTTCTTGAGCAGGCTTTTGTGGAGGAGATACAAGCTGCACTAAGGGAGAAAGGAGTTGAAGCGTTCAGTGAAGAGGAAAAAGCAGCTGTTCTGGCTATTTTTCGATCAATGCTCGTTTTTGATCATGAGAAACGGGCTTCAGCAAGGTCGTTACTGGCATCTGACTGGATGATGAACTGAGGCCTACCAGGGCTTAAATTCCCCCAGGACATCTGATGTGAGAAGAATGCATTCCAAGATTACACAATAATATCAAATACGGGAAGGATTAGTTTGCCTACGCGTATACATACCAGGAGGGTAAAGCATAACGGAACTGGGGAGAATAGATCTGAATGTTTCGTAGAAGAGGAAGAGCAGAGAAATAATAAGGAGACTTTTGGCATCAACAAATCACCCTCAGAATAGAGAACCCAGCAAGAGGAAAATGAATAGAATTATAGGTAGACGTATGCACGGATATATAGAGTATAGAAATTGATAACAGGGAGGCGTAGGGAGGAAGGGGTCAATTTAAGGAACAGGCGAAAAGTTTCATATCGGGGGACATGATATCACATAAGTGGAAGAGCGTTATGGGCAACGGATGGAACGAAGCGGGTGGGATGGGGTAAATGGAATCAAAAAGCAATCAAAAAGTAACTGCATCACCCGCAAGTTATTGAAAGGTGGGGAAGAAAAGAGAGAAGAAGAAAGAGGGCCATCTTGGTGGACCTGTCTATAAGAGTCGAAATGAGAATTAATGATCTTCCAATGTCATCATCATATTGCCGAAATCAACTTTGAAGCTCCGCTGATCCGATCGCCCCAGAGTCAGACGAGGCAGACACGAGACCACCACAATAACGAAGGGTGGGAGAAATTAAAAATCAACGAAGGGGTAAAAAAACAAAAGAAATTAGATAGCTGCATCCATCAATGCACAAGGGGGAATCATAGATCAATAAGATTGTTGCTGCCCTGTTGGTTAGGGCGTGCAAAGCCCTGCTGAGAGCCGAAGCCGGTGTTGCTCTGTTGGGGCGCACCGGTGAAGTTTTGGGTTAGGAACGGGTTGTTACCGGTCCTCGAAGTTTGGAGCTGGTTAAGCCCAGAACCAGCAGAGTTTACGAATACACCCGGTGCAGTATGCTGGGCTGGGATACGTAGATCGCCGACATTGCCAAATGTATCCTGGCCGTCGCCGGTGGCAAGGAGAGCGTTAAGACGGGCATGTTGTGGGTTTTGATTCATTTGTTGCTGGTTGTTCATGGGCTGGAGGTGCTGCTGCTGCTGTTGTTGCTGGGGTGCCTGGTAGTTCATGATAGGGTTATTAAACTGAGTTGCAGTTTTCTGTTCTGCAAGAGCATTAAGAGATGGTGGTCCGGTTTTCTGGACTTGGGATTGCTGTGCTTGGGCGCGAGTGAATGACGATGCGAACGGGTTATTGGAGCCAGTTGGAGCCGGCTTCAAAGCGTCAGCCGGCTTTTGCTGGTTCATAGCCCATGGATTATGGGAGCCAGGCTGAAGGAAGCCGTCCTGTTGTTGCGGTTGCATCTGTGGTTGCTGTTGCTGGCCAAACAAATCATTTCCATACGGGTTCCCGGTAAAGGCGGTTTGTTGTGGTTGTAACGTGGATTGAGGCTGTAGGAACTGCTGGTCAAATCCTGTCGGTTGTTGCTGAAATCCATTGGGAAAAGTATTGTTAAAGCCAGTCTGCTGGGGCTGGAACCCAGTAGGCTGTGCGTATTGATTGTTTAGGAAGCCTGTAGTCATGGGCTGCTGGGGATCAACTGGGTTACCAAACCAGTCCACGGCACCTTGCTGCTGGTAACCCTGGTTGTATCCGGTGGCCTGTGGCTGAGCAGGTTGAGGGGTTGAATCATCGAAAAGAGAGGCAGCATTGCTTTCTTCGAGCTCCCGTCTTCGAAGCTCTTCTTCCTCTTTACTGAGCTTGATGGCTTTGGCGAGTTCGTCATCTTCTAGATCTCGGGAAGCATTCTTTTCTCGTCGTTTCCTATCTTCTTCTGCCTCGTACTTGCTTGCCTCTATTGCGAGTCTGTATTCGGCATCTTCATCATCAGCAGGCCGTTGAGGACGCTCTCGTCGGCGTTGGCGGTGAGACATATCACCCCCCTCGATGCCTCGCATGCCGTCGTCCATTCCAGCGAATCGTGATTTCCACAGCTTTCTATCGGATCGTTCGCTCCTCAATCGATCTTCATCAAGCAGCAGAGAAGTGAGCTCCTTCGCAGCCACACGAACTAGTAAGTTTATTAGCAGCGGTAGGTACATCTGCTGGATATGCGTATAACATACCATTCTGGCCAACATCACGCCCGTCCTCATCGATATACTGAAACTCACGGAGAGTTTTGATGATGTAGAGGTTCTTCGTCGCCCAAGTCACTACCTGTTCGGAACCTTCGTGGAGGCAGTAATCAACGACCTTGAGAGACTTCAACACATGGCGCCAATTCTTTCCCTTATCGTTTAACCGCTTATCGAGCATCTCCACGATTTCATAGAATTCGTTCGGGCTATCCATGAAATTGAGTTAGTGACCATGTTGTCTAGCATGGTAAAATCTCCTGACAATCATCGCCATACCTGTTGAATGTCAGAGCGGCAATTTCGGCCATCTCTGTGCCCGTTGGGCCCCAAGGATCGTTGCTCGTGGCTACGTAATAGCTGTCAGCACCACCATAGACACCGGACATTAGCCAGTCAGGTAGAAAGAACTCATACCATTCCGAACCTTCACCTGTACCGCCGAATAGCCCTTGGTGACATTCTTCACACTTCTCACAACCTTCGACATAGCGATGTCGAACTATCCGATCCTACTCGGGAACCGGCCGACTTGAAAATGGAGAGTATACCGGACTGAGGGAAACGGTACTATCGTGTATTTGGAGACCTTTTTGAACGTAAGGATGTCGCTAGGAAGACAGCGGGAGTATTTCGCGGTGCGGGCGGCGCGCTCGTGAGGTGCGCAAAAAGGAGACGGTAACTAACTAGTTAAACGGAGAAGTTTGCGCCTTCAGTAAACCGGCCAGTGCAGGATGTTTTGTTTCGCAAGGGAGTGTCAAAGCAGTGATACCCTTTCCATGCACACGGCACAGGGACAAAGACGATGGCTTATCTGCCAGTGCAGGGCATTATGTTCGCTCGCGTAGATGGTCGTGGAGCAGATAATAAAATAATAATAGTTGACTGAACTTACGTACTGTAGTTAGTCGGGCCGCTGGAGCGAACGTGCCAAGCCAGAACCCGCTGGGTGATGGACAACAAGGACGCAGGAGAAGATGTCTTTTCGGCGGCTTCAGCAGAGCAAAGGCTATGTGAAGGAGAGAAGAAGAAGCAGAATAAAAAGACAAGAAGATATTCGTTTCTGAAGATGCCGGGAAAAAATCTCGACTTCGGTGAATGTTGAAGTTTTGAGTGTTGACGTCGTGGACGCAGAAGAAAAGTGGCTGAGTCAGTTGAAGTGGGGGTGATGACTAAGCTGCCCAGCCACAACGCCGATAGAAGATATAGATAGAGATTAATAGGAGTATCAATATGAGTATCAGGAGTAGACAGACGTAGATGAAGATGATGAGGATAGATGCAGATGAGTAGATAGAAGAAGTGCAAATGTGAGATCTAGTTTATTATTTACTGGCAGATTCCTTCTCTAGGGCGAGGTACAGCTCCTCGGCCCCCTTTATACACTGGACGTTTGCGCCCAGCTTGTTCAGGGTCTCAACATACTCATCGTACGGGTCAGAGTCAAAGACGATGCCACCGCCGGCCTGGAGGTAGGCAACGTTGTCCTTGAGTACCATTGTCCGCAACGCAATGCAGGTGTCCATGGCGCCGTCGATGATCTCCTTTCCGTCCAGGCTGCAGCGGTTATATCCAAAGTATCCAACAGCGCCAGCATACACACCACGCTTCTCACCTTCCAGCTCAGCAATCAGTTGCATGGCTCGTACCTTGGGCGCACCACTGACCGTACCAGCAGGGAAAATAGATCGGAACGCATCGAATCTGGTCTTCTCCGGCCGCAGGACGCCAGAGACCTGGGAGACCAAATGCTGGACATGAGAGAACTTCTCAACAACCATCAGACGGTCGACCTGGGTGGTTGCTGGGTCACAGACACGGTTGACATCGTTTCTGGCCAGGTCGACTAGCATGACATGCTCAGCACGGTCCTTTAGACTGTTGCGGAGCTCTTCGGCAAGTTTCTCGTCCTCCTCGGGAGTTTTGCCTCTTGGAACAGTACCAGCAATGGGATGGGTGATGATCCTGTCTGCTTCCTTCTTGACCAGGAGCTCGGGACTGGCACCAACGATCTGGAAGTCGGCGCAGTCGATGTAAAATAGGTACGGCGAAGGGTTCACGGATCTCAGATGTCTGAACAGGTTAAATGGATGGAGAGTGGTAGGCCGTGCAAGCCGTTGGGATGGCACGGTCTGGAAAATGTCACCTTTCCCGATGTGCTCCTTTAGCCGGTGGACATGGCCTTCATATCCTGCCTGGCCAATGTTCGATGTATATACCTGGTCGGGCTGGATAGGAGGCTGTGGAGGCATGGGCACCTTGGGATCTAGAAGCTTGTGAATCATCTTCTGGAGTACCAACTCGGCTTCCCGGTAGAGTTTTTCTATGTCGGCATCTCCATCTGGTACCCGGAGATAAGTTATCACCTTGATAACCTGGAAGAAGTGGTCGAATGCAACGATGGTGTCGAACAACATGAATAGCGACTCGGGTATGCATAGTATATCCTTCATAGGACGAGCAGTCTTAGGCTCAAAGTATCTAACGCAGTCGTATCCAACGTATCCAATCGCCCCTCCAGTAAGTGGTGGCAGCTTCAGTCCGGGAACAGTCGCAACACGGCACTGCGAGATCTCCTTCTCGAGCAGCGGCAAGGGGTCACATTCCGGTCCATGTCCAGGTCCAGACACAAGCACATCCTTGGGGTCTAGACATCATCATGCATTAGCCCTATATTCAACCACAGTAGAAATATTTCAGTACGTACCCGCTCCAACGAAGCTGTACCTGCCGATCGTCTCCGTCGTCGCTGCACTCTCGTAAAGAAACGACCGTTTCGAGCTTGAGGAAAGAGCCTGTTAGCCTTCAAATGTATAGCCAAAGTCCACAAACTGCTCGACCAGACTCACTCTGCTGAGATTTTAAGATATGCGACTGTGGGAGTCAGAAGGTCTGCCGGTATCGACGCCGTTACCGGGACCATGTTCGGCGGGTTCGGGGAACCCCTTGACTGCGCGAGGACATCCTTCACGGCGTCGAGAGACGGTTGAGCAATAACCTATGCGTCCTGATTAATCGTCCGTTTGTTCCACCGCCCGGTAGATACACAGTCACCCCAGCTATTTCAGCCATAGCGTCACTAAATATCCCGTGGGGCTTGGAGGGCATAAATATAGGTACACATACCCGTGGAGCCATTGCGAAAAAGCGCAGCGAATTGGTTCTTCTCCAGTATCTATCCTTCGGCGTCTCTGGTAGCTTCAGGCGACTCCAACACAGGATGTTCTACAGCAGAGGAGAGCGAGTCGCGGGCTGGAGGGGGAAGAGCAGCGAACCCTGAGAAGACCAAATTATGAGCCCTGCCAGCGATTCTAACTGCGACTAACCAAACTATGGGCTGGCTCGTCACTGACTAACTAACTTAACTTAGCTGACTAGTTAGCGGGGACCAGCCCTCGCATGGAGCCCAGAGCTATAAATACATCTGGGCGGCGGCCACTCACCGAGCGAGAAACCTGCCTCGTACAGGACTTAACTACAGGGTGGCATCGTCCGATCTTGGAGCTTCTCGTCGCTGGTGCATATCAGAAACATATAATTGGATTATATCTCATTGGTCGTTGGGTTTTTACACGGCAGAAAAACGGTTGAAAGTCAAACTCTCACCAGGCAGTGAAGTGAACAAATCAACAAGAAAGGCATAAAGCAAAGAAGAAAAATTACATGTGCAAGGCGGGGGGTAATCTAAAGCCAACGTTTTTTTATTCTCTCTTCTCTCGATCTCCTTCTCTTTTTGCCAATATTAATTAATGTTGTCGAAGGCTGGCGGCGTAGAGGAGGGACCAGGGTGTATCGAACAAGGGTCGGAGCTGAATATTGATGAGATACGAGAGCATCTGCGACTCCTCCTGGATCTTAGCTCGCAGCTCCCTTCCAAGACAGTGCTTTCGCTAGGTGATTCCACTGTCTTTCGCGACTCTTGCTCGGCGCTGGAGAAGGTGTTGACTGCGCCCACACGGAGGTATGATGACACGCAATATGAACTCTCAGATAGGGTGGATCCACGAGGAGACATTGCTGAAGGCCATCAAGAAGAAGCCACGCATCCGGAAGCCAGCAGGGAAGAAGCACTTCAATATGACCGTGAGCTTTTGTTGGTTCTGGACCGTCTGACAAAAGCGAACGAGAACTTTCGACAGCGGAGAGTCGAGCAGCGTCAAATTCACGAGCAGTACCAAATCAGGTGCAAGGAGTTCTCAGCCCGGGTCTCAGAGCTAGAAGATGAAGTGAAGTTGCTGTATGTCCAAATCAATGCTCTCTTGTCCGCCCTTATTATTATCTTCCCGTCTCCTTCCTCTTAATTTCAAGCTGACGATAATTTCAGCCAACAGGAGGTGTTCAACGCCACCATCGAGCTGGAGTGTATGCGTGGGACTGTCTCTGGACTCGACTCCTGGTTAATTAATTGGAAGAGCCAAAATGATAGCGATAGCCATCTAAATCCAGTGTTAAAAAGGCCAGCTAAACCGCGAGGAAAGAGCTCAAAGTACTTTGAGCAGCTGGACAAGCTCCAAGAGCAGAGAGACGGCCTGATAGACGGGCTGGGCGCCTGGATTCGAGGGTGGAACGATGCAACTGACGGTTTCGAGGCTCGCTCAACGAGCTAGTGCTGGTAGTGCTATCTAACACCTCTCTCAGCCCTATCTCTCTCTCTCTTCCCCTCCTTTTTTGTATACAAACATTGTATTATTGATTCTCGTCTATTAGAGGTCGACGGACAAGAGAGGGGGGGTAAAACGGAGTTGACGGGATATTAGTGTATATATTAAGGGTCTGGGCGTTCCTGTGTATAAAATGAAAAAAGTTGACATTATCGTTGAAGGTTAATAATTGCAATCTGCACCTTGACCGTTAGCAGAATGTAAAATATGGAAGGGTGATAGAGTTGGTGCATACCGTGCTTCCGAAACCAAGAGCCAACTTTTTTCCGTCGCTATCCCATGAGAGCGGGCGATCAAGGGCCGATTGGATCCCGTTAACAGTACCATTGGCTTCATCCGAGATGGTTTCATCTTTTGTCCCATCTTTAGGAATAGGCCAGCTTGCCATCGGCGTACCTCCCCGTTCTGCGTTCCAAATGAATAACTTATCCTGACTGGCAGCTGCGATTGCGTAACCATCCGGGGAGAAAGCGGATGATAGTGCTGGTAATGATGACCCGAGGAAGAGCCGATGGACACAGCTTGCAGTCCTTGAAGTGCAATCAATGCTCCAAATCTTAAGTGTCTCGTCCATGGAAGAAGTAGCCAAAATTAGTGCAGGGTCCTTTCCAGTTCCGTTGGCTAGGGTTTGAGGACTGGAGTGAGGCTTTGGTAGCGGCCTGAACTCTAGAGATGTGATTATTCCATGATGTGCAGATTCGACTTTTATGTCGTGACTAGGTATCCAAATATTGGACGTCGTAGCAGATGTTGATACTGTGGCAACCACGCTCGATTCCTTCCATTGTGTCGACTTGATCAGCGTCCATGGTTCCTGAGGGTATTCCTTCCAACGGAAGATTTTGGATAGTTCAATCTCATTCGTGACGCGGAATTGGTACACAGCTCCGTCTCCACAAGCATATGCCTCTTCATCTTCTACCCACAGAACTTCATATATAGCACCATCAATAAGCTGGCTGTTGATGTACTCGGTAGTTGATATCTCCTTATCCCACAATAGCAGCTTAGACTGGCTGCCATCGGATACCGTGAAGATAATACGATCTCCGTTTCCAGACCATCTAAGCCCAGATATTAAGCCAGGCATGCAAGGCAAAGTTTTTATCATCTTTCCCTGTGAACAGTAAAGAACAACAGTGCCCTCAAAATCGGAGTACGTCGCAACAGCTAACGTTTTGCCTGTCGGCTCCCACTCCATGGCGGTGGCGTTTGCTGTGCTAGTCAATACCTCATGTCCCGGTGTAGTCGACGAGCGTTGTCCTGTTAGTTTCCAAAGCCCGCAATATGACTCTGCACTGGCTCCAATCAAGAGTGAATCGCCGGGCCGCCAAGCTGTCTTCATGACATGATTTTTGGCACCAATATCTAGCAGAATAGTGTCCGTTGTTAAATCGATGGCCTTTGGAGGCGCAATCTGAACTCCAACACTTTGCCCATTTGTGAGCGTGTAAACAGGAGTGGGTGGTGCGGACATCCCGATGTCCCCGTCAGCGTCGACTGCCGGTTCAGCTGCGGGTGATGATGGCCGAGACGGCGATTTCGGGATCTTAGGATGCGCTTCCTCGGGCTGTTGCTTGTCAGCTGCCACAGGCGCATCAGAAGTCCTTACCGTATCACCATCTTCATGATCGCCTCCGTCACCAGCTTTGCTGGAAGTTTGATCGCCTTGAATATGTCCATTGGCGGCAACTTCTTTTCCAGGTTTGCGAGAAGAAGCCTTTGGCGACGGTGGAGTGGAAGCTTCTTCGCCAACAGTCCCATTTGCCATGCTTTGTTTATCTGCTGTCTGAGGCGAACTGGGCTTGTCCAAAAGTGGCCCAAAAAAAGGCGTTGGTACTTCGGGTATTATATTTCCATTCTTGGTATACATGTGAGTACTTGAGGATCGCCACCGCTAGCTGTGCCATACTGGGAAACGACTTACCTGGTCTACCGATCGTTCAAGGTCATGATATTGAAGACCCTTCTGTACTAATGATACAAGTGCGTGTGATTGAATGTAGGGTGCAAATGGCAGGTTTTGTGGATTAGGATTCCACGCCCGCTGGAGCATGACAGCTGCTTCTCCATGGCCTGGAATGATGGTTTAGCTTAGCCGCAAACATCCACTGACACGTCAATTTCATGTTTCAACAAACCTGATTCTTGCAAATATCTATCGAATATTAAGACTGTCAGCACTGCAAATTGCCATCGTCTTTACATGCGGAGTTGGACGCAGCGTCGCGCCGAAGAGACAAAAAAGGCGAAGCAACCAAAGAAAGATGTACTGACCTCCATATTAAATAATTTACATGGTGAGAAGTGAGCGCGCCACCTGCCATGGCGATTTTTCATATACCACGGTGAGGTCAATGTTCAGATATTCCAGGTAATTATGAATATTGACCATATCACAAAATGAAGAAGCTTGGGGCGCAAAAAATGCTGAAATAAAAGAAGAAAAAAAACGGAATTGGGCGAGATGCAAGCAGGGAATGCGAAAAACTGTCGCCGCTAAAAAGAGCGGGACGCTCCGAACGGTCAAGTCGAGGAGGTCCTTCCAATCCCTACAAGAAACCGGGGAAGCTGTCGCTCAGGCTGGTGAAGTAGGCTGGACTTCGTTGTCGAGCTGTTTGTCTGTCTGGACAAGAAAGAGTGTTGGGCGCGGTCAAAAGGGCGGCAGCCAGAAGAAGCGTTGCGGAAGCAAGGTTTTTGCTGATCCTAAAGACGGAAATGTTTGCAGCAGGAAGTAAAATAGGGACAAGTTTCGATGCCAACGCGGAGAGGCAAGGATTCAACAATTCACAAAAGCTGATTTGTGGAGGGTTGATCACGAAGCTGCTTGCTGGGCCTCAAGGTTGCGCAGTGGTTTTTCCTTTGGTGTGGAGCTTTCGGGCCCTACCAGCTGGTCTGGCCGTCTTGCGCACACTCGGGATCTTGTCGGGAAGAAAGAGGCTGCAGGTTTTGAGGCGCCTCAGGACGGGTGAGATGAGCTGTCTTAAGGAGAGTCGGAGAATATGATCATGCGCTGCGACTGCGCTGGGAGGTTCGAGATGGAGAAATACAGCGGCAGTTCGCAGTTTGAGCGCGGCTTGGCGCAGCTGTGGCGGCTTAATGCCCCTGCTTAGATAAGCGCCAGGGACAATGGAGCTCAGAGAGGTCTTATCGCCCTGGAATCACGGTGTGCAGGCAGCGGTAGAGGGCGTAGAGGTCGGGCGTGCGAGGCGAGGTGCGAAAGCGAGGAGGTTTTGAAGAGGTTGAAGAAGGCGAAGAAGGTGAAGTTGCGGTTGAAGTCGAAGAAAAAGAAAAAAGGTCGAGGTTGAAATGTCCAAATTAGGCACTGGCGGTTTATGCACCACGTGACTGACTTAAGGCCCCCAAAAAATGTATTTATGAATGTCCTTTTTTTAACGATGCGAAGCTAAACAGCAGCAGACGAGCAGACGAGCAGCCGAGGGACAAGCGAAGACGACGACGACGACGACGAGAGCGGGAGAGAGGTTACGACGGGACGAGGTGATTAGGCTGTCCATTCTCATGCCGTACGCCGCGAGCAGGCCATCACACCCGCTACTCTGCTCCATAGACGGCCGGCTCCTGCTATGACCACCATGCTTCGAATCAACATCCCCCCCGTCACCCGCGCGATTCTCACAAGCATAGTGGTGCTCTTCATTCTGCATACGGCGACAAGATACAAGCATTATGTTGTTGGTGAATCATCGTCCTCATTTTCTGCGGTGCCCTACCTCCTCGCCGTTCCGTCGAAGATCCTCTTTTATCCATGGACACTTATATGCGCAACCTTTGTGGAACAGAATATTGTCACCCTGTTGATTAACGGAGCTACAATGTTTTACGGAGGCAAATATTTGGAGCGGGCCTGGGGCTCGAGGGAGTTTGGGAAATTCATTCTAGTGCTTGCCTTGGCCTCCAATTTGTCCATGGTGTTGCTCTACCTGACCACGGCTGCCATTCGCGGCAAGCCTGAGATTGCGTATGTACTTTTCTTGGGTCTTTCGGGACTTCCACTAATAATATGTTCTTGAATATGCTAACTTCCTGGTCTTATTTTAGCATGAAAGGAATCGGTGGTGGAATTGCTGTGCAGTCCTCTTTCCTGGTGGCCTTCAAGCAGCTAGTCCCGGAGCATACAGTTACCATTCTCCGTGGTCTCGTAAAGATACGAGTGAAGCATTTCCCTGCTATATTTCTCCTTCTCAACTTTATCGGTGCACTCTTTCTCGGAACAGACGTTGCATTCCATCTCAGTTGGCTTGGACTGCTCATCAGTTGGACATTCCTGCGATTCTACAAATACCAGCCTGATCTCTCGGGGACCTCCACTAGTGGCCGGGGAATCAAAGGTGATGCCAGTGACACCTTTGCCTTTGCATGTTTTTTCCCAGATGCCATACAGCCACCTATCAACTTCGTTGCTGAGCGAATATTCGCTATTCTAGTGGCCGTCCGTATCTGCACCCCATTCTCAGCAGAAGACGTCGCTTCTGGGAATGAGCAGGTATTGGCGCGTGGAGAAGCTGGTCTTCCGAGTTTGTTGAATAATAGCGTCCGTGGAACACCTAGATCTGGGAAGAGGGAAGAAGCTGAACGACGAAGGGCACTCGCACTTAAGGCTTTGCACTTAAGGCTTTAGATCAGAGGTTACAGTCTGCAAGTTCAAATAGAGCAGCACAGCAGGCCGCAGCATCTGCTGCGCCGTCGTCCCAAACCCTAGCTCCTGCTGCTACCCCCACGACCCCGGTAGTTCCTGCTGGTGAAACAATCCTAGGTGAAACCAATTATACCCCTGACCGTTCCTAATAACCCAAACTAGTACCTCGTACCACACATGCCATGACCTTATTAATGAAATAGTCAGCATTGAGGATACCTATATTTGATATTTGGTGCCATTGTATCTCAAAATGCCTTTACCCATCTCCGTTCACCCACCGTTCATATTGCATGCCCTTTTCTCCATCTCGTAATTTGGGCCAGGTATATGCACTGTACATTGCATTGAGTTTTTTTTGTCTTCTTTAGTTGTGCTTTTGCAAAGTTGCAGCTGGATACTAGGATTCTTCACTTGTTTTCTTTCATTTCCCTTATTCTGAAGATTAATTTATTTTATTTTCCTAATATAAATTCCTCAGGAAACACTTGTACGTTACTGTCAAAACGGGCCTGGTGTCTGAGGAATGCGTTTCTATCAAGGCAATCCAATATGCCTAGTTCTAATATACAGACCAAGAAGGAAAACCAACTAACTCCTTACCAGCATCGATCACCCCCATGCTAACACTAAGCAGTCTCCTTTTTCCAGGGTGCTTTAAACAGTGAAAAGGAGTAAGTCAATAGGTAAATTACAGGATAAAAAGGGAACAGGAAGGAAAATCGGGACTCATGTAAATCATTACTCCTCCCTCTGTTTGGCAACTGCTGCCTTTGCAGCCTCCAACATGGCTTCCTGGTCCTTTTTCGCCTTGCGAACCATGGCCACTCGCTGTCGATCGATTTCACTCTGGGCGTTCAATTGCTCTTGTAATTCCATCTCTTTCTTATCTTCTTCTGCTACCGGCACATTCTCGGCCTTAGTTGCTGCTTTAAAGGCTGCCCATATTTGTTCAACGTCCTTGCCTTTCACATCGATGGCCTTGACTATCTCCGACTCCGTCGGGGGCGGAGCATAGCTATCAAGAGCCCCCGTTGTTGCCGCAGCCGATCCGTCGGAAGGTTTGGCCGAGTATATGGATAATATTGCAGGTCCAGCTTCGTCATCTAGTTGTTTAACGGTCATCCCCACACCAGGGTTGTAATATTTTAATCGGGGCAAACATAAGCGCCAGAATCTTCGGGCTCCGTGATGGCCCTCATGCATATTCTTGTAATATGTAAGATGGAGTCGAGTAACTTGGGGTATGGTCGAAGTTCCATTGGCCGATTGAGCGGGTAAAACTGCAGCTCCGAGACCGACTCTGATATGAAGAAGCTATCCGTCATAACAGTTAGAGATTAGCTTCAATCGGAACTATACCACTGAAAATTCGTCTCAATTCATATCATATCAACTAAAGAAGATCCACATACCCTCTAGAAGGATAGCGTCAAAGTCAGCATATAATTTAAAACTTGAATGTCAAGAAGACTTAAAGGGGACCTACAGCTTTCAAGGCCCTCATCCTCCGAAGAATTGAAACCATTGTGACGAATTGAACGGAAATTTTCCCACAACAGCAATTAGCGTATAATATCAAAAAAGTAATAATTAACAAGAAAACAAACGAAAAACGCTGGCTTCCTGCCTCGCTTTGCTTTGGTATCGTTCAATTATTCGAGCTTCAACATCGACAGGACCTCGAGAATTTTGGGATCGATGGAAGAAATAAAAGCCGATACCGATCTGGAAAAACTCCACGTGACTCTCAGATTTTCTGAGTCATCATCTTGATAAGAAAACCCCCACGTATATTCATCGTGTAAATTTCGATAGAGGTAAGAAGTCCAAGATTGAGAAGCTGAATTTGAAGGTATCTCTATATCTTCGCCAGCATGGCCGCCTCTGTCTCTGCGGCTGCCGCTGTCGCGCTTGACAGCTCCAAAAACACCTTGAAACTCGAGAATGTGAGTGCTACTAACCCCTGCAATCCCCCGCTTCCTCCAATGATTGACTATGGGTATTGATCAGTATCATAGACAGAGAAAAGAGATACGCTCATTGCTCTGGAGAAGAAATACCAGGCGGTATGGAAAGAGAAAAGGGTCTTCGAGGTGGACGCTCCATCTCTCTCAGAAATCCCCGCGCAAAGCATGACATCGGCCGAGCTGCACGAGAAGTACCCAAAGTTCTTTGGAACCATGGCTTTCCCCTATATGAATGGAACTCCCCATGCCGGACACAGCTTCACGGCGAGCAAGATTGAATTCATGACCGGAGTTGCACGATTAGAAGGAAAACGGGCTTTGTTTCCCCTTGGATTCCATTGTACTGGTATGCCTATTCGCGCGTGTGCGGACAAGCTGGTGGACGACATAAAAAAATTCGGCAAATATTTTGAGAATTATAAGGAGGAAGAGGAGGAAGCTGATGCTATACCTGCTCCAACTCAGGAGATTGCTAAGGAAGACTTGTCGAAGTTCTCTGGTAAAAAGAGCAAAGCCGCCAGCAAAGCAGTTAAGCTGAAATACCAATTCCAAATTATGATGGCTCTTGGCATACCCCTTGAGGAGGTTCACAAATTTGCGGATCCGGAGCATTGGCTTCAGCACTTCCCACCTCTCTGGATTAGAGACCTTGACAGTATGGGTGCCAGAGTAGACTGGAGAAGGCAGATGGTAACAACTGATGTCAATCCCTACTTTGATTCCTTTGTTCGTTGGCAGATGATCCGTTTGCATGAAATGGGTAAGATTCTCTACGGGAGTCGGTACACAATCTATTCGCCAAAGGACGGACAACCTTGCATGGACCATGATAGACTTGATGGAGAGGGTGTTGGGCCCCAGGAATATACTGCAATGAAACTCAAGGTCAAGGAGTGGTCTCCAAAGGCAAAGGAGATCATCCAGGGAAAAATTGAAAAGGATGCCAACGTTTACTTTGTCCCTGCAACATTGCGGCCGGAGACCATGTATGGACAAACCTGCTGTTTCGTGGGCCCTGCCATATCATATGGAATTTTTAAGGTTAAGGAGAAGGAATACTACGTTGTTACGAAGAGAGCAGCTTGGAACATGGCGTTCCAGGGCATCTTTTTCGATGTTAACAACCTTCCCAAATCCCAAGATGAACTTCCTCCAGTTGTTGAAGCCCCTGGTTCTGCACTCATTGGCACTCTTGTCAATGCTCCACTTTCATTCCACAAAGAGGGTGTTAGAATTCTTCCCATGGAAACTGTGTCTGCTAACAAGGGAACTGGTGTTGTTAGCTGTGTGCCATCTGACAGTCCTGATGACTTTGCAACCATTTCGGACCTCGCAAAGAAAGCTGACTACTACGGCATTCAGAAGGAGTGGGCGGAGCTTGAAATCCACCCACTTATTGAGACACCAACTTATGGCAATCTCACAGCTCCAGCTCTAGTGAAGCAGCTGAAGATAAATTCGCCAAAGGACACCGTCCAGCTTGCTCAAGCCAAGGATCTAGCATATACTGAGGGCTTCTACAAAGGCAAAATGCTTGTTGGTGAATTCAAGGGAGAGCCAGTTCAAACCGCTAAGGAGAAGGTTCGCAATTCTCTCATCAAGAGCGGTGACGCCTTCCCATTCGCTGACCCTATGGGCAAAGTCACTAGTAGAAGTGGTGATGACTGTGTTGTTGCATATCTTGGCCAATGGTTCCTCAATTACGGTGAAAATGACCCTGAATGGCAGAGCACCACACTCAAGTATGTGACGGATGATTTGATTACCTACTCCGAAGAAACACGACACGGTTTCGAAAAGAATCTCGACTGGCTTAACCGCTGGGCTTGTGCCAGAACTTACGGTTTGGGATCCAAACTACCCTGGGATCCCCAGTTTCTCGTTGAGAGTTTGAGTGATAGTACCATATACCAGTGCTATTACACCATCTCTCACCTTCTCCACGCAGACCGATATGGAAAGGAGCCGGGCAAGCTTGGCATCAAGCCCGAGCAAATCACCAATGACATTTGGGATTATATCTTCGCCAGACGTGAACTTGACGATGATCTAGTCCAGAAGAGTGGAATCAGCAAGGAATCTCTTTTGACTCTAAGGCGAGAATTTGAATATTGGTACCCACTGGACGTTCGAATTTCAGGAAAGGACCTCATCCAAAATCATCTTACATTCTTCCTCTACATCCACATTGCCCTATTCCCGCGAGAGTACTGGCCTCGAGGTGTAAAAACCAACGGACATCTTCTTCTCAACGGAGAAAAGATGAGCAAAAGTACTGGAAACTTCTTAACCCTTAGGGATGCAGTTGATAAGTACGGTGCGGATGCTACCCGTATCGCTTTCGCGGATGCTGGTGATGCCATTGAAGATGCAAACTTTGATGAAACTGTGGCCAACAGCAATATCCTCCGTATGTACACTCTTAAAGAGTGGATTGAGGAAACCGTTGCAGACAAGTCTCTCCGCACTGGACCTACAGATGCATTCTTGGACAAGGTATTTGATAATGAAATGAACGCACTTGCAAGAGAGGCAAGGAAGCACTATGCCGAGTAAGTTTGAAACACCTGTTGCTAATTTGAAAATGCTAACACATCTACCTAGTACCAACTTCAAACTAGCTTTGAAGTCTGCCCTTTACGATTTCACTAGTGCAAAAGACTTCTACCGTGAGGTGGCCACCGCTTCCGGTATTGGCATGCACCGTGACCTGATTCTTAGATATGTCGAGCTGCAAGCTCTCTTGATAAGCCCAATTGCACCTCACTGGGCGGAACATATGTGGCTTGATGTTCTCAAAAAGGTATTTGGCCAATATTACCAGCATTGACGAAGCAATATGACTAACGCAACAGTAGGCGGACTCTGTCCAAAATGCTCACTTTGCCGATGTTCCCGAGCCTGTCCCTGGCCTATCAGCAGCTCTTGTCTATATCCGTTCCACAACCTCAAACATTACTTCTTCTGAAGCTGCCTTCATTAAGAGAATCTCGAAGGGCAAGAACGTTAAATTTGACCCCCGCAACCCTAAGAAGATTACCATTTTTGTTTCCAGGAAGTTCCCAGCATGGCAAGATAAATACATTGAACTTGTTCGTGAAGCCTTTGACGCTGTCAACTTAACCATCGACGACAAGGGACTCAATGCCAAAGTTGGCAAGTTGGGTGAAATGAAGAAAGCAATGCCCTATGTTCAAACTTTGAAGAAACGTCTGATTCAAGGCAATGAGAAGCCAGAGGATGTTTTCAGCCGAGAAATGCCCTTTGATGAGGTACAAGTTCTCCATGACATTACCGGAAACTTGAAGAAGGTTACGGGAGCCAAGGAGGTTGAGATTATCGCCGTTGAAGAGGGTGGAAACGCGGGAACCAATTTCGAAGGGATTAGGAAAGAAGGGTTGTCCCCTGTTGCACAGAGCGCAGTACCCGGACAACCCAGCTTTAACTTTGAAAATATTGAGGCTGCTGCATGATGCATGAGTTGTCATACAATGCAAGTATCCGAGATAAACCAGCTTCTGGGAGCCATCGGGTTTCAAATGTGGCTCAGGGAATCCCATGATAGATTAAACAAGAAGCACGCTAAGACTTCAATAGCTTCAGATAAAAGAAAGAATATCATTCCGATCCAAGCTTTATACGCCATCTTAGAGCAATACTGTGTAATGGCAAGATCATGATAATAACTAGGGATCAATATCGAAATAATCATCCAAGTCAGGAGCGTGGTGCTAAAACGGTTAAGATAAAAATATCCCTTCCATGAAGATATAGATCTTTCCCAAAGTTTCCTATAAAGATGAACCCACAATCACGGGAGATATCCCATACCCTTTTGACAAAGACGACAAACAACGCCATCGACACTAGTATAACAGAAGACACAAAAGGAATATTAAACAGATACCTAGCAACACAAGTCTAATATGGAGAAGAAAAACCATCCCATGGTAAACTTTTTAGGATCCCACCCTTTCCGTCCTTCTGTAGATCGTGCCGATGATGACAGCGTGAAAAGACAAAAAAAACGAAATCAAAGGTAAAAAGATAAATGGGAGTCGATATGTTCGGTCACTGTAACCGCAGTGAGAGGGGTTATTATGGGTGAAGTTCATCGTGCTCAGCATACCTATCAGTGGGATTCTTCAGAAGTTATCCGCTTAAAATATGCTTTGGCCATTTCGTAAGAAGTCCTGTAATATAAGATTAGTATCTCGATCTATCGATGTGTAGAGTAGCTGAACAAGACCAAGTGGAGGGAGAGCTAGTGTAAACATACCAGCAAATAGCAGTGCTAGGCATTGTGGCAATTATTCTTGGGCGCATTCCACGGAGGAATCCGGCCCAGCCATACTGATTCTTTATGAGTTTTGCAGCATTGAACAACCCCTTAGCGGTTCTTGCCTCAGGATCCTGCGCTGTACCTCTTGTTTGTAGGACAGTCTTGATAACATCTAGAGGAGTCGTAACAGCGGCAGCAACCGCACCCGCCAGACCACCAGCGATGCAATGGGTAAAGGGATCATATCGTTTCGTCGGGTTCATTATTTTGGACGTCGATTCGTATGCCATGAATTGGGCGGCCGTGAATGGAATAGTCATGCACAAGGTAGTTGGGTAGGAGACATAGAAGGCGCGAAGGCCCTCGGTTCGATAAACTGTTCTGGCGCATTGGACAAGGGTTCTATGAGTCGATCCGTGAACTTGCATGCGCTGCTTGATAACTGTAGAGAAAAATTAGCTGGTAAGTTTGGGATTTGGGCGAATTTGTATTGTTACATACCATCGAATGGGTTCATAAGCGCATCACTTGTGATAGTTGCGGCAGCACCACTCAGAGCTAGAAATACAAAGTTAATACTCCTTCCAGTGGTTCTATAATGAGAGGAAATGACTGACCTGCAGCAAGTGGGTGGTGGCCTGAGCCGACATTTCCGCCAGCAAGCTCTTTCACGACTTCGTATGTGCCAAAATATACGGCATGAGCGGGTCCTGTGCCAGCGCAATTTTTATATCAGCTTCTCGATCGCAAATACAGCTCAAGTCGCACTTCGAACGGCTCATAGCAGCGTGAAATCCTGGGATAATCATACCAGCTCCCACAATAACGCTAGAAACTCCCTTCCATAGCGCCCTCCAACCCTCGATGCGTGAAATGGTTGATACGGCGTGGGTGAGGCCAGTGTAGAGTCCGCCAGCGCCGGGATTTAGGACTTGCATTCGAGTCTAAACAGTTCAAGAACATGCTCAATCAGTATTTTATGCCCAAGTAAAGCAAATTTATGACCAATATCAATTCCTCCGGCTAAAGAAGCATACCTTCAGCAAGTCTACCGGATACATGACCGAATGCTCCTGTACAAGCGGTCCAAGTTAGCACCAGTATATAGCTTCGTCTATATCAATGCGGAAGTCAGTAAAAGGCGTACTGCAATGCCAGCAAAGGCGCCTGCCAGCATATTATGGCCGAGTGTGTAGTTCTCTGGGAGGGCCTCATAGCTATACATGAAGAAGCCAACAGTTAGCAAAAATCAGTCCCCTCTCCTCACTGCCGCCACCAGCACAAGGAGAATCAATATGCTGCTGAATGCAATACTTCGGCATTGTATGAGAGTCAAGACATACTCAAATTCTTCAGCCGCAACAGGATGATGCTCTGGAGAAGCCATGAAAGGCTCGTGGATGCAGCCGGAGCCGCCTGATTCAACCGTGACCTTCACGGTGACTGGATTCCCGAAGATTAGTGAATCCTCAGACCGAAGACGAGGGATTCTTCAACCGAACCGTCCTTTAGACTACTAGAGTCAAGTCGAGGATTGAGAGCTGAGAAGTCGGAGGATGGGAAAAAATAGAGTGGTGACGGAGAGAGTTTTCCTTGCTAAGGTAAAGGTACAAGACTCCGAGTTAATCAACGAGTAACGACAACCGAACGGCCAGTAAGGCAGACCTTGGAGCAAAGGTATCAAAACGATGGTCTGAATAAGTGAAGAAGTGAATCAGAGCAGGCGTCGCTAACGAAGATATTCTTTTCAGCCCAGAAATTTTGACAGTTTTCTTTTTCTCCGATCGACTAGGCGGACCTCCGCTCTATTTATTGAGAGCGTTGGCTGGCCCTTAGTCGACAGCAACAACCAAGACTCCCTCTACGATGGCCGGATACGAAGTGCGCTGCGCATTCCCCGTCCCAGCAGGCCCCTCTACAGCTTGCTCTTCGAGCAATAATATCTTAACCTGCGCAACGGCCCCCTATTTAGTGCCGGATCCGAAGTGAGCGCGCCTGAACGAAAGCTCCGACTATCCACCTCGGACAACGGATTTAACGAGCCAGCTATCCCCATCCTTCTCTCAAAGGGCAGACTCCCTGGTTGGTATTCTGATGCTGCTGCACCCTTATCCCAGCAAGTTTACGTACTGAGCGCGCAACGGGCGTGCCGGAAACCGCCAAAATCAATTACTTATCAGATCCCTCCCCCGGAAACACGGCCGAGATACAGATATGCAGGAGGAGCGCGCGCGGTCCGTACCAACGGGGCCTCCAGGCCCATGATTTTAGGTATCGAAGGGACGAAAGTGTCCGTTCCATACGCGGCTCCGCTCTTCCTGTGCTCCTCGGCTGGCTGCGTTGACGCCCTTCCCTCCCAGCCGATTTTCACTACTGCTCCGTGTGCGTGTGGAGTGCTGCTGTGAAAATCTGATAAGAAAGTTCCGTGCTTTTTTTTTTTTTTTTTTTTTTCGCCTCCTGGCTTCTGTGCTCTGCAAGGATAGCGAAGCTCTCTCCTTCCACGTTTCATATAGGGTGTCCCGGCGGACAATCTCGTGCATTGCCTCTCATCCCAGCTCGACTTGGCTTCATCCCAGAGCCATTTTCAACGTGGACTGACTCAAGTTGACTTGGTCATCCCTAACTTTTTCCACTTTCTCAGTTTTTTTTTTGGCTCGAAGATGTTTTGATATTTTTGATCTGATAAGAAATTGTCACGTGAGAAATAAAGCTCAGGCTAGTTTACCTCGGCTAATTGACAAAAAGGGTAATAAGAGGCTCGAAAGCAATTGACGGGCTTATTACTGAAAGATGACAGCGGTTGCAAGAGCTTTCTAATTAATAGTTGTACCATAGGTGAAAAAAAACAACAGGCTCATCTGTTTAGACAGGATCTATTCCTGTTCTATTACCGTTAGGTTCATGAAATTGATGGATAGACTTGGGACTGAATCACAAGGTCCAAATAACAGGGACGTGCTGTATGTATAGCCCAACTAGGGGTGCAGATATAGATATCTAAATTGAGTTATAATATCGAGTTAAATAGTTTGCTCAAGAAGATGGCAATGCAAGTGATCATAATAATGGATTTTACCATGCTCGTAAGGAAGGTGATTCATGAATAACGGATCCTTTTTTTTTCTTTTCTTTTCAAGAACAATGTAGAATGGAAAATAAAAAACGGGAGAGGAGAAATGCAAGCCGCTAGGAAAGGTCAAGAAGTCGAAATGAATGGCTGGGCATAGCGTATGAGTTTAGAATAAGGTCAAGCATATGCCGGGTATAAGGAGATAGAGGGTTCAGGAGCATGGGCGTGCCGGCGACCAGGGGGAGAATTTTCTTTTTATTATTTCAGATCTACAATGAAAGACCATTCACCTTGAATAGCATTAAGGGGTCAGTATTGCTGGAAATATCGTAAAGATGGAGGTAAACATACCTGCTTTTAGATTTTCAGCTGTATCGGAAAGAAGGATAACTCGTCGCTTATTGCAATAGGAGGTCTTGTCGAGAATATCAACTTTCAACCCTGCTAGTTCGGAGATGGGCTTCTCGAACATTTCACTTAGATTCTCGACGGCCATCTCAAGGTCCCGCTGATTATCCTCAAAGATTTCAGTCAAGTTGTTGCGCGCAAGGTAGAAAGCAAAGGCATATGTCCATTTAAGCGTCTGTCGACACTCCTGGAGTGTATGTGACGCGGTGTCAAGAAACTGTACTTCGATCCAAGATAGGCCAGATTGAGACTGGAGATTTACCATCATCTTCTCTGTCTTTAAAAACAGGTCTCGGTCAAGCTTGGCTGATTGTTCATGGTTAGCAAAGCGGTTGTAGTAGTGAAGGTACCGCTCAAGGGATTGTCGAGAGCGAGTTTGTGTATCTCGTGCATCCGAGGAGCCCTTTTCTTCAAATCTGTTGCAGTTGTACCAACTAGTTCCATGCTCGGACCAGGGGCCGAGACACATCCAGCAGAATTCATGCTTGCATTTTCTACATGTCATGTGGTTGCAGCCTCCGTTCTTTTCGATCGTAGATTGACATTTGGGGCATTCTTTAGTGTTGGCTGAGATCCAGTTTGCCGTTTCCGAGTCATCTTTGCACTTTTTAACCCATTTCTTGACTAATGCACAGGGGCATGGCTGGTGGTTGCCAACGTCACATCCAAAACAGAAAGTAAACGAGCAAGCACAGTGTACCGTTGGGACGACACGATCCAGATCTCGCTGCTTGACACCACATCGAACAGCGAATTCGCAGTTAGGAGCTGGACACCATTTCAAGTTTGGCATATCATCAACATATGTACGTATCAGGAGAGTTCGATACCTAGAAGGAAGTAACGGTTGATATCGTCAATAAAAAGGTATAGGCTCAAAAGTTTACCCTAGAGTGTCTTACCGCTCTCTCACATCCTCGCCAACAAGTAAATCGAGTGACTTCGAATCGATAATCCGATGACACTGATCCTGGGGGCATTCTATTCTCGCAGCCTCGCCTTCCTCTTTAATCTTCTGCCCCAGGTAGTGGCTATAGCAGTCCACGCAGAACCTATGTCCGCAGCGCATTGCGTACGTCTGGAGATCCGGCCCATCTTCACAGCAGATATCACACATGAAACCAGGCATAACTTCAGTCTTTGGGTTCGACGAGAAAGTTGGTCCAAGGCCTGCATCTTCAAGCGTCTTCTCAGGATGGTCCATGTATGACTCTATTAGCTTCTCTCTGTTCCATCTGCTAAACCGGAGCAGGATAGCAGCGCTTTCCGCAGGCAAGCCGAGTATAGAGGAGACTTCATTGATCTGCACATTCTGTTCCCGTGTGATATCGTTTGGACTGAGGGCAGTACAATCGGTCTCGTACGGCTGCCGTACAGGCTTGATGTCTTTCTCGTAATTGAACGAACCTCCGAGGTCTTCTTCGAAGTCTATAGTCAGTCCAGTTAGCTTCGATCTGACCAATATCATGAAACACCCAAGATAGCTATGCAGGTAACAAGCCTAATGGGCCGACTTACCGCCGTCTAAGCTTTCGTTGTCGCTGCCCTGTGTATCAAGAAACTCCTGTCCGCTCGATCCATCCGTCATGAAGTCGTCGTCTGAATCCATGGTTGAAGGTGTTCCCGTCACTTCACAGCCTAGCAGAAGTCGACTTCACGGGGACTTGAGTGCAACAGCAAACGTCCCAGCCGAAGAGCTATCAAGGCACAGCTCCGGAGGATCAATCTCAGTAAATAGCCGGCGGTTAATTTGGTTCTGTAAGGTATCGCCTTTCTCAGCTATCAGCTCGGGTGTCACTTGCAGGGAAAAAGTGAAGCTCACCTGGTAGCGACAAAGGGAACTGATAGAGGTTTGCTACCAACGTCACTACCCTTCGAATCGCAGCTGAGAGCTAACTAGTGGGGGAGGCGAAGGATGTCTCTATTTTAGACGAGTGAGAAATTAAACCGAGCCCCTGGGATGTTCACTATCGCATGCCCGATATCAGGCAGCAGCAGGCAGACGGGCGAAGAGGAGCAGCGGGCGAGCAGGCTGGCGGCGGAGGAAGAAGAAGTGAAAATGGTGACTGACCGACAGGCTGGCTGGATGACTGGCGCGGATGACGGAGATCTCGTGGTGGATGTGGATGGCTGGTGGAAGGATAGTTTGTTAGAGCGGCAGCTGGGGTACCAGCAAGAACAAGGCTATTATTATCATGTAAATAACTATATGGCTGACTAGCGCAGGCCACCGCGAACAATATGAATCACTTTCCAGACCGTTTTTGTTGGACGGGATGAAAGCTGTGGAGGCCTGAAACCGTGTCCTTGTCCTTAGCTGAGAGGATGACACAACCTGATGCCCGTTTCCCGCCAGGCTGCATCTTTGAGATTCTGAGGTGGAAATAAAAAGGTTTTTTTTTTTTTTTTTTTTTTTTTTTTTTTTTACTCTCTTTCTTAACTACGACGAGCCGCAGAGCCGCATCAGGCTTACTCTTGTTGGTACGTTAAGTATGGAACAGAGAATACAACAATTAGATAGAAGAATCAGATGGACTGATTGATAGTTATAGAGCTGCCTAGTTCATGTAGAGTAGGTAGAAGGAGGATCAAGACTCGCTTTCATCATCATCATCCTCCTGCTCCTCATCGTCATCGTCATCGTCGTCATCATCGTCATCTTCAGATTCAGCTTCAAGCCAGTCTATAAACGGCTTCGTCTGTGTCCGGACGCTCTCCATCGCAGGCGTGGCCGTTGACCTCTCATCATTCCACCACTGCGAAAAGGCTTCGGCATCCACTATCTCCAAGTCATAAAGCTCCTTCGCTGTGAAAAGCAAGATGTTACCTCCCTTGTTCCGCTCCGTGAGATCCTTCTGGAATAGCAGCAGCAAGTCTACCTGGTCAGGCTTGTCGTCGGTGTCATGATCAAAGACGATGCGCATGATTGTGTCCTTGTACTTTTTGAACAGTTCTCGAACGGAATCAGCTAGGCCGACAGTGCCTGCTTCCGTGACGTGCTGGATATATTTCATAAACGCCATGACTACGGCACGACGGACTTGGTGTTCAGATGCATTGGCGCTCATGCGTAGACCAACGAGCTCGAGCTGCACCACCTCAGCGCTAAGACCTTCTTTGAGTCCGTCGAAGACGCTAGAAACGGCGTCGTGATGGAACTGGTCCCGTCCCTCGTCGTCAGATGTCGTTGTGCTAACACTGTCTGACCTTGAACGGAAGCCGAAATCGCCGTCCTCGGTCTTATCTGACGTGAGAGTCGATATCGACGCATCGGACAGCGAAAGCTCAGCCATATTGTACACTGTAGAGCAGGGTTAGTCAAATATACGACTGATTGTGTATCCTCGAGGAGAGTAAACTCACTTAGGCCAGGGATGAAATCAATCTCTTCTTCATCCTCATCTTCTTCGTAGACAAACTCGAACCCTTCGCCATTTTTACCGACAAGTTTCGCATCATTCTGTACCTTCCGGTCAAGGTCTCGTTGGAATGTGGTAATGCTCTTGCCCTCGGGTATCGATATTCCACTCGAAATCTTGACGTTATATGACAGCAGCGCACCAGGTTCAATTCGACACTTGTCTCCGATGACTGAACCATTGGCCACAATAGCATGGCGTATCTCCGTTGCTTCGCCCACAACCACATCATCCCATATATATGCGCCGTCAAGGACAACATTGTTGCCGATCTTGCACCTTCGGCCGATAACACTGTTCGTGACGACAGCACCGTCTCCGATGGTTGTATCCTTACCGACGACAGTCCGGCTATGGATGGCAGCGGATCTAGCCAGCACAACACCTTGCTCCTGGTAGACGAAATTCCGCTTAAATGTATATGTATATCCAGGGAAGAGGTTTGTATCTGGACACAGAGGAAAAGTCCATCGCGATATAACATCCCGACTAACAAGGTCGTATGCATGTAGGTTTTGAACTCTGGTCGCATAGTGATCCTTCAAAATGTGGGTGTGTATGGTCATTCCATTAAGTTCGTAGTCCTTCAGCACGCCGTGGAGGAAATGGGTGCGCGGAGACTGATAGTCGAAACTATCCGCCCATAGACCTAGAACTTCAGGGGTACATATGTCGATACGGCAATCATACAGATCATTTCGAACATCGATCTCAGCATGGGCATCAAGGAGCTCCGGGTCTATCTCGAGATTCGACGGCAGATCGTATCCGTCGTGAGAATGGTACGGAAGCTCTTCGTAATGCAAACATCTATCCTTGGTAGGATCAATGACAAACAACGGCGCATCAGCACTCTTGCGGACCCTATTCGACTCCCCGACTTCTCGAAGTATCATGGTCATGATGGCATTTCTGTTTCTTTCTCGTCGAGCACGGTGCTCGATCAACGCCTGCTCGAGCGGGATATTCCCAATAACGTCACCGTTAACTAGCAGAAAATCGCCGTTCATTAGATGCTTCTCATGTAGATCGCGCATGACTTCTCCGAATGTAGTTGCTGCTGTCCTGATGAGCCGGACTTTTGTAAAGGGTGATATGTCTGATTTCCACTTCGAGCCACTGCATAGATATATAAGTATGTGGATGGTCCGCCAACTAAACGGGGGGTAGATGTGGCGTACTTGAGATAAGTTTCTAGCATATCTGCATGTGCGCCTGCATAGAGCAATACCTCCTCCATTCCGGCATTGGACAGAAATTCAAGGGTATAATCAATCAAAAGGGTATTGGCGATAGGAAGAAGACACTATTTTGGTATCAAAAGTTTCCGTAAGCCCCGCGCCATAGAAAGGCAGTATAACACCCATGACGTACCCTTGGTTTCTCAAGTGTGAATGGTTCAAATCGCGTTTCAAATATATCAGTAACCACCTAAGGGGAATAGTAAGTTATCTGCTCACTTCTATCTAAGAAACGTGGGATGATGATCAACGCACCACCGCCTGGAATGGCTGCTGCCTCTCGTCTATCATGGGATCCCTGCGTCTAGTTGTGCCCTCTCCGCGCTTCTTATTGCCCTTCGGCACTCCTCCCCCTCGCTGTTTCGACCCTTTCGGAGCCATGGTGTGGTAGTTATCGCTATCGTGGGTGGTGGGGGAGTAGTCCCCTTGAACTGACTCACGGCGGGGACAAATCTGTATGCGTTTTTCAGGCGGATTAAGGCAATGTGGTGGTATAGAGGTGGTATTAGAGAACAGCCGAGTACAAGCCGGTTAACCGGGAGAAATCAATGGCTTCTCGTTCACTGCTGGAGCTCTTTGCATGGAACGTCCCGTGAATATACTGATCAACTACAAAGTTACAGTCAATATTTTTATGACTCCCGCGGCTTACGTAACTATAAAAGCATTCTTGCCCTAACCTTAACTAGGACTAGCGCACGTCCCTGCTTGCGGGTGTCTAAAAAGGGAAATCGGAAGAAAGTTAGTCCAAGAAATATGCTTACTAATCAATAATACACGCGACACGTGTTTATGCACGTGAGACAATTAAATTTAGTGTGACTAAGCAAATAATATAGAGGTTAATAGAAAAGCGAGATGAGTCACGCACTGTTTATTTCAATTGAGGCCTTTGATCATGAGATCAACTAAGTCAAAGTTGCATGGGCCAAGCCCAAACCCCCATGAAACCAGATTACAGACAGCCTCCTCTAACCATGCTTGTGGCTCTTCCAGGTAAATATCCATGGTCCGCATCTTGGAGCATTCGTCTTTATCGTGTGGGCAATACATTTTTGTCGAAAGCAGCATTGGCTGTCGATAACGCAGTCTTGTCCCGGTAGCGTGCATCCTTTTCTCTTGAAGATGCCGTTGGGGTCAGGTGAAGGTGCTGCTATGGCGATGGCAGAGAGGAGTAAGACGGCACCGAGTTTGTAAAGTTGCATGATGATGCTGACGTCGAACTGGCTGTTGAGTGGAGTGATATAGCTGTATAAATTGTCGGAGGTTGTTGTGGAGTTTTTTATGGGGAAGACTGAGATTTTCTCTCGGGGATCGGCAGATGGGTTTGGTTTCAAGGTGGGAGGCGTTTGTGTAATGATGTCAGGGGGGTGGGTGCATCGAGGACCTTTTTATCCTCGACGTAAGACAGCGGCAGGAGACGAGTGAGTGATATAGCAAACGAACCAAACAAAGAGGTGATGATTCAACTTCTGCAAGTTGTGTTATTCTTTCATGCCTGACGCTGTGAAAAGGGTATGTCACTATCTATCATGGATAGACAGTAGATTCGCATGGAACATCCAGCGAAGACCGACGGCTGTTACCGGCATCTCAGATGACAACATCGAGGTGAGAATAAGAGTATGTAGCACGGCAACTTGCTGTCATAGTGAGCAATAACGAAGGAGGTGTGGTGGTTGTCTGTGAGACCAGTCGCGGGCGGGTAGCAAGCCCGTGTTGAACGAGCGCACCTCGCGATCCCAACCTTGCATTCGCATAACTGCGGAGCAGAACTTCCTTCGTACCGAAGTTTCAAGACGATCATTTCCTCACCACCAGAGCAAACAGAAACAGCAACATCTCTTTGTCTTCCAAACCTCCTCACCCCCAAACGACGCTCAATGGAGAAGCACCCACCACACCGTCAGCAAGTCATTGTATCAAGATATAAATATCTGCTTTGATGCCGTGCTGATATGGATCGAGGACGAGATATATCAATTCGCTCACCACCGACGATCGACGCCAGCCCTTTCAAAACCCTCACGCACATACCTTGATACCAGCGAATTCCGCTCTCTCAAAAGCACACAAAAAGTCAACGCCCACCATGCAGATCACGAAACTGCTTACCTTCCTCTCCCTCACCGCGGCCGTGCTCGCCAATCATCCAGCCAACGAGCTCAGGCGAGACGTGCAGCAAGTCGACTGTCCTGAGGGAGTATGCTTTGACGACGCCTTTTACTGCGACATGGAGGACCATAAGTGCCGTAGGAAAGGCGGCCCTGGACCCTGTGGCTCCGGCGAATGTCTGGAGAACAAGGACACTCCTGCTCCAGCGCCTGCTGAGCCGGCTAAGCGCGAGATCATGCCGGGTGACAACTGCTTAGACTGCAAGCTCGGCGTGGAGAAGTGCAAGTGGAACCCGAAGAAGCGGCAGTATGAGTGTGCCTCGAGGTATTCGTTGGGAGTGCAAGGGAAGCGTGGTCCTGCCAGGTCGTGCGGTAAGAGGCTGGCTGACTGCGGGCGCAACGACAACTGCTGCTCTGGCCGGTGTATCAAGAACAATCGGTTCGAGGTTGGACATATGACTCTCGGTTCCTGCGATTAGACATGTTAACAGGGTCCACCCAACTGCTGTCTCGTGCGTTTATCAATATTATTGTCGTTGTTTCGTTTGTTGTCTGGCGTTATCTTCCTCCAAGTCCCATCTAGTCAAGTACACCACGTGACGCCTCTATGGCGCGGCCTTTACTAAGATAAACTCCGCCCAGCCCAGCCCAGCGTATTAGATAAGCTTAAGTCACATCCACAAAGACAAGCAAAACAACCGCTAGACTCGCTGCTCTTCTCTTCTCTTCCCATCCGTCATGACAAGTCAAAGAAAAGAACAAAGAGTAGTCAACTCGATCTAGAGCATCTCCCAGTTATCCCACGTAGCTAGTCAGTTTAACTACCTACCTACCACTCCACCGCGTCCCGTCCCGTCCCTTCATCTCCATCGCCAGCCGCCCATCCATCCAGCCCAGCCAGCCAGCCAGCCCATCCGTCTCGATCTAGATCTCTGCTGAAAAGCGCCCCCTAGTCCAGCCAGCTCTAGAACGCCCAAACAGTCCCCCCAAAAAGCCAGGCCCGGCCCTTCTTAGCGACGCAAGTCTAGAACCCTCGATGTTTCGTCCCTTAAAATAAGTCAACGGCCGTGCATGGCCAGCAGGCAGGGCGCAGTTTAAGCTAGGCCAGCCGAGTCGACACTAGTTATACTGTACGCATATGTAGATGTAAAGGCAGCTGGGCAGGCGCAGGCGCAGGCGCAGACAGGGGAGAGCTCTTATTCCACCTTACTCTTTCTCAAGGCGTCGGACAAGACTGACCCGCTGCCCGCCGATACATTATGTATGTGTGTATGTCGAGGGTGGACGGACGGATGGATGCAGAGGCTGGCGACATGCATGCAGCGAGCGCGGGAGTGCTGGCTATGGCAGATCACAGCCGGTCGATGATCGCGTTGCTGGCAGAGAGTAAGTGAATAAGCGCAGATAGCGAAGTAGTAAAGACTGTAGATATCTCGGAATCAACTCGGGACAAGGCCTGCTTGCTTCGATCCATGCCGCATACAGCATGCAGACATGCAGACATACACAACTCACATCCTCCATCACCTTTACCACTAACATGCATGCATACCAAACCCCGACTTCCAACCAACCTGCACTGACGACCGCACATCCCCAAGTCCCGACGCTTATCACAGGCAGACAGGCAGGCAGATCCAAGAGCAGGGACCGGGGATGAAACACGCAGAGACAGAGACAGAGACAGAGACAGAGACAGGCGGGACGAGGGATGTTTGGAACCGAGCTGGCTTGTGCAGCGAATTAGTTGATGCATGTGTGTGCATGCATGCTGTATATGCACTGTCGTGTACCTCAAAGTACACTCGCATGCCATATCATACCAGGCCAGCCAGCCAGCCATGCAGAAGGACAGGAAGTAAAGGCTAGGAAGCATAACTCGACATCCCTGCAGCAAGACGAAGATACGAGTACGGGGAGGAAGCCCAGGTAAGTCGAGAGCTGAACTGAACATGCATGTCCTGCACGGGCTCGACTCGACATGCCTTGTCAGTCAGGACGTCTATCTCTGCGTTATACGTGGGATGTAGAGGTGAGGCGCAATTGACATAGTAAGAAAGTGGTATGTTTTCATGTACAGCATAATGATAAGATGTCGAGTCAGGCCAACACATCAGATGCATCCCGGCCATGATCTCCTGCAACTAGACGGCTCAGAGCAGTTCAGTTCAGTTTAGATATAAAAAAACAAATAAAGTCAAGGAGTATTCCCGCCCAGGTGAAAAATCCAACCAACACACCAACCACCCAGCCAGCCAGCCTGATAAATAGATCCAAGCAAATAGATAGAAAAGAAAATGGGCACGGGCTATTCTTTTGTAAAAAAAAAAAAAAATGCGGGAGAAACAATCGAAACAAGAATATACTCGAAATGGCACCAAGTAGGTGTTTTTTGTATGGTTGTACTCGTCTCATCTGTGCCGTGTTGTGTTGCGTCGCGCTATTTGAGGTTGTAATGATTGATTCGCATATCGCCTGGTCCGGTGGAGGCGAGACGGGATAGAGACGGGATGCAAGGAGACAAGTTGCAGCATTGACATGCGGACGCGACTTTAAGGTCCAAGGTAAGGTAAGGTAAGGTATAGATAAAGGTATAGATATTATGCATGAAACAAGGTAGAAGTATTGGAAAGCAAACCATAGCCTAGCCCATGAGATGAGTGAGTGCTGATGTGCTGCCGGTGCCGCTGAACGACGACGCAATCCGCCCGCCCACGCCAGATGGAAAGAAAAAAATGAAAGCAGAAAATGAGTAAAAAAGTTCCCAACACCGTATATATGATAATGATAATGATGTGATAGGGTGGCAAAAAAAAAAAAAAAAGTAGAGTAAAGCAAGCAGATAACCAAACCGAACCGAACCGAGTCCGACCGAACGGAAGCAAGCAAGCAAATGATAGCGAAAGGGCGGCGCTTTTTGTTTTCTTTTTTTCGTGGGTAAGAGATGAAAGCAGAGAAAGAAAATGAGAGAAAGAACGAAAAAAAAAAAAAAAAATTAAGCCATTCTGCTGGTTTGCATGGGATTTACCACTTGAGCACCGGGGCCAGGACCAGGCCCAGAACCAGGGAAGATGCGTTGGCGCTTGTTGTATGCATTGACATTGAGGTCTATGCCAGCCATGTCTGAGGCTTGACGGCGGTGCTTGATGTGGTTGTGCTGGGACTGGTTTGGGGCCTGGGAGGGAGGTTGTTGGTTCTGCGTTTGGGACTGGGGTTGTTGTTGTTGTTGCTGCTGTTGTTGGTATTGGAGACCATTGGTGTCGAAGGATTGGCCTGGTGCGGGGGTGAGGGGGGAGTTCTGCCATGTCTGCTGGCCCATGGTGGAAGGAGATTGGTTTGGTGATGACTCGTCTTTTACGGGCTGCTGGGAGGAAGGCGGAAGGCCTGATACGGGCACGTTGACGGGCACGTTGACGGGGACGGAGATGGAGTTGGAGAGAGGACTGGGGCCTGGACCTGGGTTGGAGTTTGTGGATGTAGGTTGGCCCGGTGGTGGTTGCGGGGTGGGAGGTGCGTTTGATGATGTGGTGGGTTGTTGCTGCTGCTGCTGTTGTTGTGGTTGTGGTTGTTGTTGCTGCTGTTGCGAGGCGTCCATGGGGTTGACGTTTTTAAGGGAGACGAGGTGTTTTTCTAGCATGTTGAGGAGGGACTGGCGGGTGAATGGTTTCGGTAGGACGTCGTTCATTCCTGGGATGGGGCTGTTAGTAGAGATCTTTAAAGTGAGGAGTATAAGAGACGTACCGTGGTGGAAGTAGAGGTCTATGTCGCTGGATCGGATGTTGGAGGTCATTGCTATGATGGGGGTGGAGTCGAAGCGGCGGATGAGACTGCAGGCCGAGACGCCGTCGAGGTTTGGCATGATGATGTCCATTAATATGAGATCGTACTTGGACCCGCCCTGTATCTTGTTCACCGCCTCAAGCCCGTCGAGCTGGAAAACGTTAGCAGAACAACAAACAAATAAAGAGTAAGAGGGATGTACTGCGGTGTCTACGACGCAGGAGAAAGAGTAGAGGAATTTCCCTCCGATCTGGCGACAGGTCTGGTCATCTTCGACGAGCAGGATATGCGGACTCCGCGCCCAGCCTGGGTCCGGGTAGATGCTCTTTTTCCGGCCGTCGTTGCTGACTGGGTACTGCCGCCGTACGTCCGGGACGTCCATGTCCTTATTTGCAGAAGGGTTGGTGGGTAGCGGGTAAGGGATGTTGTTGACATGCTCGCTGTACATGGGGTCTATGCCGTTGGTTGCGCCGACCGGGTAGACCACCTGCTCGAGCTCGCCGTTCATCTTGGGGTAAGACGAGAGCGACGCGGCCTGCTGCTGGGCTGCGGCGGCGGCAGAGGTGGGCGGTGTCATCCCGACGACACCACCGACGACGTTGACCCCGTTGAACCCGTTGACCCCGTTGACCCCGTTGACGGCCGCAGCAGCAGCAGCGGCAGCATTAGCTCGTTGCTGCTGGACTGCGGCTGCAGCGGCGGCGGCCTGCTGCTGCTGCTGCTGTTGTTGTTGCTGCTGCTGCTGGTGGTCGAGGGGCGGGGTGGCGGCTACTATCCCTTCGAGAGCGGAGAAGTTGAACTGGTTCTCTGCGGTCATCTCATTGAGCAGCTTAGTGGCGTGCTGCAAGGGGGAGGCTGCTGGGTTCTCGTCTATGCCGGCGACCTGCGACGGGCTGAGATCGGTGGTCTGGGACTGGAAGGAGAGGCTGGCAGCAGCGGCGGCGGCGCGGGAGTCTCTCTTCTGGCGGGCGTCGAGGGAGTGGAGGTAGGTGAGGATGCAGTGGACGACCTGGTCGTGGCCGAGGACGGACTTTTGGACGCGGCGGACTTCCTGGAGGACCATCTGGTGCTCGATGCTGGTCTGGGAGATGCGCTCGGTGAGGTGCTGGAGCTGCTGCTGCTGGGCGAGGAGCTGCGAGTTGAGCAGGTCGAGCTGCTGCGTGGGGATGGAGTCTTCGTTGGCGGGCGCCTGCTTGCGCGGCGCCGGCGCCTTTCTGCGGATGTTGTCGAGCGAGTCCTTGTTGTCGGCCTTGAACTCGGGGTGTTTAAACTCCCACGCCTACCCATTGTAAGAAC